GCACACTCCTGGTTTAATTCCTGGGTGGGCTCCACATAGTTTCCCACTGCCTGTTCAAAAATTCTGACCGCATTGGTCATCAAATCCATATTCTCATTTAACTGTTCCAGTAGGGCATTTGTTTTACAGAGAGCACACAACAGAGCTTCTGAATACATTGTCCTACAAGGTCACAAGTCTATTTCCCACGATTGTAATCTGTAACAGCTGCAAGCTCCCTGAAATTAGTTACAGTTTCACAGTCTCCCTCTAGGGGGGAAAACTTCTATTTGTTCTTTTTTTTAAGGACGAATCTAGCAACAAAGTTTCCTTTTGAGATATTTTGTCAATATTTGTTCCTTTAAAATGCGAAAGGGAACAGTGGAATCACTATGTTTCTCTTCTTTTAGCTATCTGTCAAAAGCGTTTGTCTCTGGTCAATGAGCTTCAAACGTCAGTCCTGACACCCCGCTCCAGGATCAGGACGGTGGAAAGTTACTTTACTTTAAACTCACTTCTGCAGGTTTAAACAGTCCGAAAAAGATCCCCCTTCTTCTCCTGCTTCCGAAGGGGGGTTCGTTCAACAATTTTAAATGATGAAAATTAATCTTTTAGAAGCGATTTTCTGAGCTCTGGTTTACGTTGTCTTTGCTTTATTCTGTCTACAAAGAAACGGAAGGCTGACTTCCTGTTTAGACCTTCCCGTTTCAGTGCCAAATTGAAGTAAATTTTTAAGTCCAATCCCTTTCTGCTCGCCAGTCCTTATTTAAAGTCCAATTGTCCGAAATTTAAGTACTCACGGGTGATTATTTTAGAAGCCAAATTGTCCCAGGAAAAAGGCAGCGCTCTCCGGCAACAGCTATGTGGCTTCGCTCCACGGAAATAGCAGTTGACTCTCAGCACCGCGCCACTTCCCCCTCTTCGCTTCGGAGCCCGTTAGTGGGTTCCTTTGCGGGTTGGGGGGGCGCTAAGGGTGCCCGCCGAGTCCCATGGTCACAGGCTTCATCCGCCTGTGATTTTTGAAAGGGTCCCCGCTTCGCCGTAGCGGAAAAGACCCGTTTCGCGCGGAGCTAGTCCCTCTAGATCAGAGGGAGTCCGCCATTGCCGATGGCGCCACCCCGGAAGTCTCTACCTGAATCTATTCATAGTTCCTTGTCGAGATTTATTGTCTACTTATTGCAAATATATAGTGTATGACTTTTTTGCCTCAATCACACTGTTGTACTAATCTGAAAGAACATATTTTGGTATTCTGAGATTGCTGGTTGCTAGATAAAGATATTTCTCCTCTTGATTGATTTTGTGGGGCAAGGTACTCACACAGGCCACAAGCTCATGCCCTGGACACTGGTGTAGATAGGAACACAGATGGGACTACTTTGGCTGCAGGATTCTAAGATGCTGCCTATATGATCTTGACCAGTGGTGGCTGACTCCAGTCTTGGGAAGTCTATTTAAGTTCCTATAAAACTAAGAATGGAAAGACGGACAGTCATCTGTGAATGGATGATTCTCTATGCTATGAGATAATCCTGCATTAAGATAGAACAAATGGACAATGTAACAAACAAAAATGAGACATTAGTAGAAATGAGACAAGTTTGAATCTGAACTGGGGCAATATGAGCACTGTACACTTTTTTCTTTTTGATGACCTAAATGACTAAAGCAAAGAAAATGCTGCACAGGATTTAATGAGGAAATTATGGAGTGATTACAAATAGTGTTAATGGATTGAAGCTTGAGCTAAATGATCTCCTGGGGTTTCCCTTTCAACTCCATGGTTCTATCATTGTAAGACTTTTAAACCGATTAAACCAGTCAGACTGCTGGAGATTGTGTTAATGACCCAGGCAAATAACTCCTTTGTTATAAAGATGGCTGGTCAATAGCTCTAGCCTGTTCTGAGTCTGGAAAGAAGGAAGCCTCTTTTCCACTTCACCCATGGGGATGGGGTGTGATTGGTGTAAGCAGGGGGCAGGGTGGACAATAGATTTGGAGAGACAGAGGGTTAAAGAGCTAGATTGGGGCTGCATAAGTTTTTGAAGCACATGTTGTGGTCTTAAGATGTCAATCTCGAGCTATGCTCAGACTATATTGTATATTTGTAAATGCCTGTAAGTTGCCAGTGACCTAATTCCAAAGCCCCCATAGCAGCTTATTCACAATAAATTAGAAACTGATTCAGATTTTTCTTGCTCCTGGGCAACTATTTCAGTCAGAAATAGAATGTTTCACTAAATGTGATCAGGCTGGGGCATTAATTTTTTTGTAATAAATTTAAAATAGCTATTATTATTATACCCTAAAATTGGTTTAATTCACCTACAAAATGCAGAGAGAATGCAGAGAATGTTTTGAGGTCTAAAACAGTGCTTCTGTTGGATTCCCATGCTGCTCAAGACCCAGGAGTATAATAATACCTTACATTGGGATTACCTTACAAAGAGGCAGTGCAGTGACTCCTATGAATTTTTGTCCAGAGAAGGCATCAGGAGGAGACATCACCAACCCCTTCCCTTTAAAAGGAGTTTAGACAAATTAATGGTGGACACGGCCATAAATGATTACTAGGCATTTTTGTGGGGACACAGGGAAGGGTCTTCTTGGTGGCTGCTCCCAGATTGTGGAACCCCTTCTCTTAAAAAATTTGACTGGCTCCCTCCTTGTTGTCCTTCCACTGGCAGGTGAAGACCTCCTTGCTCCAATGAGATTTAGGAAATTGACTGCTTTTAATGAAAGGGCTGGTGTGCTGTTTTTATCATAATTATTTGTATGTTTTGAACAGATTTTATATATATATAGTTTTAATTCTGTTAATGTTTAATTGTTTATAATTTTTTGTTTTTAGCAACTCTTGTTTTTCTCTGTAAGACATCTTGAGTTTTGCCTGGGGAAAAGGTAGGGTATAAATATTATTATTATTATTACTATTACTGTGTATTGCTTCCAGAATCTGAGGTTGTATCCTTCTGATTACCAATTGCTGGGAATTGCACATGGGGGGGGGGGAATGCTGTTGTGCTCATGACCTGTTTCCAGGCTTCCCATAAGCACCAGAAAAGCAGCTGTGAAAAAAATGGGACTTTAGCCTGATGCAGGAGGGCTTTTCTTATGTTCTTTAGAAGATGTGTTCTAGACCACCAGCAGGCAGACTTCAGCCTTGACAATATCTTTGCACTGGAGCCAAGTGCAAAATAGTATTGAGTGTGGCACAACATACCCTTAGGATTGAAGAACAGGGCACATCTGAGTAAATCCTAAAACCCCTGTAAAAACCTAGTTCTTGTACCCCGTCTCCAAGCTTTCTTCATATTAGTAGCCTAATTTAGATGAGAGCAAGGGAGATATTTTTTTGCTTGCGTTATTTATTCTTAAACAACTGGGAGTCAGAATCCTTGCTGATCCTCTACAAATCACTGAGTTCTGGTAGATCCCCGTCTATCTTCTGCCCACTCCTTCTAGACTTTTCCTCTGCTTGTTGGTCCTGAATAGGCGTCAAGATGCTCCACTGGTTTCCATTTAAAATATTCCAGTATTTCTGTTATGCACATAAATACCTTAATTTTTGTTTATTACTTTTTTTAAATGTCTAAAGCTATCAAGAACGTTAATTCCTTTATGCACAACCTCCTCTAGCATGTCTTAGTGACAGGACATTAATGGGAGCAAACCATGTGTTTGTGTCAATGGTGACCGTATGCCACACAAGCAACTTTCTTTTGGCGAACGGGATTTGTTGACTTGGGAGAAGCAGGAGTTTGCATTGCAACAATCCTGCTGCAGCCGGGACCTTCGTCCGATCCCCGCGAGCGTCTCTGCAGCTCTTACGAGGTGTGAGTCAATCGCCTCCCTCCGCTTGCATAAATTCTTGTCTCGCGTGTTGAGTCTGCAAGGAGCGTTTCAGTCCTCGGCGTGCCTTTCCCTGGTAGTTTCGCCGCGCAGAAAAATGCTGCTGCGTCCGTGGTACGGCAGCAGGAGCCGTTGGGGATCCTGCTATTGCTTCCTCTGCTGCCTGCCGCGCTTTGGTTCTGATGCGGAACAGATTGTTGAGGGCAGCAGAGCTAGCAATCTGAAGCGCAGCTTGATCGATCGCCGTGACTTGGGATTTCTGCTGCAAGTGAAGGAAGGAAGAAGCTCCTCTCGAGACAACTTGCTCGGTGGGCAGCACGAAAACGCACACAAAAGCCCACGGGGGCGCGCGCGGGGCTTGGAACCTGCAAACTTCCCATTTTCCACTCGATGAGGAAAAAAAGCGGGAAGCAGAGATACAGCCGCGCGGGCGGGGCGCGTGTACGTGAGGAAAACTGCCAATTATTTTTAACCAGTGAGGCTGTTTTTCTGGCATACGGCCACCCAGCAGCCGTGGACACGGCCCCAGCCAGCGCCCTAGCTGGCCTTTTAGCCGCGCGTGGTGGGGCAGGCGAAGGGGGGAGCCAATACACCGCGACGTTTTCCCGTCAGTCGCCTAACGGTGCAGCGCGCGTTTTTGCAAGAGGCGGGAGGAGCCAAGGCCCGGCTTCCCTCCCTCCCAGTCATTTGCCCGGGGTATCCCAGGCGACTCCCGCCTCGCCGGAGCAGCACGCTGCCAGCCTGCCTGTGGCAGATCTCCCTCACAGCTTGGCGTTCACGGTCGCGCCTCGAGAGAGAGAGGAGATTCTGGCGCCTTTTCCCACTTGTGCCCGCCCGGCCGCCCCTTTTTGCCTTTGCTTGTGGCTCCTGCGGTTTGGAGCGCGCGCGGCGCTTTCCCTGCTCCTCCTCCTCCCTGGAGCGCCTCGGGCAAGGGCTGCTGTGCCTGAGGAGAAAGCGACCTCACACACTCTCGCCTTGCACCGGGCGCCGCCGCCTTAGGGGAGCGGGTGAGGGTGGGGGGTTGTTTTGGGGAGGAACGGAGAAGGACTCCCTCTCAGCCTCTGGGCAACAGCAGCAAGAGGCAGGTACCAGCGGCGGCTGCTGCTGTGCTGGGCATCGCCAGGTGCCGCTGCTGGCGCTGGCCTGGGGGGGCCGCTGTGCTGCATTGCAGGGCAGGCGCCTCCTCCCCCGCCCGCCCGCCCGCCTCCCCCCCTTCCCTCTGCTCCCTCCCCGGAGGGAGCAGGGCTATCTGGGCCGGGCAGCAGAGCTGTCCCTGGGCAGGAATGTCCCTGCACGCCCAGATAATGTTATTTATATCGCCGGCTGGCAGGGCGGCTCCGCTCAGCGCTCCCAGGACCCCCCGGGCCCCCGCGGGTCTCTGTCTCGCCGCCGCCCCGCGCTCTGTGCTGCTGGTGCCCCAGGCAGGTGAGTCTGACCAGGGAGAGACGCCGCTTGGCACCTGGAGCGCACGGCGAGGGATGGAGTCGGGCAGGTGGTACCAGGCTCGGGCTGCTGGAAAAGGAGGAGGTGGGGAGGGGGAGGTCGCGATGTCGCAGGCATCTGCCGCCCCAAGCAGGCGGGGTTCTTAGAGGAGCGAACGGATGTTGTGGCGGTGAGGAACACCGACGGGGGGAATTAAGAGAGGGGAAGGCTTGCAGTTCCTTATTGCCGCCGCCCCCCACCTTCTCCGAGGCTGACAGCCAGGGGGTTGGCGTTGGCCCACTGAGAAGAGAAGTTAAGATTCTCGGCTGCCCCCTAGATCCGAGCCAAGGTTGCTGACGGGAAAGGCGCGGGAGCGATGGGGCTGAGGAGAAGGCAAAGTTAGGAGTTTGCGTGTGCGTGTGCGTGTGAATCTGCCTCTTACAAGATTTTGGAACTGTCCCATTCCCAGCAGCGTACCTGGAAGGGGAATCTCGAAAGGGAGCCTTTGTGGTGGGTAACCTTTCCCAGACACCTAACCATGTCTCCTTCTCCCACACACTGTTATGTTAGGGGTGTCGATGTCAGGACTTGGGAGACAGCATGCCTGCTTGAATTCAGCTGTGCTCCTACCGTTCCCCCCTGCAAGGTGTCTTGTAGTGCCTTCAAGACAATAAATGTCTTGTGCTACAAGACTTTGTTGCTTTTGCTGCGTACAGTAGAATAAGAGGTCCGCCCCCTCCCGGATTTGCCTCTTGCATACTTGCCCCCTGGAACCTGTTTGGGCGTGTGATTTATAGCTTGCTAGTGCTTCCTTTTGTATAAATGTATGTCCCAAACCTGGAAAGGAGCACTAGGTGATGCAATATTATATTGTCCCACACATTTGTAATACTCAGTTAATGGGATTCAGCATTGGAGCATCTCTGTTTTGGGGAGATCCTATGATAGAGGAGATGTGTGGGTCGCATGGGTTGATGTAAGCAAGTTGTAGTAGCTTTGTATCATTTGTTGGGTGCAGGCAAGTCATTCAATTTTAGAAAAAGTGTGTTTGTGTTTACAGGAGTAAAGACAAGGTAAGGACAGAGCCTTCTGTGGTGATGTTACATAAAACCAGTAACGATTAACCTGTATTTTTTTTTTTGCACAGGGCAGGACTCTCCATTTAACTTCTTACCTAAATAGCGAGCTAGCATTTGATGTGCTGGATTTTTTTAGCCCTGGAATTTGTTTGTCCTCACAATAAGCATGTATAAGCAAACTGAAGTTGCAAGTTATCTCCCTCCGCATTCTACAGAAATCATTCTATAGCTCATACATTCTGTCACAAGGGCATAGCAAAGATGTCATGAACCAAATCTGATTTTAAAGTTTTTGCCATTTTTCTAGATTTTTAAAAAATGCACTTTGTTTATGTCACTGCTTTGTAGGAAAATCTCCATCAAGTGGTATATAAATATTATGAGAGAAATAAATAAAGAGATACATAATGATGCAAGAGGCTGAAGCCTTAAACGTCATCTTGGGATCTGCATTGTTTATGTGGGTTAATGTGGTTGCTGTACCTACCTATCCATATAGATGTGGGCTTGTTTGTTCTGAACAGCTTTAGGCTTCAGTTTGGCACCTTCAGTGTTCAGAACAGCAGAGGCTTGAAACTGACAAATAATGGACGAAGAGTATTTTACTTGCTTGGCCTGCAGGGGAACCTTGGGCTGCAACTTTTGTCTGCTCATATTTATTGGTGTGACAAATACAGTTAGTGTAGACTATAAGACTGTATCAGTTTAGATGCCAAGCAGTTCTCAGTCTGCAAATGGTATGGTATTGCAATTCCTATTTCTTAATATAGTAATCTTTCACTCTAGGATTTCCTTCCTTCTTTCTTTTAAGTAAAGGTAATTAGAAAATAATAATAATAACTATTGATATAAATAATTGTATACATGTGGTTATAAATAATGTATGCAGAAACTTTGAATATGAGAGAATTGTGTGATACGCTTTGTGGATGTCTCAGGGATTTCACTGCATGTTTACTTTGAAGTATTTGCAGGGAACAAGTTTAGGATTGCAGCCTTGGACTGTGATGTCATAGGGGAAATCATCAGTGACATTGAGGAGGACTTGTTCCCACCTAAATGTGATTGGGGATAAGAGTTTGGGCATACACCATTTAATGCATTGTGTTAATTGAGCTTCTGCTTGTTATTTCTGTGGGGTGTGTGTGTGTGTGTGTGTGTGTGTACAATTCATAACCACATACAAAATAATCTGTAAAAGCAGGGATGAACAAAGTCTTATTTTCTGTCTGCCTGCCTGCCTGCCTGCCTGCCTGCCTATTAGCATTAACTCTCAGTTTTATGGCTGCATTATATATGTATCCTTTTCCAACACACACACACACACACACACACTTTTCATACCTATTCATTATCTGTGGTCAGAGTCATTAATTATTGTTATCACAAAACTTATAAAATAAATATCTTGTCTGGGACTTAGTCACATATCTATACTGAAAAGGGCAATGTAAGTGTTTCTCTCCCAGTCTCCAAAATATGTTCCTTCTGTTGAGAGAGGAAAGGTCCAGTAGCAAGGCTGTTGCTATTTTTCCCCTATCTGTATTGATAAAGAAAAAGGTTTGTGTGATATTCAGTGCCTGATTTATGTATAATCTACACTATCTGTCTGTGGAAAAGACAACTGTTATTGTTTGGTAATACGTTAAAACCCCCCGATTTGACTCCTTGCTATCTCTGCAAATTGTGCATCTTCTCCGATGTGTCAGAAATATAGAGAAGGGGTAGAAATATAGAGACAAAAGATATGGGACTTACAAAAAAATACCCTTGCTTTTCTTAGCCTAAATATCTGTTAACCGTTGCGGGCTGTGCTATTATTAGCTTTCTCTCTCTCTCTCTCTTGTACCAACCAATTGTGTATAATGTGCCTAAAAACATCCTATTCTTAGTTCTTATGCTTTGTTCTTCATTGTGTTGTATCTGCAGTCTCTCTACAAACCATTCGCAGTGCCCAGATCAACCTCTTTCGCCAGCCCATCTTGTGCTCCCTCCACAGTAAGCATCAAATCTGCCTGTGATCCCATCTGTCTTGTGGCATTGCCTAAATAAGCTACCTCAAAATTAGCCTGGGATTTTTTCATCCGTATCTTCTGCTTTTCCATTTGTGCCACCATTGTTTGTGTATAATCTAAAGGACTGACACACAACTGCCCTGTGCCAGACATGGTGTTGTGCTGACACTATCCATGGCCCTTTGCAAATGGCAGGCACATCAGGAGTTGAGCAATCACACTGCCTTGCTTCTTCCAGTGGTGCTACTGTAACTGGGTTGTGGAGCAATTTTGACAAATTCTGTGGCATTCTTTCACTGACTGGTGGCTGTTGTGATTGGAGGGAGTTATTGGTATTAGAAGATTGAGATGGGACTAAGGTCTATTTCGTATGTGACTTATCCTCTACTCAGGAGAAAATGCTCCATATAAAGTATCCTTAAATAAGAAAGTACTCAGGTATGTAGGTTAGGGTTGGTCAGCAGCATCACATTCTCAAATAAGGTAGGGAGCTGCTTTATATCAGGGCAGACTATTTGTCCGTCTGGTTCAGCGTAGGCTGCAGTGGCTCTCCAGGGCTTCAGGCAGACTCTCCCACCTGAGGTTTCTTAACAGAAGATTTCAGGGATATTCTGGAGATCATCTGCAGGCAAAGCATGTGTCTTTCCCATTGAGTTGTGGTTCCTCCCCTTCCTTTAGGAAGCTCAGTGCAATGCATATAGTTTACTACCATATCAGTCTAAACCCATATTGGTAAGATACCAACTCATATCAGCTTTTTGAGGGGAGGAGTCGGCTTGCTTTTTTATTTTTTATTTTGTACTGAATATGTTGAAATTCTTGTAAGGCCTGTCTAGTCTCGTCTCATACGTTAGCCTTGAGGTGCCATGCAACCATCTATCAAGGAACTATTTCCCCAAAGTTGGAGATGACTGGCATGCTAATATAATAGTATGTTTCATACAAGTAGATGCGATTTGTGTCTGTTCTGTTTTATGTCACCTTGGCAAATATTTCCTGAACCGGGACATGAAAGGATATACTTATGGCTTTCCTTTGATTTTGTTATGACTTAAGTTTGTATGTTATTGATGGTGGTAGCGGTGGAGAAATCACATTTGTTGCTATAATAGTACTCAATAAATACATTATTTTACTGAAATATTCTGAATACTGTTTTTCATAAGTTAGTGAACAATCTAGATTAAATACGGTAATTAGAAGTTACTATGCAGTTTGATTCCCAGGCTAGCCCTGAAAAGCAATGAAGGAACTGAACCTGAATTTGACAGACTATGTCACTGTTTCCCTAGTTGGACGTTCTTGCAAGTGGGTGTTCTTTTCATATGGAATGCATCAACTAGTGAAATGTTGTTAACACAGGAAAAAAAAATCTGGAGGAAATGTGTTTTCAGACCAAATACAGGTCCTAGCCAATATGTTTTATACTGAAATTAGAGCTGGAGAATATGCCAACTCCGGTTGAAGAGCTGCATCTGAATATGGCTTGATCTGCTCAGGTTGTTTTCTTTTGTCTCCTGATCTTAGGGTTCAGGAGACTGGCCCTAAAACCTTATGTTTCCATACTGATCCATGTGCTGGAGCGTACTGTCTAAGCTGGAACTCCTTCACAGATGCTACAGTGTGAACTTTTACTGAAACTGTGAAATAGCTGGGCAAATAATATGTTACGTACCTTTTCTTCTGCGTTCAAAGAAGAATTGTACAAAAGGATTGTGAGGCTATATTGTTTGAAATTTTGAATTCTTAGTGAGTTGATACAAGTGGTCTGAACCCAGTCCAACATATTTAGTGTGATAAAGCAAGAAGCCCTTCATTATTGGCTCACTGTTGTACAGTATTTGGTTTTTAAAGTTGCCCAATCTGATGCTAGCCAACACATCCATTCCTTTAAGTGCTGTGTGCTTTTTCTTACTGGAGAATCCACACCTGATTCACTCTGTCCATTGTAGAGCTGTTTTGGCATTCAGTGGTATGTGAAATAATAATAATCTTAAAAGCAGGGGAGCCCTTTCCAGCATGGGCCAAACTCTATGTAATGAGTTCTCTCCTTTAATAATAATAATAATAAAAATACAGTTAGATTATTATCAGAGCAATAAACATATTCTATAACAAACTTGGGGTACCCCATCGGAACATAGGAAGCTACCTTATGCCAAGTCCGACTATCACTCCATATAGCTCATTACTGTCTACACTGACTGGCAGTGGCTGCCCAAGGTTTCAGACACTCCAAACCTTAACTGGAGATTTAACATGGGACCACCTGTGTGCAAAGTGTTCCTTCTGATCTGGAGCCTTTCCCTGAGTCATCAACATGGATGGGAGTCCTGTGGTTGGAACTCTCTCATTTTTTTCTTGAAAAGAAACGGAGTTTTTGTGGTTGTAACAAAAGGAGAGAAGGCTAGGAAGAACTTCCTTGCGCAACTGCTGCATAACAGCCAATTGTTGGCCAATTGTCTCTTAATTTCCCAATAGTTGCTGCCCCCACTGCTCTGTTTCAGACTTACAGCTTCACATGGGAGGGACACCTGGGGTGCTCAAAGAAGTATTGGTGCCTGCTGTCCTGAGACAAACACCCTGTATTTCCGAGCCAGTTCCCTCTGTTAGCATCCACATCCAACTGCCTCCCCATGAAACCCACTCTTCTTTCCTAGTAGCACATGTGGTAAAATTACCGGAATTACCGTGTTTGGCAAAACCACACTTCAGACCCCAGCACCCAAATTATATTAGACTTTTTATTAAGAATAAACAAGAGAAGGTAAGAAGACAATTGGACAAAACAGAATGAAAACAAATGGAGCTGGGTGACTCAAGCCTGTCTGCTTCTATGTGAATTACTCACAACAAGGTGTTTTCATCTTCTCAAGAGTACAGCTGTAAGGAAAGTCAGTTGCAGGTTTTCCAGGGGTCACTGGGGGATCAAATGTACCTCTGATCTGGAAGGGATGCCTCATGCATTGTCTTCAGTGGCACCTGCTCCTTTTGATTAATCAGGACCCATGTGATATTTGGAAGGTACCTAGTGTGACACCTTTGTGTGGGGGGGTTGTTGCTAGACATTGGGGCAGGCATAGATGGCTATCTCTTGGTGGAAATCTGTCCTGAGCTTTTCCAAATTTCTTGCCAGACCATGCTTTTCAAGAGGTTGGTGGATTCAGGAGCTAGCAGTATACGTGCTGGCCTTACTTGAGGAAAATGGAGGGGAGAATGACCAGTGGCAAGATTAGGACTTCAGTTTGTGTGTGTGCTGCAGCCCCAATCCAAATTTCCCTCTGAAAGTGCTGTTGGGTGCAAAGAGGAAGCCTTAACAAGTAGACAGTGTTCATATGTTTCCCTCTTTATAGTTAATAGCATTCTTGGGAAGAGATTAGAATAAATACAGGTTCAGATAGTTAGATCCCTTCCCCCCACCACATCCCAAATCCAAATTGCCCCACACCCTGTGACTACTTTTTAAGAAATTGGAAGGGGGGGGCGTTGAGGGAAACTCCAGCCACAGAACCCTCATGTATCATAATATACATATTTTAACTGCTAGCTTTCATGAGCCTCGTGTAAGATTTCTAATCTGTAAGCACTAGATGTCACTTCCCTTGGTAGAACTTGAGTACAGAAAACACACATTAACCTCATCAATGGGCTGAGCTTCCTAATGGAGCCCAGCACAACTTGTGTTCCATAAGGTCAAACACAGCCCACCAGCCTTGAATTGTATCCTGGCAAATGATTGGCAACACTCCTCTTCCACATCCCCAGACAGGCTGCAAAAACAGGTGGTTTACTGCTTCTGGTGGGATGGCATACATAGATATTGAGCTGTGTCAGTGTGTGGTTTGATGGGTCATAGATTAATCCAATTTACTATATATATGAGAGAGAAAAGTGGTTTTGCACTGGATAGACAAAATAAAGGTTTTTTTTTTTCATTTGCTGTTGTCAGACTTAACTATTGTAGCGCCTCTTCTGTAATCTCTCCAGTTTTCCAGTTTCTTTTAAATGTGGAACACAGAACCCTGTGCAATATTCTAGAAGGAATCTTGCCACTGCTGTAAACAATTAACAGGGGTAAATTGTTTTACGTTCTCATTACTCGATGTTAATACAACCAGAGACCATATTAGTCTCTTTGGCTATACCACAGCATTGGAAACTTGCATTAAATTGCTTGTCCACTGTAAAATCATTTGAAGAATTACCTCTGGTGTTGTAAATTCCCAGATGCTACCCTTCCTTAATTAATCATCTTTGTGGATCTTATTGATGATTTGCTGCAACACAACTATGTCGTTTTGCAGGTTTTTGTTTGTGCGTATGTGTGCACACATGATTCTCTTAACTGTTATGTCTAGCCTAATAAAGAGACAAATGGAAAGGTAAATCTTGAGTTCTTAATCTTCAGTCATGCCTCATAAGACGAATTTGGTGTAGCATTTTCAATCTTGAAACAGGTTTTGAATTCATGGGAATCAAAATTTATTCTTTTTAAATGCAGCTCCTCTAGTTAAGGATTGTTTTGGGCATTACTTAGCAATATCCCCAAAGGGTTCACAATATGGAGCTTTCTTCATGGGTTCCTCTCATAGAGTGATTTTTTAAAGCTACATTTCTATCAGCATTACCTATCTGTTCTCATACCACACATGAACTTGAATTTGAAGGTCTCTTCTATAAGCAGAAGCACTCTTTCTAGCCTCAATGAAGAACATGGCATGAGATCAGAAGTCTGTGTGACTTTGCACAAGCTCTTTCTTCAGACCTTGTTACTGCTCACTGTAGAGTTTACATCTTGTATTCTTCACCATGCTGCTCATACTCTAACACAACCCTCAATACATTGCGGCCCTACACCGTGAGGAGTCTGCTAGCACTTGTTCAAGAGCTTTCAGAACACCACTATCAATATTTTCTCCTTCTGCTCATGGTTCTTTGGACCCAAAGTATATGTTTCTTTCAAAGACAAATCCAGGAGCGATTTTTGAAATATTCAGTTTCAAATTAAATTCTGCAGCAGAGTTGCAAGTTAAAAGTTTTATAAGTCATATTAGTTTGCATAATTTATTTTGAACATAGAAGTTTAATTCCTTTACAGAATCAAGATACGTTATTATGTATGTTGAGTATTCATCCTGAATCATTTATGGGAGGTTAAATTACATTGCATCAAAGCAAGTGTGATACCACATGCTGTGAAGTTAGGGATTTTTAAATAATAAAAATCCTTCTGTTAAATTGTAGCTCACCTCATGCCAAAGGTTAACGGCAGGTAGCAATATATAAAAGTAAAAATAGGTTTATAAAACCATCCAATTAAATCAAGTAGCGACCTTCGCTGACTAGTCTAACCCTTGACTATCTCAAATGACCTGATACTAAGAACGAAAGAGAAACACTATTCTTGAAAGAACCAGACTTGGATTTTCTTTTTCAGAAGAAGTTGAAGAGCAGCCACCCAAAATGCCTCTTGATGTGCTCTTGCAATTCTAGCTTAGTATACGGGTGGTAAACCTAGGAGGTGTGTTTGACTGAGTTTAAAAATCATAGTGAGACATCGGGGTGGAGTTTTTGAGCATACTGACACCGGCCTAGGTCTCACCAGTTGTTCGTATCATTCTGTGCTGTGGAATCTGTTGACCTTGATGCATGTGGACCCTAAATTAAAAGAAGACAGGCACACTTGACTCCAGGAATGGAATTCTAGCCTCTCCGAAAGAGATTTGGACATGTAATATAAATTATGAGAGATGGCAGCACTGAAATTTGTGAGACGGTTGTGTGTGTAAGGGGAAATTTCCAAGGCATTTTGTGTATGTGTGAGAGAGATGCTGTTTTGTTTTATGTAATTCATCTATTTTTAGTGTAAGATGTATGTGGAGCATTTGTGTTTGTTCCACACTGTTGCAGATTAATTGACACAGGACACTCCAGTCGGTGTGCCTTTTTGGAATGTACTGTATGTAGGTTAGAATTACAATATCCGCTTTGCAGTTTGTTTGCTCCTGAGAAAGTGTTTTATGTATTAACAGGTCTTAGCCCAATGCTTCCTTTGCTCACTACTCCTGCAGCTCAAGAGGGATTATTTACTAAATTACTGCTCCCCTTGGCTTTACTTTGCAGTAGGGCAGTGTCACTGCCATGATGGATGAGTTAATATAGTCAGGAAAAATTAACTGATTTTTAATAGGACAGGGGAGAGCATAGTAGTTCAGAGGAGTTTTGAGACTACCTTTGTTTCATCCAACCCTTCACCATGGATTAATTGCTTTATCTATGTTCCTGCTTGCCCTGTCTGACCAAGCTCTGTGTCTGTTAATTAATTTGTTTGTTTCATTTGTAACCTTTCCTTCCTCCAAGGAGCTCTGAGTGGCATTTTTAAAACTTTGAACTGCCCGCTGATTTTGGTTGAAAAAGACTTGCCCAAGGCCACCTAGGGAGTTTGATAGCTGAGCAGAGATGAGAATAATACTCTATTCACTTTTCTGCACTTCCTTTTGGCTGAAAGGAGAGGGAGCCCTATACTCCAGAGGAGATGATGGTCTAATAGTGCATTTATATTGATGTAGTAAATGTAGCATGTGGCTTTGATATGAAACTACACAAATGCAGAGAGGGAGAGATGGCAGCACCAAACAGCATGACAACACTTCTAGACCAGTGCCTGCCAAATTTAAAGACACAAGCTCTGCAGGACGACATAGTCTTAATTAATTCCCAGCTTAATTTTGTTCAATAAAACTTTTAATTCCAGATGGGAGTCAAATGTGCCCCTTGGGGTGTAAGTGCCTGTAGTATAGCCTGTGGTGCTATGGAATTCTGTTACACATGCACACAGAAACTCTGCTACAACGAGCTTTCTGCCCAGCACGATCCCAGAAGCTATAAATCACTGTGAATGACAATAATGCACAGTGCAATCCTATGCAGAAATCCTATACAGTCAGAAATAAGCTCCATTCAGTGAAGCAGGCCATACTCCCAGGTAAATAGGTATACAGTGCAAATCCTATACTGTTCAGAAACTCTGTGGGACTTTCTTCCAGATAAGTGTGTGTAGGATTTCAGGCAGACTTCCTTGCTTTGTTCACCTTTAAGTATTTTTCAGTATTCTCACCTAAAAATGGAGTGTCCTTGTTATACAATTCAAAGGCTGCTTCCAAGATTGGTATGATTGGAGTTAGCTAGTAATTCTCTTCCATTTGTGCAAGGAAAGTGCAGAAGCAAGAGCTACATAACATCATTGGACAATTATAAGACAGTAGCAAAGATCGGGAAAAGGGTTGCACTTTACAGCTGAACTTATCACAGTGAGCACAAAAGGTGCTTGGAATTCAGTTTTCTTTTTCTTTTTAATGAGTCCATATACTAATCCCCATAAAATAAAGTCATTGTATACAGGTTGCATTTTCCATCTGAGGCTGTCTGAAGTTGCTTTTTTAAAAAAAATCTTTTGTAGAAAAGAAACGTTTTTCAGACCTTTGAGCTCAAATGTATTAAAAGTGGCACCACTTAAATTTAGCCAGGTTTTCTCTCTCAGAAAAAAAGACCAAAACTTAATGTCTCTTTGGAGAAGCAGGTCCATAAACTGCTTTCATGCAATTGAAAAAGTGTGACACATGTATGAACCAATCTTCCAAACCCCATTTTTCTTTCATTGTGAGAGCTACTCTTTCTAGTGGAACAAACAGGCTGTACCAGCACACAATGACAATCAGTTAGTGTGGTTGAGATCCTGTTTAGCCATTTTGTAGCTCTTGAGCCCAATCAGTTATTTAAAGATTTGTCTTAAAAAAAAAAAAAATTAAAACCCCACTCTCCAGCCAAAACTGATTACCAGGGCAGCTTCCAGATCACTATAAACAAGGCTGTTTATACCCTTACGTTTAGAGCCTAAACTGGCATAAAGTGAAAATGGATTGTGAGGGAAGAGGAAATAATCAAACACTGGTGAAAGTTCTTAGTTACAAATTCTTCTAATGACCCACTGGGTTGGAAAGGTTTCAAATCTTAAAATGCACACAAACAAAAATTGCGATATAAGGCCTCCATCTGGAAGCCAGGGCCTATGAAGAACCTAAAGTCCCTTCTGGTTTACACCTCCTTGGACTCATCAGCTGCTCAGATAAGCCCAAATATCAGTGTGGTGTAGTGGTTAAGAGCGGTAGACTCGTAATCTGAGGAACCGGGTTCACGTCTCCGCTCCTCCAAGTGCAGCTGCTGGGTGACCTTGGGCTAGTCACACTTCTTTGAAGTCTCTCAGCCCCACTCACCTCACAGAGTGTTTGTTGTGGGGGAGGAAGGGAAAGGAGAATGTTAGCCGCTTTGAGACTCCTTCGTGGTAGTGATAAAACGGGATATCAAATCCAAACTCTTCTCTTCTTCTAAAGCATGAACTAATTTATAAGACAATTCTTAAGAAGGTGGCAGAAATCTATTGAATCCCAACTCTCAATAAAATATACTTTAAAATATACAAGCATTCATTCATTTTAAAGCAAAGCAAATGAGTATTTGCACTAAGTGGTAAAGAAAACAAAAGAATGAATGCTCTGCACCATCACTAGCCATCCTAGGGCAATTTAGCATGCACAGCTCAAATGATTTACGCTTTCATAATGAAATTAATAATTTTGTATTTCAGTGTTAACAACAAACATATGTTTGAATAATGAGATCCATCCAAGTGTTGTTGCTCCAGATCCGGAAGACTGGATCTGCTTTTGCAGCAATGAAGTAGCTCAGCCTTGAAATTTATGTAGGAGCTGGAGGCTCACCCTTTCCAGGCTCTTAGGCCATGATCCATGCAGGTGATTCCATGTAATGTCTCAGGCAATTATATGGGCACTTTGGCAACAGTATTTCTGAAGTTCCTGCCTAGCTCACTATCTTCTCTGTTCCTGTAGACCTTGGGGGAGATGGCGGGCGAGTCTGAGAGCTGTGTAGTAATCCAGGCAGTGTTGTGGGTAGGACATCCAGTCAGGGATGTCCCGATTCAGTGGCTCCTCAGGATCATCAGCATTGTAGAGATCTGCTCCCCAGCTGAAGAGACCTTCATATGAGCTCTGTTCAGAGTTGAACCCTGAGACTACTGTAAGAAAATCAGGTGCCTATTGTGATATAAGAAAAGACACAAAGCTTGCGTCTTGCAGATTTTGTTCTATTTTACTCTTTCCTCAGATTTTGACATTCTACTCAGGTTATTGTTCGGAAATGATTTTGAAATAGTTTTGTGATTTGCATAATCACTTAAGTCGACATCATTATTCTTATTTTTACCTAAAAGACTTTAACCCACTTTCTTAGGTTATGATTTCTAAAGAACCTCAAGATTGGCATAATAACTTGTATTTTTTTTTATTTTTTATTTAATAGATTTTGACTCCACCTGCTATGGTATCTACCCTCATTTAAATCTGTTTAAATAAATAAAAAGCCTGGGAATGTACAGATACTCTGTCTACTTATCTCTAGCTCCTGTAAACATAATATGATAATGTAAAAATGTGGGGAAGAGAATGCCCTTCATAGAGAGCAATAGACGCTTCATATGTTGCTGGCTATTCAAAGAAACAGCTGTCTTGTATCAGAAAGTTAGTTTCCATACACAAGGCATTTCTCAAGGACAAGAATGTGTGGACTAAAATTGTTGTTGTGCCAAATGGTAAAACCAGCACTTTTCTGTGTGTCTGTTTTTTTGCATGGATTCTAGTCCATGGTCTGCACTCTAAACAATGAAAGGATTTGTGAGCTTCGCACACATCAAATTGGCATCCCTGACACCTGCAAGGGTTGTGCCAGTTACCATGCTGTTTACTGCTAGCCCAAATATACTAAAAGAATCTTGAGCAATTATTAAGTAGGGAGGCATTATCAAAAGGTAAACTAGTATCTTGGTTACTGGGCATATTTATTAATTACCGGTAATTGTAAGGATACCTTCAAGTTGGCATCTGTGATATATAAGAATATATACCGTATTTACTCAAATGTAATGCACACTTTTTGACTAAATGGCATCTAGGGTGCACATTAGATTTGATGCCACATTTACATTTGCCAGCAAATACCCTATTGGTTTCATGAGGTGCGCATTAGATTCAAGGGCACATTAGATTCGCTTTAAAGCAGTATTTCTTAACATACAGGGAAGCACTGGGATATGAATCTTAGCATACTTGCCTATTGAGACTAAGTTTCCATCGGTGGAATAAGATATGGCAGACAGTAGTATGTTCAGGGAGAAGGTTTATGGTGCCTCATTACTGCTAGCTTTGACTGAACTGGGAGGAAACATACATTGTATTATTGAGCTGAAGTTAACACAGTTTAAATATTTGGAGAAATGATACAATAAGTATGTTAACGCAGTTCAGGAAACAATAACAACACTCACTGCACCCACAGAAAAATACTGAGCTGTGACCCACTTCTTAGTCATGAAGAAAAAAGAATGGACATCATTCATATTCCTGGCCAGGAGTCAAAAGCAAGGCAAATTGCTGAGGATTTACTATGACCACATTGTATTTAATCACAGAATCATTATTCAAAGTATTTTTAATCTATTTTTTGAGGTACATGTGCCACAAAACAAGTCACAGCATATCTGAAAATGCTAATCCAAATATAACTGCAGCTCCAATCCAAATAGTCATAGTTGGGTAGAGGAATCCCAGGAGGGGCTGGGCGGGGGGGGGGGGGGCGGCACAGCACAGTGGGTCTTCTGTTGCAGCTGTACTAGCCAGAGTGGAAGGGAGAGGGTGCATTAGTACAAGGACAATAATGCAAAATAAAAACTATAATATTGCTACAGTATAACACTAACAATTGAACAGTTAACAATTCATTTAAAACACAAGTAAATAAAATTACCATACTTTTCTCTCTATAACACGCAGATTTTTTCTCCTAAAAAGTAAGGGGAAATGTCTGTGCGTGTTATTGAACGAATGTGTGGTCCCTGGAGCCGACTGGCCCGAGTGCAGGGGCAAAAATCCGATTGCGCGTCAGGGAGGAGGGACGCCTGAAGAGATGAAGCTGTTGCTTTCCTGCATTCTGCCTCAGGGTCTTACTGCCCACCCTCTTCTGTTTCAGTTGCTGTTTGCTCAAACGGAACAAAGAGCAGGGAAATCCCCTCCCCTCCAGGCAAGCAGAGGGGAAAGGAAAGGATCGCGTCCCAGTGCTCCGGTGCTGCTGCGTCCAGGGAAGCATTTTAGGGACTCGCAGGCAGCCAGAAAACATGCAGGTGGGAGAGAGAGAGGGCTGGCTTGGGTGGGTGGGTGGAAACTTTTGCCTTCCTTTCCTCCCTCCCGTTAAATCCCTCTCCTGCATTCTTAGCCAGCTGCTTCTCTGCACACCCCTCTCGTGCTCCTTGTCCCTTCTGTGTTTTTCCTTCCCTCCCCACTTAAAACGTCGTTACAAAGCACGGATCCACATGGATCCTCAGGATCTTTGCATTGGGTCACCCCAAATTTACCATCAGATCACATAGCAGGTCCATGGCTACAGCCTGCACCAAAAAAATCACACACCCACTGTTGCCTGGGGCTGCAATGGTGCAAAAATGTGGTTACAAAGCATGGATCCACATGGATCCTCAGGATCTTTGCATTGGGTCACCCCAAATTCACCATCAGATCACATAGCATATCCATGGCTACAGCCTGCACCAAAAAAATCACACACCCACTGTTGCCTGGGGCTGCAATGGTGCAAAAACGTGGTTACAAAGCATGGATCCACACGGATCCTCAGGATCTTTGCATTGGGTCACCCCAAATTCACCATCAGATCACATGTCTGTGGCCACAGCATGAGGCACAAAAATGATACATCCACTGTTCCATTCAGAATTCCCCCCCCCTTGTTTTCCTCCTCTAAAAATGATGTGCGTGTTATGGTCAGGTGCGTGTTATAGAGCAAAAAATACGGTAATTGAGCATAAAGCACAACAATAGGTCAGTAAATAATATTCCGTATTATCTCCAAAGTTAGTACCTAGCAATTTCCCATTTATACCAAGACCCCAAAGGTTAGAAACTCCTTCTCTCTGCAGAACCCTAGCTCCAATGGGCAGGAGGGTGGAATAATGGCAGGTGGAAGTTGCCACCCTGCAGTAGTTTGCTTTCCATTTTCTACTGTGTTTGTGAGAGAGATGATGATGAGACAGAGGGAGCGTAGCAGACACTTTATTCCAGGCAGCTTTCACATCCGCTCATCTTGATTTCTTGTTACCTTCCTGTGTGCTGCCACATATCTATTGTTGAGGCTTTCTGCCTCTAGAATTATGGAATGTAGAGATTTCTCAGGGAGGTGAAGGGGTGGGGACATCTTGCTGAAGTGGCAATATTAACTTCTTTGTCAGGGGTAATTTGCTGGCTAAGGCTTTCTCAGAGTCTAGGACACAAGCTGAAGCTGCCAGCCCAACCTTGTCCCCTCCTCCAAAAATAAAGAGAACCAGCTGTCATTGAGCCAAAATGCATTTATTGTTCCCAAGGCCAAACCTGCTGTTAGTCCTCAGAGAATTGCTGACAAAAGTTAACCTGAATAATGATCTGAAGTATTTCAGAAACTGGATATGGACATGTTTCTAGATGTTGATTCTAAAGGCCACAAGGGGATATTACAGCAGTTCTCTGCTCCCTGCTCCTGCCTAAAAACAAACCTCTGAGGTTGTGTACATACACCCTTTATAACAGGACTGGCCTTGAATCAATCATTATTGATGCAATCAAATGATAGCCGTGTAGCATGATGGTAGAGTGGCAAAAGAGAAAGTGGAGCTGTGATAGAAACCTTGAGATGGTGCAGAGACACAGTATCCAGGCGTGTGTGGTAAGTGGGGAAGAGATCAAAGGGAGTGTTGCATGTCAGAACTGCTACCTCTCCCAAAAGGAGCAAAGCCTCTATGGTTGCTCATTTGCACATGCCAATTTAAACATACATTTGAAAACTGCCGGTTATTTTGTAGAGTCTGTCTCTCAGGCTGTAACTCTGAGAATGTAAAAAAAATCGGCACTTTTATGGGCTTTAACTTTCTGGTGCTTTGCCAAGATTGGTGTTTTATATTTGCGCTGGTATTATCAAACCACTTAGTCTCTCCCTTGCATGCTGTGGAGGCTTGGGTCAGAGCTGGTTGCTATTTATGGAATTGCATGCTGTCTGAAGATTCTGCATGAGAAACACTTAGGAACTCTGCACCAGAGAATGAGGGAAAGGGAGCCAGATGAAAGAGTTTGCATTTGTGGGCAAAAGGTAGCTGCTTCTCAGTACTTAAAACCAATACAGTATATATTGTGGCCGATTCCAAAGTCTACTAACTCCTGAATCCAGGTGGGGTTTTTTGGAATATTCCCAGTTGGATTGAACTAGAGCAGAGAGAGCCAGCATGATGCCCTCCAGAAGTGGTTGGACTCCAACTCCCATCAGCTATAGGCAGGGATGATGGGAGTTGTAGTTCAACAACATCTGGAGGGCACCATTTTGGCTGCTCCTGATCTGGAGCTTGCTTGTCACTCTATGATTTTATGCATGTCATAAAAGGGTCACAGTTTGAGGAATTATTTGCACAGCTACCTATTTTCCAGGACATGGGTATAAGAGCACTATTCTCCCTCAGTTCCCCTCCCCCATTTTAAAAGAAATATGAATGTTAATTTGAATTTGCATTCCAGTATTTTATGAATGGGAGCCTTGCTTCTTATCTGCAAAATAATTAGTTGCAAATGTACAAGAGCCATAAAATATTTTGTACTTCTGTTATATCAAATAAATTTCTTAGCTGCCCTGAAACAGGAGATAAGGCAGCAGGTTTTCAGTGCTTTGCTAATATGATTTTGCTGCAATTAATAAATTTTGTAAAAACATATCCATATGTTTTTACATATGCTGTTTAGGGAAGCTTTTAATGTTTAATAGACTATTGTATTTTAATATTCTGTTGGAAGCTGCCCAGAGTGGCTGGGGAAACCCAGCCAGATGGGCGGGGTATAATTAATAAATAAATAAATAAATAAGATGAACTTATAAAAATTAACAAAATGACTCAGAAGCTTCATGAGCAATCTTATACTGAGTATCTGCCAGCTGCAGAAACCTCACTACACTGGCAAACACTGGATAAGCTGATGCCATGATAAGTAAGCTAGTGAAAGGTAGAGCATCCTGACAGTGGAGCAGTTTTCCCAGTGGAAACAGGCCTGTGGAATGGCTAAAATGTGGTGGAGTTGTGACTCTGACCGTCAAGGAGCACACACGCCAGACTGCATATCCATTCAGTTCAGAGCCACATTGATATGAAACCCCAAACCTGGCACAAATTTCCCTCCTGTGTTAATGACTGCCCAGCTCAGGCTGTCACAGCACAACTGGCACCATCCGTATATAGTGCCCACATGTGGAAATCATCTCAGATTATAGGGTCTGTCTGGCGTATGTCATGTACACTTCAGCTTTGCATGGGGGAGGTTTTTTTGGGGGGGATGAAAAGAAAGGACACTTTGTATGCAAAGAGAGCACTTTGTACAAAACTACTGTATAAGATTTATTTTGGGTTGGGGGAAAGGTAATGGGTTGAATTCAGCTAATGTGTTCTGCTAGCGGGAGATTTGAGCAAGCAATCTTCTGTGGACTTGGTTGCACTTTTGGCTGCCGCTTAGCCTTTTGTGTATCTTGCACACCGAGAATATAGTAATGTAATGGATAAGCTCCAGCTTTCTCCCATTTGAGTTGATTTTCCTCCATGTCTATGTTGTATGCAGACATTGCCCTGATTAATGGATAGTGTTATTGTTATTATTTATTAAATTTGTATAGCACCTTTCATCTGAAGAGAACACAAAATACATAACAAAGAGAACAAAATTGAACCAATAACCCTCCCCCTGGCCTACATACATATTTAAAAGGCTGTAGATTGTTTAATCAGCCAAAGACCTGGTTATAGAAAAATGTACTTGCCTGGTGCCTAAATATATGTAATAAGGCATTGGGTAAGCCTCCCTGGGGAGAGCATTCCACAAACAGGGAGCCAACACAGAAAAGGCCCCTTCTTGCGTTGCTAGCCTCTAGACCTCTAGTAGAGGAAACACATGAAGAAGTGCTTCAGATGATGATCACAGGATTTGGGTTGGTTCATATGAGCAGAGATGGTCCTTGAGGTATTGTGGTCCTGAGCCCCTTAAGGCTTTAAAGGTCAGAACCAGCACTTTGAATTGAGCTTGGAAATTGATTGGCAGCCAGTGCAGTCAAGCGAGGATCGCTGAGATATGCTCAAACCGACTTGCCCTGGTGAGCAACCCGACAATGTGGACATGTCTGTAATTTTTCCATTTTTAAATATATTTTACTTGTTCTATGTTTGTCTCTTTTCTTCTGAGCACACATTTGATGCAGTATTCATTCCACCAGAGCAAGGGTGCTGCATCTTCCTCCCAATCATAATTTGAGTTATGGTTGTATACTCATTATGTCAAATAAGTCTTTGGTATTTTTTGCCTGCCCTGGAACCTCAGGGTGAATAATATTAATAATAATAATTTCCTATTTTGATCTATAAGAAAATATTCCTCTGCAATTAGAATGCTGTCTTCTTAAAGATGAGGACATACTTATAGTTGGATGAAGCGGTCCCTTTGTGCGACATGCATTAGCAAGTAAAGTGCTCTGGGATGAAAGGATGCAGTGGAGATTAAAGCATATTGTCAGGTTACTGCATGATGCCAGGGTTCTAAATCTACACTTTCTTCTGTAAACAATGAGAGATGACAGGCTTTGGTACGGGAATTGCTGTGTGGGTTTGCCGTATGAGATTCCTAGGCTATATGTTGTGCATAATACCAGAGTATGGTTATTGTTCTCTTTGTATGCACTACTATAATATTTCACAGGTGAGAATAATTTCTCTGGCTTTAAGACTGAGCTGTTTCTGCATGCTTAGGTCCATTACTACCGTGAGAAAGTTTCACATTGTATTTAAGTTTAGAGAAATGTGTGAGATCCTTCTGAAAGCTATTTGTTTATGCATATGAAGAACCAAGTGGATTAAAATTGTTCAGATTAGTCCCTGACCTTATCTATATTTCAACTAGCAGCTTATTCAACTTTCCATTAACTACCTTTAATTGACAGTGTGCGTTTCACATTCTCAACACAGAGTATGTAATAGCAAAAAAAATAATAATATTAAGCATTCATATTAAAAATCATGTTCAAATTCAAAAAAACCAAGTAAGATAAATTGCAGTTTATCTTATAGTGTTGTACTGTTCCATAAATTAAAAACTGGGCATTTTAATCTTCATACATAATGAAAGCAACTAATAAATTACAATATGTGTGTTGTCACAATAATGTTGCATTTAAAATCCCTGTTTTAATTTTATTTTGGTCATAAATTAAATCTAATGAGTTGAAGGAGTTGCATTAGAAGGATTTTACTCCCTGTCCCAATACTTTTTGTCTATTTTATTGTTTGACTATCCAATTTTTCTTGTGCTAAAGAATGTTTTCCTTTTTTGCTCTGTGGGAAACCCAAGCTATATTAAATGGAAATGCTGCATTGAAGATTCTCAGAGAACTGTCAGGTACAAAAAAACTCACTCCTCTCAGTCCCTGTCAAGCTCTATGAGAAGTATACTAATAATAGGAAAAACATTTTCAAAGAGAATCCTTAATTGAACAGAATTGGTTTGAAAAGCAAAGTGGAGAGAGGAACAGGCCTGTTTGACTTGCATAGTTTTCCGGCAGAGATCTACTTAAGGGCCAAACTAAATGAGACACCATTCATGCAATTAGCAACTGAGTGAAGGACTTAAAAATAAACAACAAGTGACAGGAAACCCCTGGCATATGGGTAGCTTTAGCTGTTTACTCTTCATAGTCCTTATGTTGTAGTCGTTATGACGGGGGGCATGCACTGCGTGCATCGGAATAACAGCTTCCATTATGCAAATGGAAGATCTCACCAATGAAAATAGCAGATACAGGGAGCCAGCGCTAGATCAGGATCTCAGCTGGGGATGGGGCGTAGCAAAGCGAGACCCACTATTACCTGTGCTAGGTGCTCAATCCATATTGTGCCCTCACATCAGCTATTTACTTTAAAACACAATTCACATTATTACTAATTGCATAAATGATGTCTTCTCTTCTCTAGTTTGGTTCCAATTCTCTCACCAGTATGAGCTATCTAATGATTTCCATCAAAATTGAATGTGCAGTTTAAAAAAAAAAACACAAACCCTTTGTGGGCCAGTTTGGGATCATCACAAACCATTTTGTATCATGATGGGAATAACCCACAGCAAGCCTTGGTCTTGCACTCTACTGTATGCCCTTGTTTTCCTTCTCTAGCACAGATGCAAGGAGGATTCAGGAAGCTTTTGCTTGCTTTAGATTCACCATAGCTTGTCATTTCATCCAAAGCGAAATTGTGTTTAATCTTAACTATCATTTGTTTGTAGTGAGCCTTCATCTTCAAACCATGAATAATGGAGCTGGTTTGTTTCAACAAACCATAATTAAGATCAGGCATAGGCAAACTCAGCCCTCCAGATGTTTTGGGACTACAATTCCCATCATCCCTGACCACTGGTCCTGTTAGCTAGGGATCATGGGAGTCGTAGGCCAAAAACATCTGGAGGGCCGAGTTTGCCTATGCCTGATTAAGATTAACTGCAGATTACAGTTTGGATGCAATGCTGCACTGCGGTTAACCAAAACTGAAAGCCACAGAGGAGATGGAAGGGGGAGAGTGCAAACCTGAGTCTTGCTGCAGCTCATTCCAATTGCAATAAACCATGGTTTATCTTGACGTGCGAACCACCTTTCAAAAAAAGCTTCATGCAGGTTTATTAAAAAGAGTTATAGTATAAGTCCCTAGTAAGACTATAAAACACAGGTCTGTAAAAGGGTTTCTCTAACCCAAGGAAGAAAGAGGTAGGCTCTGAAATTAGATTCTATTCAAGGAGATGGTATGCATATATAGCACAGCTGCAACCTATCCCCTTGGCATGTCTTATGCAATCTTATTACGCAAATAAAGGCACAATCCCCTCCCCATTGAAAAACAACTGAGGAGAAGCTGCTCGTGCCTCTTTTTCCTTGGGCAAGGAGAATAGGATGAGTCCTACCTACGTTGAACCAAAAGTAAGACTAACAAAATTTAGACATTAACTTTGCAGATTTTGCCTCTGCTTATATAAAATATAGGGATGCGGGTGGCGCTGTGGGTTAAACCACAGAGCCTAGGACTTGCTGATCAGAAGGTTGGCGGTTCGAATCCCCCAATGGGGTGAGCTCCCGTTGCTCGGTCCCTGCTCCTGCCAACTTAGCTGTTCGAAAGCACGTCAAAGTGCAAGTAGATAAATAGGAAGTAGATAACCCCAGAGTCGGTCGCAACTGGACCTAATGGCCAGGAGTCCCTTTACCTTTTTATATAAAATATAAGTATTTGATAAAATTATTTCAGACAGTTCAGGCTTTTGCAATGGCCAGCCCTACATCAGCAGTCCTACAACAGGTATTGATTCTTCCTCAGGAAGCTTACTATCCATACTCTTTGTCATTTGTGTGTTGCTCTATTACTGGCATAAGCAAACTCAGCCCTCCAGATGTTTTGGGACTACAACTCTCATCATCCCTAGCTAACAGAACCAGTGGTCAGGGATGATGGGAGTTGTAGTCCCAAAACATCTGGAGGGCTGAGTTTGCTTATGCCTGCTCTATTACAATACTGGCACATTTACTTGCAATCTTGCCTCCCTCTGTGTATCCAGACTGTCGCTATTTTGGGTGGAATTCAATTACATACCAACATATTTGGGTTGCATAATTAAAGTTGATTTGGCATCCTTGCACAATAAACCTGTATACACACACATACACCTCTTTGCAATAAGGAAAGTGATGGGAAACAGCACTGGAAAATATGGAATAACACATGCTAGGTGCGATGTCATATAACCTCCCTGCAAACAAATCAGAATGAATGCTGGAAAAAAATAACTGTCATAGAAGAGCCCCACAAATGCACAAATCAGGACTGATGCTAAATGAACAGGCAGTCTGGAATTAACAATAGTTTGTCACTACTACTAATCTGTGCCATTGACTAAACCCCTTCAAAAATATTTGAGGAAGGAAGAGTTTAGTCCATCTTGAGGTGCCACAGTGTTCTTGTATTAGCCCTGTTAATTTGGGGATCCAATCAAAGCTAGTGCATACCATGCCAAGTCTTAGCCAAAGTGCCAACAGTACTTGGATCCTGTTAGAATTTGCTTGGCAGCAGCCCAGTAAAACAAAAAAATTAAGGACAACCAATGATAACCACAAACTCAAGATTGTGACAGAAATGAAAAGACTTCATCTGGCCATAAGCATTTAATCTCAGTTTGCAGCATGCCAAGGCTGTGGAATTTTGCTGTGTATAACTTTTTAAAGGAAGGTATCAGTTCATGATTTGCCATGCAATCCTATATGGTGTAGCCATTTACACTTCATGAAAATGACAACTAAAGAAGACAGATTTGCATAAAATGTGCATATGCTGATTCAGGTGCTCACTTTTGATGGGTTACTCCTGCTGCCCCTTCTTATCTCTAAACCCCACTTGGACTGCTCAACCCTTGAAATGGTGGGCTGACCTCTGTAGAATGACTATGGAGAGCATCTCCTTGTTTGAATTAACCTGTATTACTGATAATTAATATTTTATGTTGAAAATAAATTTGTCTAACCTGCTGCCAGCCAGTGATTCTTAATTCCTGGAATTATACAAATGAAAAATGCAGTCTTCTAAAACTACTCATAGTATTTTCACATTCTTATTAATTAATATGTAAGTATGCAAAAAGTGCTTTATAGGCTTTTTCTTGTGCTGACTTTCAACAATCCTGTAAGGGAAGGGTTTTGCTGCTCACATGTTCCAACCTGGCAGAACTGAAGGGGCAAAATAGAGCTTCCTCAAAATGTGCAGGTATCTTCTGAATGATGCTATAATTTCTAAACAATTTCTGTAAAATGAGAGTGGTGTGCTACTTTGTATGTATTTCCTGGAATTGGGAATGCTCCCTGTCATTATTTGACAGCAACAATCTCTCTCTCTCTCTCTCTCTCTCTGTGTGTGTGTGTGTGTGTGTGTGAGAGAGAGAGAGAGAGAGAGTGTGTCTCCAAAAGTGGGACATAGCTGACTTCCCATGGTAAGCATATGGTTGTCTCTCTAATTTTGTGTTCTGTAACGCTCCCCTTGGCAGCCATTTTGTGTTATGCTACACACACATACACCCCGCATGGCAGCCATCTTGTGAATAGCGCCCTAGCACTCTCTCAAAATTTGAAATGTGCCCACTAGTCCCTAGTCCAAAAAGGTTGCTGACCCCTAATTTATGGCTTATTGAAATTTATTGGAATTGTTTCAAAGCAATATGTGGCTTACAAGCTATAGCTATCTCCAACTTTAAAAATACAATGTTTTTAAACGGCTGGAAGCGGTTGAGAGAGACATCACTTTCCTTGGTACATAGATTCGCAGAACTGTAGAGTTGGAAGAAGCCACAAGGGTCATCTAGTCCAATCCCCCTGCAATGTTTGTCCAATGTGGGGCTCGAAATGCATTTATTTTGTTCCCTGTAACTTCTGGAATGCTTACGAAAACAATGCAAAACCTATTTACTAGAAGCAAAAAGTAGAATTAGCATCTTCACCAGAAGCAATGACCCTTCTTTCAGAATGCCTTCAGCTCTCTGATAAAACTATTCTCTATCTCCAGCCTTTGTTACATTTCATTAACCTCGTAAACAGTTACTGTCCTTGATGATGCTATGGGATTGGCTTAAGATGTAGCTGCATAGCAGCCTTGGTGATTTATGCTGCTGTTACTGCTGGTCTTGTGGCTGAATTATTCCATTAACTTGAGAAATGGCTTTCGTGGATCAAAAAAGTTCACAGGGTGCCATGTAAAGGGACATTATTGTTGCCTTTTCCACTGTTGCACTTCAGCTTTTGAATGCCACACCTGTGCTGCACAGGATCTGGGAATGAAGTGCTGGTTCTAGGTCTCTCCCACTGGAAGCTATGTACTGTTGCCTTGGCCCCACATGATGTTCTAGCACTGGTTCATTAAATATATTCATTTTTGAAGGGAGGAAGAGAAAACAACAGATATATTTAAATCAAGGGAGGCTGATCGTACTGTGCACGTAGTGTACTCTGCTGCCTTTTTTTTAAGATTCAAAATTAATACATACCAGTCTTTCTAGGGACTTAAGCATTTTTGGCTGTTTGTTTTGTTTTGCTCAATCTTCATTAAGGGCTGACAATTTTAAAACTGCAATGTGCAGCTTAGCAGAATAATGTTTTTTTATTGTTATTGAAAGCGGAATAAATTTGAACACGGATTTTAGATGAGCCAGCACAAATTGTAGAGTGCTTAATGGTATCTGTCTGCATTCAGAAAAGCATTGAGCTAGGAGAGAGGCTTCATGTGCCAACATGGAAAAGCCTTCATGCTAATGTGATTGTGCTGAGGGTTGTCAGGAGGTGCGGAGGGAGTTTAATGTCCAAGAGTGGCTGACAACTGTTTAAAATATCAACTGTGAGCTCTTATGCTCCAGGGATGTTGAGCCCAAAGCAGTTCACAAGTTTTATTGAATATCTGTCAAAACAGAAATAGGACACAAAAATGTTTGTACTTGCCTGGTGTTTTCCTGGCATTAATGTGATTATATAAAAGCAAAGTAATAATGCTGCTCAACTGATACAAATGCACAAGTTTCATTGGAAATCAGTAGGGTTAGCTTGTTGGTAACTGTGTGCAGGATTGTGGCCGAGAAGAGAAAACAGCCTTCCACATTCTTATGCATAGGATGTAGCGCCTCCCAGTCAGCCTGCGATGGAAAATGATGTGCATTCCCACTTCTTCAAGCAGAGTGAATGAAAACCTTGGCTTTTGTTCTCATTAACTGCTCTGAAATAGCTGACATAGCTACCACTTAAATTTTGTATGAAAATTTGTTCAGTGCAGTTCAGAAAATGATGCCTGCGGTACTTGACATGGAATTAACCCATGAACATGTTGCCATGAATGGAACAATGTGTGAAGGCTGCTGCTATTTGCATGTACATAAGAGGGATTATATTTGCCAGAGTTCTGCAATGTGGTGCTTCGTGCTTTCTACCCATTCAGCAGGCAGGTGGAAGTTATTTGGTTTAGGCTCTGTCCCCAAGCAGCCATAACTGGTATAATCCGTTGGAGTGATTTACATCACCTGGCAAGAAATGAGGTCTCTTCTACAGAAAAGGCAATTAATTTCCTGGAAATGTTTCTTCCACATTTTGTGAAATAGGCATGTTTTCCTCCATCTCACTTAGCTCTAGGAATCTCAGCTAGGGAGATTTGCACATGTAGGGCCCCTATTCAGACTGGGGGCATGCTATTCAGGATGGGCAAAGTGAGTCACTTCTGTCCACATTTTGGAGTCCCCTGTGCCTGCCTCGCCCATCTAATTGTGTTGGCATGGTGTGCATTTTCCCAATTTACAGTCTGGTATTGTGCAGACATTTTGCGTGCTGTAATTATGGCACAGATAACAAAAAAGTGTTACATTGGCATCTGCCCCCCCCCGACAGCTGAGAGTGGTGGTGAAAAGCTGGCTTTCTTTAACAAAATTTGCTACAAACATAGCCTTGAACTTTTCTCATACAGCAGTAGTAAAGTGAATACTAGGGGAACAGTAACCACTGGCTGCAAGAACCCTTGGCAGGAGCTACAAACACAACGCAGAAGAGGAACTGCAGAATTTCCCTCTCCCGTGAATTAGAATCTATTTAATAGAAACAGTAGTCTGAAGGGAGGGAATAGGCAACTTCTTTGCTGAATAGAAGAAATTAAAATGTTGGACTAACACTCCTGAGACTCCACTGCCCTTCTTCCCAACTTTGGCTTCTATATTTCTGGTTCTTTCTTTCCAAAAGTTGAACCCAGGGGTGAGGAACCTGTAGCCCTCCAGATGTGTTGGACTCCAACTTCCATCAGCCTCATATTAGCATAGTTATGGATGATGGAAGCATTATGTTAGCAATACGCACTCTTTAATGTGTTTCCATTCAGTTTTATTTATCTCAAGCTTTATCTCCAAAATGGCAGATCATCCTTATTATGATGTTTCTGGCAACCTATTCTTCCTGTTGTTGCTACGCTTCTTAACTCAAATTTGGTGAAGTGGGTGGAGAGTTGGAATTTGAGTGTAAGGAGATCAAAGTGCAAATTACCACTGAGTCACTAAGCTTGCCTTGGGCAAGTTGCTGTGTTGCAGTGTAACCCACCTCAATGGATTATTTTCAGGATAGACATGGCAGTTGTACAAGACTTCACATGCTGAAAGATGCTGTATAAGCTAACAGTGTCTTTGTTGCTGCTCATACTCCACAGATACATGCTGGGGCTGCAGGAGAAAACCTGATCCTCTTAGAGCTGTTCTGAACTAACAGCTGCTTGCAGACAATTTTAGATATATGTGCACACACTTGCTATCTATATCTTTCAAATGACCTGCACTGGCATGCACATACTTCCCCCACCCTCTCTATCGTGCCAGCCTGGAGAGACAGAGAAAGAGAGGGAGAGAGACTTGACAGTTGTCATTCATTGTTGCTGCCTTTACCCAAGTATATGGAGCTGAGAATTGTTTGCAAGAGGCATACCACAAACTTCTTTAACTAATTCTGGGCTGAAAGAGAGCTTGAGGTAAGCAGCCTTTCTGTGTAGTTCATTTTGTGTGCTTGTGCGACTGTAGTCCACCAACAGCAGCTGACTGGAGTGATGTAACACTTATCTTCTTCAGTAAATGTTATCGGCCTTGCATGTACCTTGGAATTACCGTACTTCGCTTTAGGCAGCGGTATTTGATGCGTTCAGTGTGGTGTCCAACACTTAAAATCCTGACACGCTTGAAAGGAACAGGAGCATGATAGACTAGGTGATCTTGGCTAGAGTTTTCCTCTTTAAATGCATTGGAAAGTGTGGATATCATTGTTCATTTTTGACAACAAAGCTGCCTTTGAAGGCAAATGGCTGGCATGATTCACCTCTGGTTTGGTAATGAAAATATGGTTCTGAATAAAGAGAAGTTGCAGACAGGCTGCCTTCAAAGGAGACTGGTAGTAAAAAGTAGAGCATTGTATAGTTGGAATCCGTAGGGTGGGAGTACCGATGTCTGCCTCACTGTGTGCCCAGTGTGTAATGGGAGTGAAACAGCTGCCTTGCACAGATCCTGCATGTCGGTGATGTAGCATAGATGCATTCCACTGAAAGTATGGGTTGGGGCTGCCAAGAACATGTGCACCACCCAAAAGTATGAGAACGATGTCCAAAAGAGAATAGGTGGAGGCTGCTTTTCTCCAAAAGATCATTTGATTTGAATTTTCTTAAGGGGAACAATGGATTGTGAGAACCCAGCAGACTGAATTACATATTGGAAATTCATAAATTTAGATGGGAAAATCATTTGCATGCTGTTTCTTTAAACTTAAAGAGCTATGAAACCCTGGTCTGACCTGACAGGGAATAAAGAACTTTGCTGGGTTCCAGGACAGAATGCAATACTCTTCTGAAGACTGTATTTTAATTTTGTGTTCTCAAGTCTCAATTCTAGTAAATCTGGATCAGGAAGAGTTCCTTCCTTGCTAGTCCTGGGCACTCTTGGATTCTTCCCACCACTGGCCCTGTGGTGCCTAGCTCCCCTGCCTTTGTACCCCTCTACCTTCCATGATGATAAACAGTAAAGATTCCACTGCCACCCCTAAAATAAAATAAAGTGAAGTATATGGATGTTGGAGACACCATTGATGCAAGGAGGAAAAGGGGGCAGTTTTGAATACAAAGTTATTCACTTGGGATCTAGTGCCTCTTGGCTCCATTTGCTCACCCAGCAAGAGGAGCCAAGAGACACTGGATCCTGAATGGAGATCTGTGTACTTAGTGGAACATATTTTTTTAAAATACCCCATTTAATTAGCACTAGTTAATTAGTTTAATTTAATGGTGCAGGAAGCATTCCCAATACACATTAATTATACTTCTGTACATTGCCTGTGACAACAGCAAGTCACAAAGTGCTACTATCAATGCCTGCACATGGATGTACATGGGTGGGGTTAGAGGAGAGGCTAGAGCAGGCATAAAAACCCAGATAAGACTGCTGGGTTAAGTTGCAAGGGGTTATGCCTTAAGTGGGTGTGGCTCAGTTCTTCAACTGACTTTTTGGATTCTTGAGAAACTTTCCTTTCTACTGGATAGGTTTCTCAAAGAAGCGAAAGTAAGAGAGGGACTAATGTTCATCCCATTTTTACTTCTGGTAAACAGGTTTTGCAGCGTTTTATATTCTTTCAAAAACCTGATTGACCATAGGTAACAATGGGACAAAGTAAATAATGCCTCTCTCAAGGCATCCAGTTTTCTCTAAAACTACTGCCTCAGACCCTCCAAGTGTCCCTATTTTCCAGGGACATCCCTGTCCTGGTTTCTGATTTGATCCCGGAATGTCCTGATTTTTCTTAGGATATCCCTATTTTCATTGGAGAAATGTTTGAGGGTATGGAGATATCCAACCCCCGAGCCATCTGAAGGCAATCCTGTATAGGAAAGATTTTTAAAAAAATGTTTAATGTTTTATTATGTTTTTATATATGTTGGAAGCTGCCCAGAGTGCTGGGGCAAACCAATAAGATGTGTGGGGTATAAATAGTAAAATTATTATGGGATGGGACGTCCCTATTTTCATCGGAGAAATGTTGGAGGGTATGTGTGCCTGGCTCCTGCTTGAGAATTGGAATGTTCATGTATTCATCCTCTCACATGTTCTATACTTCCTGCAAAAAATTAAAATCTTTTAAAACTAATTCAAAACTTTCTCTACATGGGGAAGTGATTTTTCCACCGTCCAATAGTTTCCCATGATATTCACATAAGCGGGGAGCAACCACTTGGAAGGGGCAGACAAAGAAGGGCCTCCCTGGGATGATGAATACAGGGTCTGGGCTGGTTCATGAGAAGAGATGAAGTTTCCAAGGTTTTGGGACCCTGAGCCACATAAGGCTTTATAGGTTAAGCCAGCACCTTTAATTAAGTCCAGAGATAATTGGAAGCCAGTGCAGTTGTGCCAGAATTGGTGTTACATGTTCAGACCTTCTTGCGCTGGTCAACAATCTAGCTGCCGAATTCTACATCAGGTGCATTTACTGATCCATTTTCTTAGGCGAAATTATATAATTAATTTTTGCCTGGGGTCGGCGGGCATGTTCACATGTCTTCCTTTAGCCATTTGTTCATCCCACACTTTTCAACACATTTCTCATCACTTTCCAAACTGCAAAAAGTCAGGTTCTTTTTTAAAAAGTGAATTAGTTGCACCAGGATGACAGAGCCCTTTAATCCACTTTAAATGCATTCCCCCCAAATAGTGACCATATGGAGGCACCTTTGCTCTACTTCAGGTAGAGGATGCCCATTTGACTCACAAGGTCATTTCTGCTAAACCAAGCTAAGCCCATCTGCCCTACACCTGATGTCATATGTGACAGCAGATGTGGGACTATTAATGATCTAGCTTAGCCAAAAGGGACTTTGTAGGCACTTCAGCTGAATGGCAGTGCCCACAAAGCCCTGTTAACAGTGCTCCACAAGCCCCAACTGTCAACTGATGGTTGGGTATTGCACAGAGCATTGCAAGGGTCTAGTGAAATTCTTTGCGATGTACTCCACCATACCTGTGTGGGCAAAAAACCAAAGAGGTCCCTTTTGGCTAAGCTAGATCATTAGTTATCAGGTCAAAGATGGGTGGGTGACCCTCCCCACCTGTCGGACTTGGCCCACAAGGGATGGGGGAGATAACTATCTGGCTTGCTGGCCAGATCCAGCTCCCCACCCCTACTTTACTTTTATAAATAGATCTTGTAGCCCAGCCTTCCATCTTAATATGGAATTACGGTATAATGCTGGCCTGAGGATTGTTATTTGGCTCAACATCCCCGGATAGTACTAAGTGCCTAGCAGCTTGCAGCATATTGAATTCCCTCGCCTGACTTCTTTCTTTCCTTCCTTCCTGAAGTTGAGGCCCTGAAAATCACTCCTCGTAGGGCTCTGATAAATTGCTATGGAGACAGCAAACTTTTCCTCTTCCTTACTGCACAGGTGGCTGTTTTGTCCTACATTCCATCCTAGCTCACTTCCTGTTGAGGGCTGTTCTAGGGTCCTGTTTCAGTGATCATAGAAGCAGTTCCAGTACACAGAAATATCTGAACACTCGGGTATCCTCTGATGACAGGAATGTTGGAGCTGGGATGGTATTATTAGAATAGTGTTTGGCAAGGAAGTCAGAGCAGGGAGCGTGTTTACTAGAGAGCTTTGTGCCCAGGCCAAAGGCATTAAAATGCTTGAAGATCTGTAAACAGATAAGAGAGAGTGGAGAGAAAGTACTTAAGATGGCAGAAAAGGTGGCTATAAAAATAATCTCTATCTGCTGGGAATTTTTGGTCCGTTTCATAAGACAGAAAAATCTCCATTTCAGGGGACATGGCCTAGAAAACTTTTTACATCTGAACAGGAAGACACAGCTCAACAGCAGGGAACAGCTGCCTACACATAACTGCTGACCAGACAGAGAGAATCTTGCAAAAATAACTTACCTATCTGCACAATTTTCCATATTTATACATCTGTCTGTGTGTCCACCTTTTCCTCCTGGACTCACTTTGCTGACGTGGGAAGTGATGGAGAATGTAAAAAGCGGCTTAGTCATCAACTTGAGACAATAGTTTATAAGCTGGCATGAATGTCTTCGTGACAACCTCAGCCATCTCCTCCTCCTTTGCACACCTGTTCATATGTTTACAATTCTGCTGCCATCAGGTGACATGGAACTGCTAAGGTATTCCAAACTGCTGTGGCTCTCACCTCAGACTGTGTGTTCAAAGGAGTTCTGGTCAAAAGGAAATGGCTGTCATGCATAACAAAAGCCAAGGAGCAATTATAATTATAAGTGTAATAGGTTCAGGCTATCACAGGTCCAGTCTCTTATTCCTTTCTCCCAAACATAATCACAGGGCAGGTTGAAGCAAATTGTATGTGCCACTGTATAGGCTTAGAGCAGCTTACCTGTATGCTTTATTATGCTGCCTTTGAGGTCTGGCTGAGGGAAATACATAGAGTGACTGTAAGACAAATTTTATACCTGCCACTTAAAGTGCTTTTGAGCTTCTTTCCATCTGTTGGTGTGAATGTGTGAAATGCAAAAATGCTGTTTTAAATTGATTGTATGGGGGGGGTTAATTGATTGATGACTAATGAAGGAAGGTGGATTTATAATCTTATTTCAACTTCTGTGTGTTTTTATGTCACCTGTGAAAAGACACATTCTTTCTGCTTTTTAGTACCCCACCCATCATTTTCCTCATTTCACTATATGTATTTGGGATTCCCACCCCCCCACACACACATTTTAACCTTGGGGAAGGCCTCCTTATGTCATAGTTAACAGGCATAGCTCTCTTGCCCAGTTCCCTCTCCTTCCCCAGGGCTGTCTGCTTCATACCTTCCCCTTGGTATTTCCCCCCTCCGCCTGGTCTGGGTGAAACTTGACAATCTGGGGTCAAACTCTGCCAGTTGTGCTAGCATTTGTTTCCTCCAGGATGATTTGCAAATGCCCAGAAGGCTTTTTCAGACTGTGTTCATCTCAGGGATGACCAGAGAGTGGTGAGAGTTGTAGGAATTCTCACGGGTGAAATCGGTTGTTTTCCTCTCAGTCTTGTTAGTTACACCGGAGGGGCAGAGAAAAGGTGAAGGAAACTGCATTGTGGAACAGGTAATAGTGAAAGAAATGGTGGCAAGACGTGGAGGAGAACAGGGCAGGCAATGAAGAAAGGGCAGTACACAGTGTTCGGCTCTGGCAACTACAATAAGCGATAGGATTACCGGTATATTGGTCTGGTCATAGGGAAGTATGGACCAGCATCTGAGAGAGGCAAGTAAGGTGAACATCTTTTGCTTGAGCAGCTAGACATTTAAAGTAGGAGACCCATGATTTCTAAGTGGTGATAATGCACACTCACTGAAACAAAGGAAGATTCCCAAGTGCACTGTGATATGCCTGTTCTAGATTATGCCAGTGCGATTTCAACCTAAGTGTGTGTGTCAGGGGTGAGGAACCTATTGCCTTCAAGCTGTTGTTGAGCTCCAATGTCCCAGCCAGCACAGAGATGTTGAGAGCCATATGTCCCCAATCCCTGGAATATGGGCCATGGAGTATGTCTGTGCATGTGCATGTACAGATGAATATGTGCATATATAGACTAGATAAATAGAAGCTGTGGAGAGCAACCATGGGATGCTCAAACCAGAGTGGGAGAAGAGAGCAGTAGATGTGAGAGAACAAGGTGGTTATCCACAGTGCAGCTGTGAGCAGACTTTGAGAAATATTGTCCCAGAGGAAGAGGTAAATATGAAAATAAAGATAAGCATTATTTGTGGAGTCTCCCACCCTTACATGTTCCCACTGTTTGCTGGGAATCTGGCTAGTAAACAGATAAAATGGGGGAGAACATCCTCTCATAGGCTAACTGAAAGATAACTTTTCCTTCAGTCTGATACATTGGGAATGTGGGTCTTGTATGGTAAATATTGAAGAGCACTAACACACCAGCAGAATTTTTGAGTCTTTTGGCCATACTCTCAGCAATCATGGATCACATGAGCACTTACTAAATTGTGTGAGACATTAAATCCTTATTAGCAGCTTAAACATAGCCTCTTAGCCATAATTTCACATTTAGGTTTGCTGGGCCAATTTCTCCACTTTAGAAGATCCGATCAATTAAATGTGTGTTACTTGTGTTCTGCAAAGCCCCTGGCTTGAAGCATCATGCAGAAAAAAAGATACAGTTAAGAGAAAGTGAAACACACTCACTGAAATAAAAAATAAAATAACACTGTGCTTAGATCATGCTGATTTCAGTGGATTGTATTAGTTGGGATTGTAAAGAACTATGAGTTGAACTTGGATAGAAATTAATTAGCCACATTAGTTTAGTTTTCTTAAATTTTTCCATCACTTACCATGACCAAAGGAAATCCCAAAGAAACTGAGCAGAAAAAGTGGAAAAAATGAATTCTGATAAACTATGCAGTATAACAGTATATAATGCAGTTTCTGTGCCCTATCTTCCCTCAGTTTATCACAGGTGTTACAAGAAACAGTAGTGCCAAGGGAGAGAAGCAAATCTTCAATAACAGGTAGCTGTGTTGCTATTTTAGCATTAGTGGCATGTTTTGGTTTGGTTTGGTTTTGAAATCCTAAAAGAGCATATTTGGTCCAGGACTGCAGTCTTTACAAATGTTTCAGGAAAGAGGAAGTTTTGAGTATGTCCATTCTCTTGTAGAAGGCCTTGTATAGATTGTAATGCTATAAGGACAGTTTATCTGTAACACTGTAGACAGTTGGGGATGCAGGGATTTCTTGAGCTGCCCTGCTTTCACTATAATGTCAGCAGCTATAAATTAGGGATTTAAAGGCTCAAAAAATTGCATCCCCTCTCCAAAATTTTCAATTTGATTTGGCAATGCATAATCAGAAGCATATAGTCCACCTTGACAGATTAGAGCTACCAGAGCAGGTGTTTACCAGAGGAGGTGGTTTTGTTTTTATTTTTTTGGATGGGGAATGTAGTGCCAACACCCTGAAAGGAAATGGTGATCTGATTCCTGGAGAAAAAGGGGTAGGAATCCAATTTGGAATTGAGTGAGCGTAACTGTTTCCTGTTATTGAACATGCCTTTTTTATGCAACATATTTTAGCGTATTGTGGCATCTCTACTCCATGTATTTCTGGATTAAACTGATTTTTAAGATCCTTTCTGGACTGGTTTTATGCCTGGTTTTGGAATAAAAACTGTATTGATTGCATTAGTGCATAAGTAGCCAAGGCAATGCCTTCAAAGTGTTGTTATACTACAATTCCCATTATCCCTGACCATGTTGGCTGGGGCTGATGGGTGTTGCAGCCCAACAACAACTTGAGAACATCAGGATGGCTCCCCCTGTGTAACCTATATCAGTAAATGGACATAATGAGTGTGACCTTGTTGATTGTCCTGGACCTCTCACATAACTTCCAGTGCAATTTACTATGGTATCTTTCTGGGTACTTTGTGGTGGTAGGATTAGGAAACACAGTCTTGCAGTGGTTCTGATCATTGTGGAGGATTGATCCTAGAAGGTGGCTCTGGGAGATTATAGACTTTCTAGCCTTTGGCATTCAGGGTGCCACAAGTTTTCATCTTGTCCCCATTGCTTTTTAATATCTGTATGCAATTACTGAGAATGGTCATCCAGAAGTTTAGGCTGAAGTGTCACCATACACTGATGAAATTCAGCTCTACCTCTCAATATAAGCAACAAACCTGAGGAATTAATGTGGGTGAACAAATTCAGTGCAGATAAGACAGAGGTGCTGTTGACTCAGTGCAGATAAGACAGAGGCTCTGTTCCTCTGCGTGACTATAGTCAAATCTGTTTGGGACTTGGTTATCCTTCCTTGTGTCCTTACCCCTTCCTTTCTGGATTTGCTGGTTGTAGCTTTTTTCCTGTTGCTTCATGGTGAATGGAACAAAGTTTTCTCCATTCACTTGTAAGGAGCAGGGAAAGGGGGCTGAAGCAGGAAAATCCCTTTAGCGGGAAAACAATCCCTACCCTTGCATACAATAAGATATGGCAGATTGTATAGGGTGAAAATCAAGTTTTAAATTTTGCCTAGGATTGCAAAAGAGCCTGCACTTGTGTGCATTATCTGAGCTTTTCTTTCTGCTCTTTTAGAAGGTTGAAGAAGGCAGTCAGGATTCATGTTACGTCTTTCCTCCCAAAAAAGGACAGAAAATGTGGATTGTGAGAAAGAGAGAGGACCAGTCCTTCTAGCCCCTTCCTGTGTTCTTCCCAGTGTGAATTCATTTTCCCCTTTTGGAGAATATAGTGTCTACAACTCCATTTCTGTGTCATGCCAAGCCCACTAGTAGCCCACCCACCCTGTTCCAGAAACAGGAGTTCCATTTTAGGCATGCACACAGGCATTTGTTTACCTGTCCATTGCCATTTTTTAAAGAAAACAACAACAATAAACTATGTTTTCTAGTATAACAGACTTGCACAAAACAGTAGGTTAAAAAATAAGAAAGTGTGTGTGTTGTGCCTAGATGCACAAACAGTCCACCAATGGAAGTAGAGAGAATAGTCCCCACCCACATTGAAAGAACCCACACAATGTGCTTCAGTATGTCCACAGTTGGGTAACATGAAAAACATGTTCGTCCCTGTCCCCCCTGAAAATCTCAGTTAAAGTTGGGAGGATGGAGAACAACGCCAGCACAGGCTGCCACTTGAATGAGGACAGTTTCGTGTGGACAACCTGAAAAATATACACACATGGGATGCATCGATTCCACTTCAAAGTAAATCCTGAGACTAGCAGAATGTTTTTCTGAAAGCTCCACACAAAGGCAGGCTGTGCTATGCGAAATGCAATCTTCCTGTAAGTTATATCCCCACCTACTGGGCACAGTTAACTCTGATGCATTCAAATACCCTGCTGGTGGCTGCTGCAATATTTCATAACGTAGAGAAGCCAAGAGTTAGAAAAATATGTAAACGGCAGTTGTGGCTTGCAGCTTCCTTGAATTATCTTGAGGTGTCTTGTTTTGCTTTTAGATATGTGTGTGTGTGTGTATGTGTGTGTTTTGGTGGCAGTGGGAGACTAAGAACATGTTTTCCTGGGAGAGGTAACACTTTGCTTTGCTTCCCTTCAGGGGCCTTTTCATGCTAACTAAAACAAGAACAGCAGCCAAACGCCCAGAACTATGACATCGGCCACTGATTTTGATCACTTGGAGATTCAGCAGCAGTACAGTCGGATCAACGCTCGCTGGGACGCATCTGACGATGAGCTGGACAATGACAACAGTTCTGCTAGGCTGTTCGAGAGATCTCGGATCAAAGCTCTGGCAGGTACACACGGCATTGCCTCGTGGAGACATTTCTTTATATGCTGATCCCTAACTTTTCTCTCCTCACTGAGTAGTAGCACACGTTTGTAGGATCTGTTTTTGCTGCTATCCCTTCATTTTTTCAAAGAGCCCTCTTAAGAGCTCTGCACAACCTGCAGGCCGCCAGCTCAATTACCAAGCACCAGTCTGCCAAGTTCTTGATGGCTTCTCTGTTTTTGTAGTCCCAGGCAGGCAGGCAGGAAAAAAGAAGAGCTTTCTTAAGACTCTGGCAGCCTAATGTATGTGGCTGGTAGGTTGCATTTGGCTTGGGTTGGTCAGGTTGTCTGGGATTGCCTTAGAGCCTAATATTATGTTAGGTGGTGCTTATATGATTCTTCACCATAGGCTAGTGTCAGAGCATCTTGGAGGCTTTAATGTAGCTTTGCAGATAAATACTGAGGCCATATATCACCTGCTGTGGCCATCTGCCCCTCTCTCATCCATCATTCCCTTTTGCTACCATCATATCAAGGACAGTCTCTCAAAGAGAAGGGGAGAGAGCTCACACACTTAAGTAGCTATATAGCAGGCTGCGGTTTCCCCACAGCTGGGGAAATGCTGTATGGCTACAAGACCCTGCAAGCACATACTCACATACACACATGCACTTGGAAGGAAAACAAGAGACAAGGTGTATGCAGCAAACATATTGCTGTATTGTGTTTCCTTTGTGGTCAATAATCAGGTGCAGAGAGGTCTGAGTAGGCAGGTGGCAGTGGGAAAGGTGGACAGACAAGGGGATTTGTCAAGTCAGGCACCCACTAAAAGCTTTGTTTTGCAACTAGAAAGCCAGTGCTTGCAGAACAGGACTGTTAAGTGTTTTTAACAGGCTTCTTTGCACTTGGGAGAAAGAGAGATGGCATATACATTACCTACTGAACCGCATAACTTTGGGCACAACACAGCCGTGTAGAATGAATGAAAAGCTGAGTGTAGACAGATGAAAGTGGTAGGAATTTATGTTTAGGCCAAGGAAAGGCCTTCCAGTTCACTGAGAGAGGAGGCAGAAATGGTGGGAGAGTCTATTTGTGAATCTACAGGGGTTCTTTATTTAAAGGGATATTGCTGTATATTACAGGCCAGATTTCAAGGGCAGAAGAGTGTCCACCTAACTTGGTAGCCTTCTGGATGAAAGCAAGAAACTCTCCCCATGTCATTCATATATCTGGCCTGAAATCTCTAATTTTTAACAGAAAAAAACATTTTTCAGCCTTGATACAAAATGCTAATTTCAAACCAATACAAATCTAAACAAGCTTCAGACTTGTTTAATTATTGCAGCTTCTGGCCTAAGATCTTTAAGGTTTGTAGATCTTGGAAGTGGCAATGAAGCTTTAACAAATGATCCTCAGAACAGCTCACATTTGCAGTGTAGAAACACGGCTCAAGAATTCCATATGATGAACCACCTGCTGTATCTTCATTTGAATTGTTCAGTTAATAACTGGGGTGCAGGATGATAGTTCCCAGCCTGCGTTTTAATGCTTTATGTGCAGCCTCGGTCCTCTAATGAAGGCTTGAATCTGACATGTGCCTCAAGTCACGACTCTTAACAAAATCTGAATTAGCTGAACAATAAACTGAGATCATATTGTCTAAATATTACTCACTCCCCAGTTCACTTTTGTATTTGAACCCATCAGTTTGGCTAAATAGAATTTTAAGCCCTTGGGAGCCTGGAGCTCATCCAATTAAGTCGGGTGGGTGGGAGGAAGAATCTAATGCAATTAGAGGGGTCCCTAGTCAAATGCACTTTCTCCCTGCAGGGGAAACGTGCAATAAACAGGCAGTAATGTTTCTTAGCACAATATATTGGGGAATAGGGGAAGTGAATTCTGCGTTGGAGGATTCTGGGGGAAATGGGAGAATGAAGCAATGATAGTTTACTGCAGGTACGCTCCTCAAGAATTTGGAATTGCCTGCAAGCTTCCTGTTGAGAATACACCATGTGGCAAACCCAGTTGCCTGGGTCCTAAGAAGCAAGTTTTCTTTAAGCATGCCTTCTGTGTGGCTTCACAGCAAGTTCAAATGATGTGGGTTAATTATCTCTGAACCTACATTGGGTGCTTCCGGATGGCCTGTTTTATTGAACATTTATCCTGATTTCTTCTTATGGAGATTAGATAATGTTGGCTATCTAATGAACAGCCATTCCAGTTTGTTTGCAGGGAGGTTAGATGATGTGTCAAACCATTATCCTGCACTTTCTAGTATATTTCCCCATCACTTTCCTTAGCACAACCTCCCCACCCTGTCCCCCATCTTTTAGGGAAGTGAGTTTGTTGCACAAGACCTCCCAATCAACTGCAATTTTACAATCTGAATTTGCCAGTATGTGATTGGATCCAACCAGAAGATAGTGACAGCCTGGAAGTGACCATGATGTACCATGACTGTGAGGACAAAAGAGTGGTGAAAGGGATGGATTTTTCTTTGAGTGGCAGGCAGGTGTGCCTTGTATTTGTCAGAATGCTTGAAGGCCAAGGAAGTGCCTGAGGGCTTATCCACACTCACCTTTCCTCCACTGTTTCTAGGCATGGTCCATGATTTAAAACATTGTGTCCAAGCCCACCCTTTTTCCCCCCTCTGGCATTTTCTTTGCAAAAACCTGCTCTTTAAAGTTCAAAAAGAGCAGGGCAAAGAGCAGGAAAGAGCAAGGCAAAAGGTAAGTGTGGATAAGCCCTGCGTATTACTGTTCCCCAAAGCACAGTTTGTCCCTTCTTCAGATGGGTTCAAACAGTACCCTGCTGTTATCAGTGATTCTGGTAACTGCCATAGCTATTTTAGTCACTCTGACACATGACTTGAGAATTACATTTTGGAAATTCCGTTCTTGGATTCCTGACACATCACAAGCCCTGTACCCAGTAGCTAGCTTTCTAAAAGCTGCCTGATTTTAAAATGGAAGTGCACCTTAGCTTCTTTCTCCTTCATGGCTGGTTCTTGCCTTCCATTCCTCGCTTTACACAATGGAGGGGGAGGCAGAGTGAGAGGAAAGGCTAGGATAGTTTAAATTAAATTACAGTGATGATACAATTAGATGAGCTGTATATTGTTCATTTAGTTTTCTGGTCCTGGGAAATGTAATTAGCATCAGAGTAAGTGTCAAATTGTGGACATGCTGCACCTAATAAAAAGTTCTCAGAACAAATTCAGACTCTCTCTTTAATTGATCTGTGTAACTGAGCTTCAAGAAGTCTATAAAGGTATAATAGTGAAGAAGCCAAGTTCAGGAACATATCTTAAACAGCTCTTGTTCTTACTGCAGTGTCTTTTTAAGCTTCAAAGATCATTAGTGTGAAGGGCAGGAGGCAAAAAATACTGTACTATTGATCAAGCAAGAACCAAAGTTCAATATCCTAATACTGAAATCCTAATATTCATATCAGGCCTGGCCAATCCAGAGCTTCATACTGCCTGAAAGTCACATTTGCCGGTTTTTCAGAGCTTTGTTCTCTACTGTGCCTTAAGGTGGTTGTGATTTGTCAGCACATGCAGTCTTGATTGGCTCAGCCTCAGCCAATGTGATTCCCAGTTCAAGGCTTTATGTCCCTGTGACAGAGTGGGCCCTTGAGGGTCAGGTGCACCACACAAATTAAATGGAAATGCAAACAGCTGCTGTCACAAAGTAGACTCCAGTGTGGGCAAGCCCCCAGGGCAGCCATGCTGCTTTGTTTCCAATAAGTGCATGTCCAGTAGCTTCCTGCTGAAATGTTGTAACTCCAGAATGGTATTCTGGACAGTAGTGGTAGCTGGGCTTTGGAACTTGAGTGCTAGAGAATAATAGTTATAGGGGAAGTTCAAGGAACTGTGCAGGGCACTAAATTCTGACCTTTACAAAGCTCCTGTCTGGCTTTGGGGATCTTACCAAATACTGTCCAAACATTTAAACTTTCCTTGGATGCTATAAGGCCTAGAAGCTGACTAGTTTTAAAACAAAAACAAATCATTGAGATTATCAGAATACAAAATTTCCCACCGCATACCAGAGTTTGCACCTGTGCAGCAGCTTTACAGAATTCATGTGGGTGTGCATTTTTATTATGAGTCTATTATATCTTAGTCACTGAACTCAAAGATAGTCTTTTCTTGTTTTCAGATGAGCGGGAAGCCGTGCAGAAGAAAACCTTCACCAAATGGGTGAATTCCCACCTGGCACGTGTGACCTGTCGCATTTCTGATCTCTACATGGACCTCAGAGATGGAAGGATGTTAATCAAACTGCTGGAGGTTCTTTCTGGAGAGCTGCTGGTAGAATTCCCTCTTACTTTCACTCTTCTATGGAACCAACAGTGCATAAGATATATGAATTCTTGCCCTAAGGAAAATAATAATGCTCTTCCTAAGTATACTTCTTGGATTACAAAATTCTTATTCTGCATAGAAAACAAGGTGCAAATTGTGTGGAGTAATCAGGAGTAATGATTGTGGATACAGGTTTTTCACAGTATATACTGGCACCGGGAATCCATTTTGTGTTTCCCATTTTGAAATTAGTTTAACCTGTAAAGTTACTCTAATGCAGGCTGTTTTTCAACAGCCATCCCTTGCGTGGTGTCCTTCATCTTCTCCTTTCAGCACATGGCACATTGTAATCTAGATGAGATAAGATGACCATTGGAGAACAAGATAAATGGAAGATTGTGCTTTGGTGTTGTGGACTGGGTCTCACAAAAGTGAGCTTTGTTCTGGTTCCATGGTTGTATGATATCAGATATCATATACACATACTATGTTTTGCATTTTTTGCTTTTGAGAACAAAAAGGAGGCTGCACGTTTAAGTAGGTGAGAAGAATTAGTAGGCAACTTTGTAATATGTAGCTGAAATGTATGTGTGTTCTGCGTATTTGGAAACCTTCCATTTGTCATTATTTTAGCAAAGGTTTAGAGCCTGCACTATTGAGGAGATCCCCTTTTGCTATTGCAAGAATTAGAATTTGTTTCTTAAAAGAGAGTAGATGCAATGTGGATGTTCTTCCTTCAGGGAATTGGGTGATGGCCGAACACTCTTAGAAGTCTAAATACCACCTTTTCCTCACTTCATAGCCCAAACCCACCAAGGGGCGCATGCGGATCCACTGCCTGGAGAATGTGGACAAGGCCCTGCAGTTTCTCAAGGAGCAACGGGTACACCTGGAGAACATGGGCTCTCACGACATTGTTGATGGCAATCACCGTCTGGTGCTGGGCCTTATCTGGACAATCATCCTGCGCTTCCAGGTGAGTGCTAGGCCAGATCCCCACAAAAAGACACAAAAGGTTATCAGTAGGATATCATGTTCTGACAGCAGCAATAAACTAGGGTTTATACCTGTTGGCAGATTACTATTTGGGGTTTTCATATCCACACTCTTGCTTGTCTAGGGTTGCAATATTTCAGAAAGTGAAAATCTGGATGGAAACGTTTTTTTAGTTTTGCCCAAAGTTGATGAATTTTTTCAGTAAAAAAAATAAATAAATGATGTTTCTGAGCTATTTTTAAGGGAAATTGGCAAAAACATCACTGCTGACATTGGTTGCCATATGTTCGGATTTCCCCGGACTGTATTCTAGGAATGTCCAGGAAATTCCAGACATATGCCAACCCTATGCTTTTCATATGCTGAAAATTAATTCTTCCAGGCTGGAGCAAGTTGCCAGCGTAGAGTTTTTATAGAATGGATGAAGCCATGTCTTCTATTGTATGTTAATAAATATTGCTCTATTGAATTGTAGCCATTAGCACTCTTTGACTTTTCACGCCGCTAAAGGACATAAAGAAAGCAGAGAAAGAAGCAGGAGATCTTGCCACCCAGGGATGGGAAAGTCTGCTGTGAGGCTTGGAGGAAGGAAGAGCAAGCATACTCCTGAACTCTTGAGCTCCCAAAGCATGAAATTTCTCTCTCTCTTTCTTATAAAAGCAGCATCCCTATCACTGTCAAAAGCCCTGTTTATGGTTTCCCCAAGCTCCACTGGAAGGTTTCAGTGCAACTCTCAATGACAATTTCTTCAAGGTTGAAATGTTGCTTCCATAGTATTGTAACTTCTGCTGCATCGACCATTGTGCCAGAGATAAGGCTGTCCCATAATCTGAGTATGTGTGCTAGAATTGCTCTCAGGTGTCATTTTAGGCTGGATCATGTCTATTTGTTCTGGGGCTTGTGCAAACAAGTTACACATACAACTGCTGCTGTGGGCAGCAGCTAATCCCTTTTTGGTTGTACTAATCTGACCCATTGTGATATGAAAGGATGCTGGTGGTTTTCAAAGCAGTTCAAGTGTAAGCCTTTTTGGAGCAAGACTCTGCCTTTCTGCACTGTCCAGCACAAAAGCCGACATGCGGCAGTTTATACTTAGCAATGTTAATAACACCCTAGCTGAGAATCCATCTTTTTTTTTTAACACTGCAAATAAGATGTCAGGAGAAGAATGAAATGTTTGGTATGTTTGCAACTCGTTCAGTGCAAACCTATGCATGTTTACTCAGAAGTAAGTCTCACTGTGTTCATTGGGGCTACATAGGATTGCAGCCTGAATCACTGGGAGACCAGTGACTGAAGGTAGGGTGGGTTTTTTCTTCTTCTTTAGGTGTATTACCAGAAATAGGCGCCCTGAAATAGGTGCCTGTCTTACAGTTTTACATTGTATTATAACATTTATATTGGATTTTCAACTTTACGTTATAAATAATGTTGAGAATTTAACTTTAGTTTGCGGTGGTGGATAATCTAACCACCCTTATGTGATGTGTTAGATGTGCAGAAACAGCCAGATCCTGAACTTCCCCTTGCCATCCTGTCAGACATGGTCCCTTGGAGTCTTTTTAGCGGGAGGTGATCTCTAAATGGGCAGCAGCAGACAGCATGGCGGTTAGATCCTTATGAATAAGGGTAGGGTCTAGATCAGTGTCTTAGTGACAGAAGGGCCAAAGCTGCGCTTGGATTCAGAGGTTGACTAATAATTTTGGAAACGACATCAGAAATGTTTTGCCAAGAAGCTCGTCACACCCCCACCCTAAATGTATAAAGCTCCCCCTCTTTTTGCGGTCCCACCAACATTGGGATGAAGTCGCAAAGGTGATGCGAGAGAGCTTGACCAGAGTCCAGTGCCAGCAGAGCACTACCTTCAGCATTGCCTCCTGGACTTTGGCCAAAGTGGTCTTTATAGGAGGCTTTTCCCATATTTTACTCCAGGGGTCTTTATATAGTGTTGTGCCTAGTGTTTATATAGTGTTGTATTCTCATGCCTAGCGCAATCCATCTGCATTTCCCATCTTGCAGTCAATCAGCAGTTTATAAATAAAAGAAACAGAACCCTTTGAGTACGAAGCAGAATGTTCAAAAACCGTGGTGAAGCACAGGCTAGTCACTTCCTCGAATAACCTTTTAAGGAACGTCCTAATCTGTAACAACTTAAGCCAGGAGTGTTTAACACCCTGAAACTTGTCATGTAAGACATTCCTTGTATAGGTCTCCCTCTAGTCATTATAGAATCATAGAATCATAGAATCATAGAGTTGGAAGAGACCACAAGGGCCATCGAGTCCAACCCCCTGCCAAGCAGGAAACACCATCAGAGCACTCCTGACATATGGTTGTCAAGCCTCTGCTTAAAGACCTCCAAAGAAGGAGACTCCACCACATTAAATCTCTAATTTTGTACAACCCTTTTTCCTTCCACCCCTGATATGAAGCATATGTATCTTGAAAGTGGAAAGCAGGGGCGATTAAGAAAAGGTAATAAGGGGGAGTCCCTGGAACAAATAATAGTGTTCAAGGTGGAGTGGAAATGGTGCGGTGCAAAGTACACTTTGGAATGGCAATATTGTTCAATAGAAGAGGCATCATAATCCATTTACTTTGCAAATTCAGCAGATTCCCCCTTCCCCATGTTGTAATGATGTGAAAGGACTGTTACCTTTGCTAAGTTGTGTGTGCTAAGAACCTGAGATGCACATACTGATTCACAAAGCATCTGTAGTGATAGGCCTTTAGAGTGGAATATTTTTTTATTTCAATGTAGATCCAGGACATCATTGTTCAGACTCAAGAAGGCCGGGAAACCCGTTCCGCGAAGGATGCATTGTTACTCTGGTGTCAAATGAAAACTGCTGGGTATGATGACTGCTAATATTTCCAACTCAATGAATGCACTGTGACCAGTTGACTTAAGCCTGCAGAACCAGCTAGGGAAACCTGGATGGGACCATGATGTTGGGCCATGTTCCTACTCAGTTCTTACAAATGATGTAACTAAATCTCTCCATCAAAGTATACCACAAAGGACAGAGATCTTTCAGGACTGTCTCATAAGGTTGTTTTAAAATGGGACATATGACTGTTTTTATAATTGTCCTCATAATATTCTCCTTTGTGCCACAACGGCCCCGTTCTCTGTAAAGAATCCAAGCACAGCTTCTCTCCCCTCCACCGCAATTACCCTGGTATCTTTCGCTTTTCATGAAGGCTTAGGCCTTGTAATTGATTCCTTATATTTTTGAAGGAATCTCTTTTCGATTGTCCTATGTTTGGGACAAGGTGAAAATATGTAACGTGTTTTCCAACATTGCACTTTGGTGGGTATACAAATTCTCGCAGTGGAGGGGAGCAAGAATCCCAGGCAGGGCATCTCTGGGGGCCTGTTCTTCCAGCTCTCTCTGTAATGTAGCCACTGCACATGCTGACGTCTTGTTTCAAGTGCCATGAACTGAGTCATTTGTGGGCAGACTGATAATGCATGGAGAACTCTCTATAGGGCTTTTTTATTTATCACTTTATATGCTTGAAAATCTACTTCAGGAGGGTGCAAAAAGCCCAAGCATCCCATGATATGTTGACCTTGACATGACTGTCTCAGCGCAGATGAAACTAGGAGCCAGAACATTTCCATTTTCACAGTGAGGAGAATCAATTGCAGGAGTAGCCCCTCTGATCCTCATCATTATTATATTGTTTTAAAATGGGAAATCTGCTTCCAATATGATTAACGGAGCATATATATCTTTGTGTATTTTTGGAGTGCATAGAAGGAAGTAGCTAGAAAGGATGGAAACAGCCTGTGGGCCACAGTCAGCATTCATCCAACCCGGCGCCCTTCAGATATTCTGAGCTACAACTCCCGTTATCCCTAGCTATGTTGGTTGGGGCTAATGGGAGTTACAGTCCGAAGCAAGTAGAAGGCACCAGGTTAAGGAAGGCTGAGCTTGTCCATCCCATGGAATGCTAATTGGTCTTTGCTGGTCTTAGAGCAGAATTCAGGCGCTACCATGGTGCCTTCCAGAAGTTGTTGGACTACAACTCCCATCATACCTGACCATTGGCCATGCTAACTGGTGCTGATGGGGACTTGAGTCCAACAACATCTGAAGGTAACCATGTTGGCTACCCCAAACCTGGATGATCAGAATTGTCCATCCAGACCAAACATCCTTCTTTTTATGGAGCAGCACCTGCACTTTGAAATGCAAACTGTGCCTGTTAGCATTTCCCACATCTGCCTTTTAATTAAAAGTTAATTCTGGTGTTTTCCAAAGTACAAGATGTGGCTCAAAAATGTAACTTGTGCCAGTCGAATTGTGCATTGGTTGTTTTCTCTTTTAGAGAAAAGCTTTTCCTCATATAAAATAATGTCTGTAATTGGATTACCGTTTTGTAAACTCTTGGACTGAATTATAAATCCTTTTGTCTTTCCTGCTATTTCCCTTTGTAATGCAGCTATCCCCATGTTAACGTCACCAATTTTACATCCAGCTGGAAGGATGGCTTGGCATTCAATGCCCTTATTCACAAGCACAGGTAAGGACTGGGGACAAGCCCTTCAGAGAACTTAAGTGCAGTGGGTTGATGGACACCTGAATGTTTTGCTGGTGTGCCTGAGCTAGCCTAGTAATGATGAGTGTATGTGCACACATTTGGCCTCATCTTTCCTCCATGAATTCTGCCTCCTTTCCTCCACTAGTTTGCTATAAATCTCAATTATCATTCTTGCTATTTCTGCTATTTGGAGGTGAGTGCCATTTCTTATGTGTCCAAAACGTCATGATCCATGAACACAAAAGAACGAGGCCAATGAGGACTGAGCATGCCCAGCAGTCATGGAATGCTGAAATAGACTCGCATTCAACCAACTTTTTACTCAGAGTAGACCCATTGAAATGAAAAGTCCTAGGTTATTTGTGGCCATGAATTCCCATGGGTCTATTCTGAATAAAAGTTAGTTGAATATAACTCTGAATGTTGGGGAGGAGGGAGATATTGTGTGTGAGGAGGAACAGAATGGAGTATTTCACTGACAGAGATGCCGAAGAGGAGCAGACCACACTACAGCATTTTGTTGCAGGCCTCACTGGCAAACTTAGCTTTCACTTCCTTTTGCATGGTCAAGTTGGCCTACCACACTGCGTGCTTTAACTTTCCCACTGTCCTCTTAATTTTTAGGCCTGACTTGATTGACTTTGAAAAGCTGAAGCACTCGAACGCCAGGCACAACTTGGAGCATGCTTTCATTGTGGCGGAACGGCAACTTGGCATCACCCAGCTTCTTGACCCAGAAGGTGAGTTTGTTTGGCTCTGTGCCTGCCCTTTTTAAATTGAGAATTGAGCTGACGAGGCAGATGAGAATTATACAGAAGAAGTGTCCGTAAGTGCTGAGGAAATGGTGGTTCACCTGAGGAAGCCTCTGAATTGGCTGCAGAATGTCTGACTATAGAATATCATGAAGTTATGTATACATAAAGGTGGATGCAAAGCTCTGAGGTTTTTTTTGCAGCTGTAAGCTCTCTCACAGCACAATCCACCACAAAGCTCTTCTGTTGCTGCATTGCTCTGAAATGAAAGGAAGTTACAGGGATAGCTCAGTCAGCAGAGCATGGGACTCCTCATCTTAGTGTTGTGGGTTCAAGTCCCATGTTGGGCCAAAGATTCCTGCCTTGCAGAGGAGTGGACTAAACAACCCTCATGGTCCCTCCCAACTCCATGATTCCTTGATTCTAAATCTTTCTGTATTCTGGTGCATGCATTTTTTAATCAGAGCCTTTGATGCTGTATTTTTAGTCTGCTGTTCCTGATCATGGGTTTTACTATGATGTGTTATGTGTGTTTTGTTGTTCAGATTGTTTCCCTTCTTTCCTATATTTTTATTTATGAGCCACATACAGTCTGATTTTTTTTATAATAAAAAGGAAAGCTATAAAGTCCAAATTTAAGCCCTGCACAGAGACACAAATCAGCCGCGCAGCATGCAGTATGAAAAAGTTCTTGGTGGAAGTCATTCCTCCAGTTGTGCTCCATGAATGTTTTTCTGTAAAGCCAGCATAGCTAACGGTTAGGCATGATGGGAGTTGTAGTCCCAACAGCAGAGAGGACCACAGATTCCTCCTGGTTTGACAGCTGTGGAGTGTATTAAAAAAAACCTATCCCCTTAGCACTAGTCACAACTTTGATGGTTTAGGCCTTAGGCGGAATCCTATAGTCTTCATTCAATTGGGTGGTGGTGAAGTGGTTCTCTGCAGCGGCGATAACAGGGTACCCCCATTAGAGGGGTCTGGAGGGAACTCTCGGAGCCAGTTGCATAGGGCCAGTGGGCCATAGAGCTTCCCTCGGCATTGGGGGGCCATCCATGTAAACTTGCGTTTTGCAATGGCTCCACCCCCGAATAGACCCTATCATGCCTCAGTTCCCCAGCGTGGGAGCTGGGAGTGATACACGCCCAATGCCTATGCCAAGGCGTCTGAATTCAATAAAGTTCCATCCATATTAAATCCCAGACCGTTGTTGTGTCCATTCATTTTCCCTCCTTAGCAGTTAGGCGTGCCGGATGGGGGGACTCTGCGGCCAGGCACGCAATGCAAAAATCTTCTACAATAAGTTTCTCCTACAAGGATGGGCAGTGTTGTTGTTGTTGTTGTGGTGGTGGTGGTGGTGGTGGTGGTGGTGTGTGTGTGTTTTTTAAAAAAAGAATTACTTTGTAATAAAGAATTGGGGAAAATGTCCCCACTGTGTAGCCAGGAGATGGGTGGATGGGTGGGAAGGGGAAGAAGCAAAGATCTTCCTGGGACTGGTCCAAGTGGTCCATCAAGTGACAGAAGTGGAGAGGGAGCAATGAAGCTGAGTGTCAGCTCAGTTACAATCTGAGTAGGCTGTGGAGTTCTCTTGCTGTGAAGAGCGAGGTGTGTGTATCTGAGTGTGCTGTGTTGCTTTCAAGGGGTGGGGGGTGGCAGTGCACACCAGCTCAGCTCAGCTCCATCCACTTGCTGTGTCCTGGGCTGTAATGACATGGCAGATGCTACAGTGATTCTCAGGTATTGGTCATCACCTGAATGCACAGAAGGCACTGGATCTCACTTGCTCTCACTGCTTTCTAGAGTTCTCCCAATGCTGGTGGTGCATGAAATCTTTTCCTTTCCCCCCCCTTTTTTACACCAGCAACTTCCTGTGGGTGCTAAAAATTGCTTGCAGGGCCTATAGTTCACCATGCCTGGTTAGGTGAGAGGGAGTTTGTGCCCAGCAGTTAGTCAGCTAATTAATTACCAAGCATGGCTTTCTTGAAGTCAGAATGCAGTGGTGCTGAACCCCATGATACAGTTTAGATGACACACTTACCCCTAGAAATTGTGGGAAGTGTTCCTGCTCCTCAGTAAGTTGTCGTACTGTTGGAAGGCACATACCTCTTTCCTTTCGACATATCGCATATCCTCCCCATGGAATTCAGTACAGTTGAGGTTGTAATTATTTTGCTTTTGTTTGTTTATTATAGAGTCAGGGCTGCTACGTGCATTATTCCATTTAGGAAAACAAGTTCTTATGCCTCTATCTTTGCTCCCATGCATTCCATTGTTTTCTTATCTGAGGTTGGCTGGGGGGTGAGGTGGCTCGTTCTGCTACATTGTGGTGTTCTGCTACAAATTGGAAAACAAAGCTCTTGGGCACAATGCAGAGCTCTCTTGACATTCTGTTTTCTATTCAGATGTCTTCACAGAGAACCCGGATGAGAAATCCATCATCACCTACGTTGTTGCTTTCTACCACTACTTCTCCAAGATGAAGGTGCTTGCTGTGGAGGGGAAGAGAGTTGGAAAGGTAAGGACATGGTCATATAATACCACCGTACAGCAGGCAAGTCCCCTTTCCGCCCACAGAAAACAGTTTCTTTACTACTTCCTTACTAAGCCATAATGACTGATAAGCAACAAAGGCCAGTAATTTGCTGCAATGGCAGCCCTGCCGCCTCTCAACCTCCTCTTCTGCTAGGCTGGCTTTCTTCACATATGGGCTAGTCCGTTTAATAGCTCTTCTTTGCAGCTATTCTAGTTTGAACTTGTTATTACTGAATACGAACAATATTGTATTATTGTTTATTTGACATAACCATCCCTTTCCACAAAAAATGCCCCTAAACTACGTAAAAATCCATTAAATACATAAAAGCATTACAATAATTTAAAAACAAATGTATAAAAAATACCCCATTCCGCTTTACTCTTTGATTCCCAGAATGCAGCTGATTTACTCAAGCCACTGAGAACTGAGGTATCCCCTGTCATCATATATAGACCCACCTTGGTTCTGTTAGTATCTTGGTTAGGCCCTAACTGCCAGAGGTTGTGGAAACTTCTGACAGAAAAATAACTGTGAGGGGTGAGAGACTCTCTGTTAACTACCAGGGAGTGGCTTTTCCCATGTGCCTTGCCCCGCCCTCAAACCCTAGGAGCCTTTATAAGGGAGTAGTATGTTTATAAAGAAGTTTGTGTGTGACAACTCAGTTTTAGTTCCTCTGCCTTAACATTTGGTGGCATCTTGCTATTCTCACACATCCTTTTACAGCAGGACAGGTGGTTCTTGTTAATCTTCCCTGACAGGCCTGAGACTTCCAGCCTGCCATGCAGCCCAGAATTTCTAACGTCAAGCTTGTTGACAGTGCAGAAGATTCCCATATGCAGGATCTGTAGGTTGACAATGGGCTTGACATATTTCCTCGAGCAGCAGGTGCCAGGGGAGCAACACTTTGTTTATTCCTTTCCTCAGGTAATGGACCATGCGATGGAGACTGAGAAAATGATCGATAAGTACAGTGGACTGGCTTCAGACCTGCTGACGTGGATAGAACAGACCATTACCATTCTCAACAGCCGCAAGTTTGCTAATTCTCTGGCAGGCGTGCAGCAGCAGCTCCAGTCCTTCAGTACATACCGCACAGTGGAAAAACCGCCCAAGTAAGCACCTGTCAACTGGAAGGAGGATGCCCCCCCCCCTGCTTTTTGCTGATGTTTACCATTTCCCCCCCAGTAGCTTAAACTGTGCCCATCTGCATTGTGACTCATTCGGTTGTGATCCTAGGCTTTCTGTGCAGATGGGGACATCGTGATGATGATAATGATACTGTAACAAATAACAGTGAGGAGCCAAGCTGAAGGGGAACAAGGCAGTTGATGTACCCTGAATTGCATTTTGTTACGATGCCAAAATAAAATGCAGTTTCAGTGGGTTCTTTTGGTGCAGTTCTGCTGCCTTTCTTCTTCTTTCAAACAGGAGGAATTTGGCAAATGTTGCTTTGTGAATGCCTAGCGATCCCCTGACCTTGAGTTTCAAAGAGAGGAAAAGGAAAAATGCCTCCCCTTCTATAACTCTATAACCTAGGGTTTCTAAACATAAAGATGACAACTTGATGGTAGCTTGAAAAAGATACCACATAGTGCTGGTGTTATGTTTTAGAGGCTACAATCCCAAAGACGCTATTGCATATGTGTAGGTTTGAATCAACCCCAAATAGCTATAAGGTGTTTGTGTTTCAGTTTTTTAAAAGAACTTTTGTCACTATCATTCTTTTTAATTTATTTTTATTTATTATTTATCTGCATGCAAATTGCAATAACTGCCCTAAACGCTGATAAGTTAGACTTCTGGATAGATGATTAGGTTATTTCACTGCTTTTTACCATTAAGCTTCTATGGCCTGAGCTCAGAACACACTGTATTTCAGTGACACTAATAGACATTGCTTGTGTTGTTCATTGTATCTTCTTTACCTAAAAGTATGTTTTCTCATTTTTGCTGTGTTCTTGGGCAGGTTTCAGGAGAAGGGAAACCTGGAAGTCCTGCTGTTTACCATCCAGTCAAGAATGCGAGCCAATAATCAGAAAGTGTATACACCTCACGAAGGAAAATTAGTGTCTGACATCAACAGGGTACCTAATGCAGTCCCTTAAAATGGTTAACAGAAATGTGATATATTGAGAATTTCAGTGTTAGGACTTTTCTTCTAGATTTTTAAAAAATTCTTGTTTAATTAATTTAGCTGGTTGGGAAAGGGCCTTAGGTTAGTAACAGGGCACCTAATTTGGACTCATAACATCCATGGTTCAATCCCCACTACTGCATGGCAAAAAAATGATACAGCAAGATTAGAGAGGTGATCAGCAGCTAATGTGGAAACCAAGGAGGAAGCTACAGGGACAGCTGGATGTGATCCCACACCACAAGCTGAATATGTTTCCCATCAAGTACCTTAGATCTGCTTTGTACAATACTTTTCCTATTCATTCTAGCAACACTGAATAAATGCTCACATGGACAATCACATGGACCATTTTCACATATATAGTCTGCAGCACTTTCCATGAGTGTAGTGGGGGGTTTTGGGGTGGGGGTGGGGAGTTTTGCTGGGACCATAGGAGTTGTTACCAACTAGTATCTGTTATTGTTCAGTTCGCCACACTGTGTGTGTGTGTGTGTGTTCACATGAGCAGGTGCCTCGAAAAAAACAGGGCTACTTGCATATACAAGAAAAGTGTTGTGAGAACAATCCCTTAGAGAAAAATACAAGGAGGAACAATAGCTCTTTATCTGGCCAAGCAACATTTTGCTGATGTGAGGTTGGTTAGCGCAGCCTGTATAAGAATGGAATGCTTTGTAGAATGTGCCACGCGGCATTACATAGGATTTGCTGCGGCCTCTTGATTGTATATTGTGTACCTGCTTACTGAATTCTCGTTCTCCTGTGTGCACACATTTGCACAGGCCTGGGAGAAGCTGGAGAAGGCGGAGCATGAACGGGAGCTGGCGCTGAGAAACGAGCTTATTAGGCAGGAGAAGCTGGAGCAGCTCGCCCGGCGCTTTGATCGCAAGGCAGCAATGCGGGAGACGTGGCTTAATGAAAACCAGCGCCTTGTTGCACAGGTAATGTGTGGCTTCAGGGATTGTGCTGGCTCCAGTCTCTGATCTGCCTGGTGGCATCAGAAACAGCAGGGGATGTTGGGGGGGACACAAGCACTCTGTTGGCACCAGCTTAAAATGGTACCCAGATCCCTTCTGGGGAATTTGGCACCCCCCCATCACCCTCTGCTCTATAGCATGCACAAGAAAAGGCAATGTGCCGCCACACAGTTGCTAACCAAAGGCAAATTTAATTTGGGCAGGATAACTTTGGAAATGACTTGCCAGCTGTGGAGGCAGCAAAGAAGAAGCATGAAGCCATTGAAACCGATACAGCAGCCTACAAGGAACGGGTCCAGGCCATAGAGGAGGTGGCCAAGGAACTGGAGATGGAGAATTACCACGACATCAAGCGCATCAATGCTCGCAAGGACAACATCCTGCGGCTCTGGGAGTACCTGCTGGAGTTGCTGCAGGCCCGGCGGCGGCGGCTGGAGATGAACCTTAAGCTGCAGCAGCTGTTCCAAGACATGCTACACAGTATTGACTGGATAGATGAGATGAAAGTAAGGAAGGGCTTGGGTGGAATACTGCAGGTTGATAGAAAGAAGCCAGCAAATTGAGGTGGAGGCTCATCCTGTGCTCCCATTGCCTGCCATTTCCCCAAGACAGATCATCTTCCCAAGTGACTCCCCCCTGCACACACACACCTCCGGGTTCAAAATGCAGCATTATAAACCCTAGGGAGGCAAGCTGTGTGTGGTAATTTGGAATGAAGAAATGGCAGGCAGGAAAAGGATTAAGCTTTAGTTCTGCTACTTTTCTGCTCAAAATCAATTCATTCTGAAGCTGCTTTTCTCAAAATAACAATCGCCATCAGGCTGCACTACATGTGGTTGTACATAATGTGTAGCCTGCCCCTAGCAGAGGCAGAGAAAAGGGTACATTCTTCCTTTGTGCTTCTACAGGCTAAACTCCTGTCTCCTGAATTTGGGAAGCACCTGTTGGAAGTGGAATACCTTCTTCAGAAGCATAAACTGATGGAGGCGGACATGGTCATCCAGGCTGAGAAGGTTCGTGATGTCAGTGCAGCTGCCCTTAGATTTGCCAACGGAGATGGTAGGTGTTTGTTTTCCAAGAAGAATTTTATGACTTCTGTGAGTGAGTGAATGATGAATGATAATTTCATAGAATCATAGAATCATAGAGTTGGAAGAGACCACAAGGGCCATCGAGTCCAACCCCCTGCCAAGCAGGAAACACCATCAGAGCACTCCTGACATATGGTTGTCAAGCCTCTGCTTAAAGACCTCCAAAGAAGGAGACTCCACCACACTCCTTGGCAGCAAATTCCACTGTCGAACAGCTCTTACTGTCAGGAAGTTCTTCCTAATGTTTAGGTGGAATCTTCTTTCTTGTAGTTTGGATCCACTGCTCCGTGTAAAATTTCTGAGTTGAGAAGCCCTAAGTATAAAAGGGGGAGGAGTGAGGGGAGACCACCTGTATCCTTGCCTCTTCCTTTTAAAAAATGGTTTAAGGAAAATGCCTCTGTCCTCTCAGAATCAGAGAGTTGGAAGGGACCCTGAGGGTTGTCTTGTCCAACCCCCTGCAGTTCAGGAGTCTTTTGCCCAGCTTGGGGCTCAAACCTGCGACCCTGAGATTATGAGTCTCATGCTCTGCCGGTGCAGCTATCCCAGTCATCTCCTGTTCCACCTTAAATTGACTGAATTCATAGTAAAACAGGTCCAAGGTGCACAAATTAATTCATAAGTAGGGCCTTTAAGTTCAGCTAGAATCTATAGCACTTGTTGCCTTGAAAACTGCTGGGTCCTGGGGTTTCAGGCGGCTACCTCTTGGGCCTAGCTGGTGCGATAGTAGAAAGAAGGATTGGGAGGCAGAGTCTGGATGATATTGGAGGCTTTTCCAGATAATGATTTTCAGTGCAAGAATTGCACAGTTGTTGCTCATTTGTTGTACTTTTTCCCAATGTCTTCCCTCAAAAGATGTGCTTCTCTTTAGGGAATATTACATTTACTCAGGATGTGAATGTCAGTGTATTGTGTGTGGCAGAAATGCAATTCTCACCTCTACTGGTTGACAAGTGTGGGTGGGAGTGCTGACTGAAATGTGGGTGTGTGCCAGTACCCCAGCAGCTTACCAAATAGTATTTGTGACTGGGGATGGGGAAGAAAACTGATTCAGTTCATGTTTAAAGGTGAACCTACATACCGGTAATTCATACATTCTGAAGCTATAGGCAAGCTGAAATGTAGCCATCCTTTAGAATTCTAACTTCTCTCAATTTTGCAAGGCAGTTCTTCAGCCAAGTGCTTTGTAAAAAAAGGGTGTTTTTTAAAAAAATGCATGCACTAGGGCAAAACGTGCACGAAAATGCATGTATTGATGAAAATAACATACAAAAATGCATTTTATTAGGGAACATGGCTTTGTAAATATGTGCACAATAAGCAAATATGTTATATGTTAGGAGAAATTCACACTAAAATACTGATGAGTTTTCCACAAAGTGTTTGGAAATTTGTAGAACTGAACTTAGAAGGGAAAAAAATGAAAAACTGAGACAAACCAAAACTGATAAATTCATCTGTCTCTGTTTGTTGAGTGCCACTAATGAAAAATGACATAGTTCCTACACTCTATGTGCCATTTTTTAAAAGTCCACTTTAAATTATTTAGAGTCTGTCCACTGTGCATCTAAAGCTTGCAAGCACTCATGTAACCTTTTAAAATAAATTTCAGTAGCAAATTCCATCGGAGCCACTTTCTCCACTCAGACCTATACTCCACCATTTCAAGCAACAGTTCCATTTTCTGTTTGCTTTTTATTTTTGGGATGGTGTGCATTGTCCTTCTGAAGCTCTGCAAAGCACCTATCTCTGCTTTTGCTTTTTTGTCAGAATCAATGAACAAATGGAAAGCACAACTATAGCTATCCCCCCATAGCTGTCTGTCTTCATGTCACAGCTACTTAACCACCTGTTAGGTGGGCTGGTCCCTAGCATTTTTTAAAAAACCACCTGAAAGTGCCTTATAGATGTTGTGCATTTCCCCTTTCTGACTTAAAGGAAAATGCATCGTGCATGTCTGCTGATAGTAGCTTTGTGTCCACACATGCTTGTACAGGTTATCGGCCTTGTGACCCAAAGGTGATACAGGATCGGGTGAACCACCTGCAGCTGTGCCATCGAGAGCTAATGGCTTTGGCTGCGGAAAGGAAAGCTCGCCTGGAGCAGTCCAAGCGCCTTTGGAAATTCTTTTGGGAACTGGATGAAGCTGAAAGCTGGATCAAAGAGAAAGATCAGATCTATTCCTCCCTGGATTATGGGAAAGATCTGACCAGCGTTCTCATCTTGCAGAGGAAACACAAGGCTTTCGAGGATGAGCTGCGCGTTCAGGAAACCCACCTGCAGCACACCATCAAAGAGGGAGAAGCTATGATTGCTCAGAATCATTTTGGTGCACTTAAAATCCGCAGAAGGATTGAGGAAGTGAAAGCCCTCTGGGCCCAGCTGCAGGAACTGGCAGCTTTCCACAAGAAAAACTTGCAGGATGCTGAGAGCTTCTTCCAGTTCCAGGTTGATGCGGATGACTTGATGGCCTGGCTGCAAGATGCCCATCGTCTGGTGTCAAGTGAGGATGTGGGGCATGATGAATATTCTACTCTAGCCCTTGTTAAAAAGCACAGGGACCTTTTAGACGATGTAGCAGACAACAAGAGAGTCATGTACAACCTGAACAGGCAAGCGCAGAACTTCCCCACGGAGTTTCGGGATGATCCAGGATTTGAGAACAGACTGAAGGCCATCCAGGCAATGTACAATGAAGTTGTGTCCCTAGCAGATCTGCGTAGGCAGAATCTGCAGGATGCCTTGGATCTCTACAAAGTTTTCAGTGAGACAGATGCATGTGAGCTTTGGATGAGTGAGAAGGAGAAGTGGTTGGAACAAATGGAGATTCCTGATACCTTGGAGGACCTGGATGTTGTGCAACACAGGTAAATGTCTGAGATTGTTCCCTGGGCAGTGTATGTTCGATGTTTGGAACATTTGTCTCAAACTAAACAAGTTAAGAGTGTGGAGGGAGTGCTTCATACATTAACTGGGACAATTAAGGAGCAACTGCAGGATCTACAGTAATTGTGGAACACGTTTTTGTGGGTTACAGTCCACTTTGTAAAGAACTACACATTACCCTGGCAAACATGATTTCTTATGCATGAAATGACCTCAAAAATATAGCACTAAAGTGCAGGTGAAGGGCTTAATTCAAGGTTCAGTGTGTCAGGCCTAGTCCTTAGCAGCCTGAACCTCCTCCATTGTCTTCCTGTATTGCAATACTGTACTATATGAAGACAGACTGGAAGCAAAATTACCATGTATGCAAGACTCAGGGCCACAAGGGCATGGGGAGAGGCTTTTTACTCTGGATTTCCATTCCCCTGGTGACTTACCAATACCTGAGTTTAGGTGTTTTCTGAATGTGGCATGAGACCTTATAATTCAAATTGGGTTTTGGAGGAATAGGATCAAGACAACACATTCAAAGTAGGACTTTAGAAGTTATGCACTGTGCATCTTTGGGAAATGTTGAGTTTTCAATTAATTAACTGATCTTGATTTCAGGTTTGATATTCTGGAGCAAGAAATGAACAACCTGGCTTCTCAGATTGAAGGGGTCAATCAAGCTGCCTTTGGATTAATAGAAAGTGGGCATCCACGCAGTGTGAGTGTGAGGCAGTGTCAGCAGCGTCTGAATGCCAGGTAAGTTCCCCTTAAAAGGACCAAAGCAGATGCATGAAAAAGAAGGACCTAAAGAAAGGATCTCTGCTGCATTCAGTGCAATGATTCTTTCATTCATTCATTTTGCTCTGCTTCTTTTAGATGGAAAGTCTTCCAGGAGATGGTAGCTCAGAGGCGGAAAGCTGTGGACTTTGCCCTTAGCCTCCACAATTACTGTGTGGATTGCGAGGAGACAAGGAAATGGATCCTGGAAAAAACCAGTGTCATCGAATCTACGCAGGACCTTGGCAAAAACCTGGCAGGCATGATTGCCATGCAGAGGAAGTTATATGGCATTGAGCGTGACCTAGCGGCTATCCAAGCCCGGCTTGCGTCCCTGCAGCAGGAAGCACACCGGCTAGCCGAAGAGCACCCTGACCTAGCTGACGACATCTACAGTCGACTGACAGCTGTCACTGGAGTCTGGCTGGACCTGCAGAATACGTTGCAGAGCCAGGAGGCCTCTCTCGGAGAAGCCAGCAAGCTGCACAAATTCTTGCAGGACTTAGATGACTTCCAGGCATGGCTCTTCAAGGCCCAAAAAGCTGTTGCTTCAGAAGAGGTGCCCAACTCACTGGTAGAAGCTGAGCACCTCCTGCAGCAGCATGCTGCCATTAAGGAAGAAATTGATCAACACAAAGATGATTACCACAGTGTCAAGCAGATAGGAGACAGAGTGACCCAAGGACAGACAGATGTCGAGTATCAGCAGCTAGAGCAGCGGCTTCAGGGCATGGATACAGGCTGGAATGCCTTATGTAAAATGTGGGATAGCAGGGAGAAATTCCTCAACAAGTGTCTTGGCTTCCAGGAATTTCTTAAAGATGCAAAGCAAGTGGAAATCATTCTTACTAATCAGGTATGGCAGCAGGGAACAGGCATCTTATAACTTTTATGTGTGTTACATCAGTGTCTCAAGATTGCATCCTGGTGCTTGAGTGTCGTAAGTGTTACGCTCTACAGAGAAGCAGTAGTGGAATTTGCCATCTGAGCACTTGGATGTCTTACAAAGCATCTCAGCTGGCATGTGGCAACCACAGAAAAATCCTGTCCATGCTGTGCACCCTCTCCTGTACAGGAGCTGCATTTCAGCACATATTGAGAAATATTGGAGAAACAAGTCTTCCTGATGCATGCTGAAAGCCGAATCCTGTGCTTAGCAGCAAGTTGATATAAGCAGTTTGCAAAAGCTGGGCTCTATTTTATGCAGGCATTTCAAGTGCTTTCTCTTTAGCTGACATGCATATGATGGCTGCACTCTGCCAAACTAACATGCAGACTGTTGTGGACTAGAATTGGCTTTAGGCTTTGCAGAAGAGAGTTGTTGTTTTTTAACTTCCTGTGCTGTTTTTCTGAGTAATTGACTTGTTTTCTTCCACAATATCTGCTTTAGGAATACACTCTGGCTCACATCGAGCCCCCAGACACCTTGGAAGCATCAGAGGCTGCTATCCGAAAATTTGAAGATTTCCTTGCTACTATGGAAGCAAATGAGGAAAAAGTTACTGGGCTGGTGGCCAGTGGGAACAAGCTGGTGGCTGAAGGAAATATTTACTCTGATAAAATCAAGGAAAAAGTGCAGCTGATTCAAGAGAGGTAATTTCCGTAGAATAGTTTCAACGGGACAGCTCAGGACTATTGCTCACATTACAAGATACAAAAAAATAAATAAATTGTCCAGTAGCACCTTAGAGACCAACTAAGGATGTTCTTGGTATAAGCTTTTGTGTGCATGTACACTTCTTTAGATACACTGAAAAGTTGCTGAATTACAACTTATCACTAAACTGAAAGTTATGGAGAAAACTGGTCTTAATAGAGATATTGGATTCCTGTCTCATTACATATGCTAATCATCTGCATACTATCCCTTGCTTTTTCCTGTAGGACTAATTGCAGTCGTTAACAGTCATCAACAGGTTTACCATACCCATTGAGTTAATCACCCATCTCCTACTACCCTCCTGAGAAAAACCCCACTCCACCCTCCCACTATATATAAGGGTCTGGTGACTTCTGTTTCAGTGCATCTGAAGAAGTGTGCATGCACACGAAAGCTTATACCAAGAACAAACTTAGTTGGTCCCTAAGGTGCTACTGGACATTTTTTAAATAAATATATATATATATATATATATATATATGTATGTATGTATGTATTTCAACTGTGTCAGACCAACACCTACCTAAAACTACAAGATACTGCACTGTACTCTGATATCACAGTGAACAGCACTCTGGAGAAGGTGTGTGGAGGGAGGGTGGGGAGAGAGAAAGGGAGAGATTTGGTTATCTCTTCAAACAGAGCAAAACCATCACCCAGATTTTTGTTCTGAGGCAATAATAGCCCAAAACAAGAGATGCATATGAGAACTGGGGAGGCCTTTTCTGAGCTGCAAACCCTTCCCTCCCCACAAGTCCTATTAAAAAAGGAAAACTCATACATCTTTAACCAGGATAATAAAAGACAAGCATGACAACAGTCTGAACTTGCAACTCCAAACTGAAAGCTGCCATTTGAGGAAGAGCAAAAATGTACCGTAGATAAGGCAGGGATGGAGAGGTCAGTTTACCTGGTTTCTTTATTGTGCTGTGCCCTGTTTACCTTGCAGTGATTACTGTATAGAATCATAGAACTGAAGAGTTGGAAAGGGACCCAAGGGTCATCTAGTCCAGCCCCCGGGAATGCAGGAATCTTTTGCCCAATGTTGGGCTCAAACCCACGACCCTGAGATTAAGTGTCTCATGCTCTGTCGACCGAGCTGTCCTATTTCTAGCCTACATAGCAGCATTCTGTTTTTGACCACATACAAGGCTTGAGCCCCATTGATGTGTGATTCTTATTTTCTGCCTCTGTGCTTGAGATATGGAATAATTCGGGAGTTTAGAAAGCAGCTCATCTAGCTCAGTTTTGACTATGCTGACTGGCAGTGGCTCTCCAGGGCTTCAGGCAGGGAGTCTCTCCCAGCCCTACCTGGGGAGATGTCAGGGGTTACACCTGAGACCTTTTGCATACAGAGCAGCTGATTCTACCACTCAGCTACAGCCCTTCCCTAAAGGGCTGTCATTGGAAATCTACAGTACACAGCTGCTTTACACACATACAGACAAGTGTAGCAGGGTTCTCTGGGTTGCTGGGATAAATGTGTTATGATACTAGCTAAGCCAGTGGTTTTCACTGTGGCACCCTGAGGTGCCTTGAATGATGGTCAGGGATGCCACGGGCAACATTGGCCTCTGTCCCTCTTTCCTTCCCTCCCTCTTCTGATGCCCTCTTTCGTCTCTGCCTACCAATGGTTGCAACAGCCCTGGGTATAAACTCTGAAGGTGAATGGCGCCTCTGGGAGGCACCTCCATTTGGGGTGAGGACTCAGAGACCAGGGAAGGCAGCAGCAGCTGCCCAGAGGACTACCAGGGAGAGGAGAGGAGGTTGAGGGAACACTCCACAAAGGAGGGTGTTTGAAAAAGGGAGAGAAAAAGGGAGAGAGTCTGCCAGCTTTGCAGAGAAGGGGTGACATAACTGGGCTCCTGAGCCCCACAAGGTTGCTGCAGAAAGAATGTAGTTGGTTAAGGGAGCAGTGGACTCAAAAAGGTTGAAAACCTCTGAGCTAAGCTAATAGACGACTGGGAGGAAGAGCAGGATATAAATTGAATAAATAATAGCCATTTAACAATGGCACTATTGTTGTTTATAGGTACAATAGAAACATTGCAAAATCTCAAGAGGCCTTGGTGCTGCTGAAGGACAATCATGAGCTGCGGAACTTCCTACAGAATTGCCAGGAGGTAAGGATGCCAGGCCTACTACTCCTGCCTGCTACCACTAATCTAAGGTGCATCTGCATTTATCCTTCTTCTCCAAATGGTGGTTATAACTTTGGCTTATGCCAGCAGTAAATACTTCTCACTGCAACTTTCAGCTGTCAAAAATATATTCCTGATGTTTAGTCGGAAACACTTTTCTTGTAACTTGAATCCATTGGTTCGGATCCCAGCCTCTGGAGAAGGAAAAAGAAATTTCCTATCTCAGCCCTATGATTCCAAGTACTTCAGAGAAGCACAATCAGTCATTAAAAAGTAGCTGAAATAAAATGGGTGGGTGGGGAAAGAATTAAGTAAGAATATGAGCAAAACAGTTTGTTTAGCTAATTATTTTACCCGCATTTATCATTTAGCTTCAAGTACTAGCAAAAAGTTAAGGGAGTTTGGCAAAAGTCTATAACCTCCCTTTGCAGTACTGTAATTAACTTCCTTTGTTTGCAGCTTACTATCTGGATTGATGAGAAGATGCTCACAGCGCAAGACATATCCTACGACGAAGCCCGGAACCTGCACAGCAAATGGTTGAAGCACCAGTCTTTCATGGCAGAACTTGCTTCTAACCAAGGATGGCTAGAGAATGTAGATGAGGTAAGTTCTTGCAAGACTTGGAGTAGTGTGACATCTCTCCCAGCTCTTTTCTCCCATTGTCTCTATACCTTAGTGACTCCTGCTATTTCGGAGCATTATCCTGTCCTCATCCAGCCACTAGCTAATGTTGTGTTGCCTGCAACCACTTGGAGCACTGCATGTAGTTGACTACAAAGACCCATCTCCTTCCAACCCTGTATTTCTTACTCTGTATTTTCTTGATGAGAAATAGCCAGTCCTTTGCTCTGACAAGTGCTTCCATGTCTCTCCCCCATCCCCTCTCTCTTTTCTCCAGGAAGGGCAGAAGCTAGCAGAACAGAAGCCCCAGTATGAACACATTGTTTGCCAGAGGCTAGTGGAGCTGCACCAGCTTTGGGACAAGCTGCAAGCAACCACAGATGAGAAGGCTCAGCACCTGTTTGATGCCAACCGCTCTGACCTTTATGCACAGAGCTGTGCTGACCTTGATGCATGGATTAGTGAGATGGAGGAGCAGCTGAAATCTGATGCCCAAGGGAAAGATCTCACCAGTGTCAACATCCTACTGAAGAACCTGAAAGTAAGTCATAGGGGGTGGCATTTGCCGATTAACGAACATGACTAAATTAGGTACATTATTTTCAGTGGGTCTGGTCTGATAAAAACTTAGTCAAATACCACTTCCAGGATGGAGAGAGGAGTCAATGCAGATACCCATTGCCAAGGGGGAGAGAGGGGGATCTGGAAAGTCAGTGCAAAGCCTTGCTGCCAGGCGGCAGAGGTGGGGGTAGTTATCTGTTAACAGTCCTCCTCCCCCCACAAGGGAGTGTGGCAGGGCTGTGACCAGCTTTTGAACTGCCCCCTTTTTTGCTCCAGAACTTTCCTTGTTAAAACACCTCTTTAAAGTTCATTCAGAGCAAACAGCAATCCACGAAAGCCTGACTTGACATTTGTTCCAATTGAGTGCTAAAGAGTGGGTTTTTGTGGGGTAAGCTCCAGGGCAAAAAAACACACCAAACCAACCAGCACTCAGACACAGAGCTTAGGACGTGTGCCTGGAAAGACCTTAGATACTGCAATAATCCCTTTTCACCCTGATTCCAGTGTATTCTTTCACCTTTGCCATCAGAACAGGGGCTTTCCATTTTTTGCTGAGACCACCATTTTCTTACCCCTCACAAAAAAAGGCCCAACCCTCCTCAATTACTGTTTCCATGATGGTTCTCTTCAAGTCTCTCCAGTCTCAGGTGTGAATAAAAAGGGTGTCCTTGTTTTTCTAGGAAATGAAATGGGAAAGTCAGGCTGGAAATTTGTAAATATGTCACCAAGCCCAAAGCCTATGGCCCAAAAATATAAATTTTGACAAGATGACTGAGTTAATAGAGACTTTCTAATTTCAGCGACTAGATGAGCAAGTAAGTGTGAGGAAGAAAGAGATGGAAGACTTGCTGTCTCACGCCCCTTCAACCAGAGGAGACCTGCATGAAGCAGATGGCAAGCATGAGATCATTGAGAGAAGGTTCCAGGATCTTCTGCAGCCATTGGATAAGAGGAGGAAGGAGCTGGAGACAACCAAGGCTCGATACCAATTGGACCGGGATCTGGAAGATGAACTGGTGAGCTATCATCTGAATGTGCTATTAGGAAGGACTTCTAGTCAACCTTATTACTTTAATTTAGAGGGCAGGGGGCTCTGTTACAGTACAACTGGTCCCCATGAGACACATAGGCAGTCTGTGTTAGATAAACAGAGTAATACAGTTGTACCTTGGAAGTCGAATGGAATCCATTCTGGAAGTCCATTCAACTTCCAAAACGTTCAAAAACCAAATTGAGGCTTCTGGTTGGCTGCAGGAAGCTCCTGCAGCCAATCAGAAGCTGTGAAAGCCCCATTGGACATTCAGGTTCCAGAAGAAAGTTCACAAACCGGAACCATCACTTCCGGGCAGCCTTCAGGAGCCAAAACGTCCGAGTTCCAGGGTGTTCGGCATCCAAGATACAAGTGTTACTTCATCCCTCACCCACCCCACTTGTGTACACATATATAGCTTGACTTTTCTGTACCTGCACTTTAGTCATTCTTCTGTATTCCAGCTTTGGGTACAAGAGCGATTGCCCCTTGCTCAGTCCACTGACCATGGCACAAACCTCCTGTCAGTACAGATGCTTACGAAGAAAATGCAGGTGAGTCTGTCCACCACCTCTGAGTTTTGTCCCCCCCCCCGCCACCAATTTAATTTAATTGCATTTTGGATTGAACACATAGGCTGGCTGGGTGGATTTTGGCTGTGGCTGCAAACATCCAAACGTTCAGTAGTGTCTGTATAATAGCTGTTAGTAAATGGAGTGGGAGGATTTCTCAAATATGCATGTACCAGGAGCTCTCCAGCTTTGCCTACTCACCACTCTCTGCCAGATGCCTCACCCCCTTGCCAAGCCTCCTCCCCTTACAGCTTGATTTGAGAGTGATGTTGTGTGGATGATGCTGCATAAATGGGGACACAGGCAGACCCTAGCCCACACTAAACTTTGGTGTGTACAAGCCCTGAGCCGAAGGAGTTCCCTGAGGGTGGGTGGGGATGCAGGTAGATGCCAAAGTGCTTCCCTTTGCAGCAGCCTGCAAGACCTGAATATTGCCATCATGTTAGACGTTGTTGTCATTAGCCTCTATTAATGACTACTCAGTAAATGGGAAGAGCTCACTTCAAATAGGTTTTTGATCTTATCCAAACCTCCTTAAAAGTGCCCCTGTCCCTTGCTAGACGCTGCAGAAAGAAATTGCTGGCCATGCCCCACGCATTGAGGACGTCCTTTTCAGAGGGGAGGCCATGCTGGCTGGAGCGGAGGGGAATGGAGACTTCCGGGATACCGAAGAGCGCCTGAAGCAGCTGAGGGATTCCTGGAGCACTTTGCAAGAGGAAACGTCAAAGAGGTTGCAGCGCCTGGAAGAAGCAAGTGAGGCTCAGCGATATTACTTGGATGCTGGTGAAGCAGAGGCCTGGATAAGTGAGCAGGAGCTCTATATGGGGACTGATGAGAAGCCAAAGGTAAAGGTGCTAATATTGCCGGAAGCTGCTGCCACATCCCCAGGTCGTGGGGGGGGGCAGTGATGGGGCAGCACAGTGAAATGGGATGTGCCACTCCTGGGTTGGCTCCACTCCGGGGCAGGATAAGATGCCATCAGTAACTGGAGGGGTTTTCTTTTCCTAGGATGAAGAGAGCGGCATTGTGATGCTGAAGAGACTCCTTCGCCAGCAGCGGTCCATAGAAGAGTACGGGAAAAACATCAAGCAGCTGGCTAGCTGGGCTCAGAAGCTGCTCTCCGCTGGACACCCGGAAGGGTAAGTATGTCTGGCTGCTGTTTCCCAGTCTCTCAAAGCTTTGGAAAAGAACAGCGAGGAGATTTTTAAAAAGTTCTGTGGAGCGTGGTATCAACTGACCCATCATAGATCCCATATCTTGTCATTTGGCTCTCTGGAAACGCAGGCCACTGTATATCTGCTGGATTGTGTCTTTCTTCCTTTGGCAGGCGATATGGCTCAGGCAAGTCCTCCTTTGGTGTTTTTCAGGGAGGAGATAATCCGGCTGCAGGGGCAAGTAGACAAGCAGTATGCAGGCTTGAAAGACCAGTCTGAGGCGCGCAGGCGTAAGCTGGAGCACATGTGCCACTTCTTCAAGCTGAAGCGAGAAGTTGATGACCTGGAGCAGTGGATCGCAGAGAGAGATGTAGTGGCATCATCCCCAGAGATGGGCCAAGACCTCGACCATGTCACTGTGAGCAAGCACTGTCAGAATGTGCATTAGGCAGCCCATTGTGGCCAGGTGTCTTAGTCCCCATCTCTCTTGAGATGCCAGTTCCACTTTAGGGGTATAAGTACCATGTGAATGAGGACAATGGGTGGTGAGTGGTGTTATTTGACTGCACACGGTCATGTGGTGGCCAGATGAAACCTTGCTGCTAGGTGGTACAGGGTGTGTTAAAATTCAATTGCATTTAACATACAGGGAACCCCCGATGTATGCAGGGTTTAACCACTGCACGTTTACAATGGGAAGTTATAATTTATTCTTATGCTGGAAGGCTGGCTTGTTAGGGTATGGGAATCAGCCCACATGGCAAAGTTAACTAATGTTATAAGTTGGCGTAAAGGCACAAACAAACAAGTAATTGTTTTTTAAGTGGAATAATCTTGCCATGTACTAGTGCAATAAGCCACAAGAAAATAAGTAACCACATATGCTGTTGCAAACTATTTAGTAATTTAAAGGATAATTTAATTTTCTTATTTTCTCCTCTTGAGTACATATATATTTACATATTCACATTTTTTTTCTTTTTTCTCTTTTACCTGTTAAAATTATCCCGTGCTTAATATATCTTTTTGTATTTACATGTTTAGGCACTATCTTTTTTTTATAACAAAAGACATGCAGCTTGGAGTGCAGAAATCACTATAGTTTTCTTCAAATATTAGGAAAGTAAAAGTGTGTTGGAGACATGGCGCTGTGTCCGACAACCTTGCCACCTCTACTCCTGACTTTACCACATTCAGCAGCAAGGTCACAATTGGGCTCGCAAATGTGTTCCCTTGAACATGCTTACCAGCCTCCCTTTCCTTCGGATCATTCAGGTTTCTCAGCCACAGGGGGGACTTGTAAGCACGCTCAAGCAAACTTGCTTAGGAGCCCCCTTCAGACCATGTTGCTATGTCTAGTCAGGGACAGGCTGGAGCGCATGATGCTGTCACTCCAACATACCTGCACTTGGCTAATGTCTGAAGAGAGCTTGTGTTATGACAAGAGTGGCTGTTGTAAGCTGTTTTCAGAAAATCAGCCACATTAGTGTGCTGCAGAAAAAACAAGAAAGAACATTGTGGTACCTTAAAGGCTAACAAATGTCTTATGGCATAAGCTTTCATATGTTGGTAGGCTTTTTCAATTTTGGGTGACAGCCTGCAACAGAAAACAACAACACTCTTTTACATCACTATGCAAAATAAAAGAGCCCTACCCTCCTTTGCATATGGTTATCCTAGAGAGAAAAAGGAGAAAATTGGCAGATTCTCTCTCTCTCTCTCTCTCTCTCTCTCTGTGTGTGTGTGTGTTCAAGTAAGTCTCATGTTGTAATTTGGGAGTGAACATGGGCTCTGGATCTACATAAAGTGACATTGCATCCATTGTTGAATGAGATTAGACCTCTTAGAATGCTCATGTTCTCTCTGGTTTGTTTCTTGGCTAGCTACTGCGAGATAAGTTCCGTGACTTCACCCGGGAAACAGGAAACATCGGGCAGGAGCGGGTGGACGGTGTCAATCTCATAATTGAGCAGCTGATTGATGCTGGCCACCCGGAAGCTGCCACGATTGCGGAGTTGAAGGACAGTCTGAATGAGAGCTGGGCTGACTTGTTAGAGTTGATTGATACCAGGATACAGCTGCTGGCTGCCTCCTATGAACTGCACAAGTTCTTCTATGATGGTGGTGAGATCCTGGTTCTCATTGAGGAGAAGCACAAGGAGCTGCCGGAGGAGTTGGGCCGGGACGTCAACACAGCAGAGTCTTTCCACAGGATGCACACAGCCTTTGAGCGAGACATCCACTTGTTGGGACAGCAGGTAACCACATACCTTACAAGTCTATAGCTCGCTACTGGACGACATGGGGAACTATATTGGTATAATCCCTGGTATAGATCAGAAATATATGTGTTTGAGCACTCCAGGGATGCTCGGCCTTGACCTTCCACATTTTTCTGTCATCTGTGTGTCTTGGCTAAAGGGAAATTGAACAGGTCTATGTGGCGTTTTCCAGATCTGATTGAAGTTAGCATCCTCCCTTGGAAGACTTTGGAACATAAGGAAAACAGTGGCATTCTTGATTTATTGCGCTACGGAGCCCAAACCAGATTCTCAATGTTTTCGTTTCCCTATGAAACTGGTCCTTCATGCTTCCATTTTAAAATTAGGAAACCATGTCTGGGAGAGACATGCATAGCCAGCATACTTCCATACTGCCGATATTTTTGAACAGGCTTCTGTCGCGTCTAACAAATTCAGGCTGCACAACAGACGCTTGATGTGGACCTCCGAAACAAATTTTCCCCAAAGCCGAGACTTTTTGAAGTAAGGAAAGTGTTGGATAACGATGCAACATTGTCTAATCTCCCCACAGACAAATCAGGCTGAATGCCCATTAAACAGGTTTCCTGGAAGGGACTCTGGTCTTAGGTGTGAAGTGTACGTTCTTGGGTTGCAATATAAAGTTCCCTCTTCTCTGGCAGGTTCAGCATTTCCAGGAGGTGGCGGTACGCCTGCAGGCAGCCTATGCTGGGGAAAGGGCCGTCGCTATTCAGAAGCAAGAGCAGGAGGTGGTGAAGGCCTGGAAGGCCCTGCTGACTGCCTGTGAGGGGAGGCGGGCTCAGCTGGTTGACACGGCAGAGAAGTTCCGCTTCTTCAGCATGGTCCGGGACCTCATATCTTGGATGGAGAGTGTGATCCGGCAGATTGAAACACAGGAGAAGCCCAGGTAACAAGATGGAATGGGAATGGACTCCCACCCCCACCCCTTTTTCTTTTCCCACCCAGATGCTAGAGAAACCATTTGCAGTTCCTGGCATGCTGATGCAACCCTCAAGAGCTGCTTACCAAGTTCATAATCTCCCCCCCCCCCTTTTTTTTAATTCAGCCCTGTGAGCTGTAACATTCTGGGAAGCAGCCTGGCTGGAAGCCAGTTGCACATCACATTTGCTGATTCAGGCTTTGCATGCCTTTGAGACTGGTTTTCAGGAGATCTCCTACAACTTGAGAAAAAGTCCTTGGGCTTTTCAGCGCCGCTGAGGATCCCTTGGGTGTTAGTAACGTTCTGCTGCTTGTTTATTCTTCCATTATTTCCCCCGTTTAAAGGGATGTTTCGTCTGTGGAGCTTCTGATGAAACACCACCAGGGCATAAAGTCCGAGATAGACACCAGGCAGAAAAGCTTCACCACTTGCTTTGATCTTGGCAAAGCCCTGCTGCAGCGCAGGCACCATGCTGCAGATGAGGTGAGGGCTTCCCAGCACAAGCTTTGTTGTGAGAGATGACTAATATATATGCAAGACTGCATTAAGCATGGCTGCTCCCCACCTTAGGTTCCTGCGGGTGTAGATGGAGGCACTGGCTTTCTGGAACTAAGGTGCTTCCTCCTTCATCCCTTAGACCAGGTGGCATTTATGACAGAGCAGCCCCTCTCCCCCTCTGACATTTTCAGCAACCCATTCAGAATTCTATTTAGGAGAAGGGGAGCCTTTTTCACTCTGGGGAATTCTCATGAACATCTGTGACAGATGAGCGGGACGGCCTGCCTGACAATCATTATGTCATCATATGAGTGACCGGTAGTTTGTCCCATCTACCTGTTGAAATCCCTTATGTGAGTTTCCCAAGCACCTGAGAGCCAGTTGGGAACCATAGCACACAGGGCATTGCCAGCCCTATGCTTGGCACTTTGGAAAGGGATGAGCACAGGCTGGCAAAGCACTTCTTTCTCCTGCCCGTCAGCTGATGGGGAAAGTGGAAAGGAGTTCTCCATTGCACAGTGCATGCCTGCAACCTCACGGTGGGGGTGGGATATGTGCATTGCTCCAAGAGGGGGAAGAGGATCTGTGGAGGGTGCAAAAAGCATGAATAGGTAGGACAGTTCAGTGCCTACCACATACATGGAGCAAACTCTCATTTAAAGACGGGGTCTGCTGCCATGGCATAAAACATGGGCCTGAGCTGCTCCCTATTTTGCCTGTGTTTTTTGCTCATGCGCAGTAGTTTTAATTGTCCCAAGAAACTACAGAATGAAAAATCCCCACACTTCATTTATATTATGTGAATATCTAATAGGTATTCCATGCCTTCTGTCCACAACCCAGCACAGAGGGAAATCTAAGGCACTTAGGTGTGCTTAGCTTTGAGCATCTGCCCATGTCATCATTGTTGTGTGCGTGCGCTGTCTTAGGGTTTCTTCTTGTAAGAAAGAAAAGCGGGATTCGTGTAAGCATTATACATAATTAGAGCAGGAAACTCTGTGCACTTAACCTAACTGCCATGAAACCTGTGGCAGGGAGGGAGAGAGAAAACTTTCCTTCCTTTTCTTTTAGATAAAAGAAAAACTGATGCAGCTGGCAGAGAAGAGGAGGGAGATGGTGGAGAAGTGGGACAGGCGTTGGGACTGGCTTCGCTTGTGTAAGTATCCCACAGGGTGTTTCCTAGGTGGGCTGACTGGAATGAGGCTTTTCCACCCAAGTGGGCACTTTTCCATGTAGGGCAAGGTCCAGCCATCAGTGTGTGTGCATCCTACATGCTGAATCATGACCCTCTCTCTGGTTTCCCTTCTCCTCTTCACGCACCAGTGCTTGAGGTGTGCCAGTTTTCCAGGGATGCCTCAGTGGCCGAGGCGTGGCTCATTGCCCAGGAGCCCTATCTCTCCAGCGGTGATTATGGGCAAACTGTGGATGCTGTGGAGAAGCTACTGAAAAGACACGAAGCCTTTGAGAAATCCACAGCCACGTGGGAAGAACGTTTTGCTGCCTTGGAGCGTCTGACCACAGTAAGTAGCCCACAGAAGGAAGAGCCTGCCAGCACTTTGTATGGTTAACAATAATGGAAACCTACTAACCAAGCTGGTTTGGAATACGGGGATCCAACTGTTGCTTCTTATTACTACAGTGGTACCTCGGTTGTCAAACGTAATCCGTTCCGGAAGACTGTTTGACTTCCAAAACGTTCAACAACCGAGGCGCAAAGGGCGGTTGGCAAAGTCAATGGAGAAAAAAGAAAAAAATGCAGCGGAAGCCGTTTGACTTCTGAGGTGCATTCGAAAACGGAAGCAATTCGTTTTCGGTGTTTGGGTTCCAAAATGCTTGGCTTCCGAGTTGCTCAAAAATTGAGGTACGACATTAGAAAGCCTAATTTGTGTTTCATTTTATTTTAATGTGAAGCTTTTCAAAAACACTTTCTTGAATAATCCTGCAGAGAGTATTGGGCTGAAAAATAATAATAATTTGAAGATGAATATACGTATATTTGTCAGTAAACAAAGCATTGCTTTCAATGCCTGTTATAGTACCCTAATGCCTTCTAATACCTTTCTCAGTTAAACCAGTGCTAGACCCTAGAGCAGTGATCTGGCAACATAAAAGGCAAATAGCACAGTGAAGTGCAATATGGGGGAAATGTGTAGGTGTAGGAAAGGCAAAACTGACCCCTGAAGGGATGGGGTAGATGAAAATGAGGTCACAGGTGCAACAGGGAATGGGGAGTGGCCTCTTTCACATCTGCCTATACAAAACAAACCCACCCTGTCTGTTCTTTAATATTCCCCCCAAAATATTCTTTTTCAGCTTGAATTACTAAGGAATAGAACGATTCCAGAAGACCTTTCGCAGCACAAAGTGGCTAGGACCACAGACCTGGAGTTTGACTTTGAGACAGAGCCTGAAACTGAGATGGGGTAGGTTACATGTATGTAAGTTGCCCTTTGGGCTGTTACTTCCCTGAGTGTCAGCAGAACTCCATCAAGAACAGGCCAAATCCTCAATTCCCAGACACAAGAACCACCCACCAACAGCGTCTCCATTTTTTTAGGATTCAGTTTCAGTTTGTTGGCTCTCATCCAGTCCATTACTGCCTCCAGACTCTGATCCAGAGATCATGTAGCTTGCTGGACCTCTTCAACACTGCCTTATCCACATCTTTGGGTCACAATAAGTGAAACTCCTCTCATAACTCTGAAGAAGATGGTGCTCTCAATATGAACAGTATCAATTGATGTCCCAGGGGTGTAATTCCACAATTAGGATTAACATTTCTGTCCTATGCTGGAGTGCAACCTGAGACTATTTTTTGAGTCTGGTGTTTTGGCAGAGGCAACAGCTATCTCGTGAGTGTAGAGTTGATCTTTTTTGAGTTGGAAAGAAAAAAAAGGACTGAGATGCTGCCCTCTTGTGGTTGTGAAAACTATCTTACTTCACCTAGGGCTGAGATTCCTAGTGTCTTTGTTGCCGTTCCATACTGAGTTTGGTTGTATGGTGTTGAGTTCTGGGTTTTGCATGCACATTATTTACACAACTGGAAACGTCAGCTCCACACTCTTCACCGCTGCAATTATATGGTTTTCTTTGTATAGACACTATATATATAGTTTTTTCTTCTTTAAAAACACACACAAACAAACTTCAGCAGTAGGCTGTATCTAATTGGTGATGTTGCACAGGCAAAGGGGCTTTTGATCCAGCAGGAGGCATGCACTAATGGAAGAGGGTAGGCAATTTTTGCTAATTTCCTGCAGCTCCTCCCTCCCCAATCTGTTCTGGAAGGTCCCTTCTCCACTATTAGTGGACATCTCTGCTCAAGCAATAGCACAGGGAGGATGAGTTATTCTGCTCCATGTTGTTTCCATTTTATATACTGGATTATGTTCTTCTGTGTTTACTGTAGGCCTGAAGAAGAGAGGGAGAAGAAGGAGGAGTTAAGTTTAGAAGATGCCGTTTCTCCTGATGCAGAAGACTCATCACTGGTCAGTTATCAGTTTTAGTTCCTCCTTCCTGGAAACCTCCACAGCTTAATTCAGTTATCCAGTTTTGTTGCATCTTTGTAAAAATACACAAAATGTATTTTTCTGGCAAAAGAAAGAGAAAAAGAATTCTCTTATGTTCAGTTATTTAGAACTTTAACTTGCAGTGCTCTTCACAGTCTTCTTCTTTGATAAATATAGTAAACACCAGGAAATTTGGAGCCAATATGTATATCTGCAAAATGGATCTGTTAAATATAGATTAATGTTACTATTTTAATATGTACTTTCTCAACCTGGTGCTCTTGAGATGTTGCTGGACTGCAGCTCCCATCATCCCTGTTCACTGGCCATGCTGGGTGGAGCTGATACTTAGCTGGAGTCCAGCAGCATCTGGGAACCCAAGGTTGGGAAAGGCCGCTCTACGGTTCCCCCTAAATTATATTTTTGCTGTAACAGATCCTTCATAGACACACTTGCGTATATGTTTTGAACTGGAGAGCTGCTGTATTCTCATTGAAGGAGCTACTGTATCTGACGGTGTCTAATGCTTATAGCAAGGTGCACAGTTTTGACCGTACACGATTAGACTGTTAGCTACACACATTTCTCAGTTAGGATCCTGGCAACAGCACACAAGCCTAGCAGTGTGCTTTTTGGAATAGTTTCTGTGTCAGAAACCTTAAACCCAGGGTATCGCAAGTAGTGTGACTAGATGGAAAAGAATATAAGACTTCTGGTCATTTAATGGTGGTGTAGAGTAAGGCATTTGTGCAGAATAATGTTGGGTTTAGAGATCTAGATGGAGGCACAATATCTGATAGTTCTTGTAGAAAAAGTGTGAAGACAGGTAGAGGGAAGAGTAGAAACACTCTTAGCTTAATCAGTGACCCACCTTCTCTGGAGTGATTCCTGAGGCACTTTCCTCTTTACAGGCCTGATCCTGATCTCTTTATAAAGCCAAAGAAGCTCCTGGCTTCCAAGTGATTTTAATTAGTCCAGCCGCATCAAATGAATGAATGTTTCAAAGATACTCATCACCTGATCTCCCTGCTGTTCCTGTGGAGTCTTTCCTGTTCCCTACCCACAGCTCCGAATGCTGTCTGGATCAAGGAGTCAAATGTTTATTCGAAACCCAACTGTACCCAGAAGAGAGGGTTATTCTATATATATTTTATTTTTCAGGCATTTGGGAAACCCTTTTGAAAAGAAGATCTGATCTGTCTGGGAACTTTGTATCCAACTTGGCCTCTCTAACAACATATTTTTTGTACGTTGTTTTTAATAAGCATTTGCTTTCTTCTTTATTCCACTCTGCCCTTTTAAGGAATGAAGATAGGCCTTGTTGTACTCATGGTGAAAAGAAAGTGATGAGCAAAATTCCAGCATGGGCTACTCAGGCCCACATCCCAGGTTGCTCTATTGTCTTAGGATCCAAGTTTCATTCTCTTGCAAAGGAAGAATGTGTCAGGTGTATTGATGCATAAGTCAATACATTTTCACGTGGTGCAATGCAGTGGCCTGGTGAGAAGAAGAGTGGAGTGATTGAGCCTACAGAAATGCATAAAATACAACCTATAGTTAGTGAAGAGAAATCACAAGATGGAATTCATGTCTGCATTGCTGTCTTTGTTAGCAATTTATAGAGTGACCTTGCCCTTCCTGGAAAAGTGGGTTGCTTTTTGTGCTTGTAAAATGGAAGATCATGGGCAACGAATGGACGATGATGAAGGTGCTGTGATCATGACCTAAAAAAGAACCGTACCTAAAAGATTTCTTCCTATGTAGCTGTGATACTATTAATCTTACAGGTGCTTCCAGAAACATCAAAATGAATTGTTAGGACAATCCCTGCTATACCAGAGGTACCCAAACTCATGGAAACTCTTAATTCTTTTTTTTTTAAAGTTGGGCTTACTTTATGACGCAGGGTGCCCCCTGACACACAGGTACAAAGGAAGACCTGTGGCAATGCACCTCAGCATAACATGCCAACAAAAAGCAGTTCTGTGGTTGCTTTTCACTTTTGCTGTAAATCAGGTCTGAAGAACTTATGGCCCTCAGATGTTGCCAAACCACATCTCCTATCAAACTGACTCATTGGCCAGCGACATCTAGAGGTCCACAGGTTCCCCATCCCTTTTGTAAATGGAGGTTTGTTACTGCAGATAGATGTGGTAGTAGCTCTCCTTCCACATGTACCTCTTGACGTGATTCAGAGGCACTGTGGCTTCACAAAATAAGCCCAAAACATGCAGTTAAAGTTTCCCTAAGCAACAGAAGCACAATGCAGCCAATAAATGTTCTATTTTGTTCTAAAAAGGCTCATTTGTTGGAGTGTGAAGACACAGTATTAAGGCACAGTAATCTCAGTCCTGCACACTCACCCACATGTGTGCATCCACATCCATTTTCATTTTGTATTTATCCAAGGCAGTTGTGTATCTGAACATCTAAAAACTCCACAAGTATTTACACTGGGAGGCACAAGCCATCATTCCGAGAGGATCGGTCTTCGCCACATACACTAATCAGGTCTTTCCTCCTACATGATGATTGATAGGTGCTTCCTCATTAACAGTGCAAGACACGCAGCTCATCAGATAATCTGCAGCCAGGCCCTTCTTGCTGCCAACTTTTTTCCACTGCTCTTACTCATCCCTGTGCTGTCCAGCAAAATATCCACAACTCTGCCAACACTTTTGTTGCTTTCTGTAAGCCTTTGCGCTTCTCTGTGCCATTGTTTCTCTCAGCCTTCTTTCACTTTCCCCCTTCTTCTTAGTCTTACTGCTCTTTCCCCCCCACCCTTAAGCAGCTTGCTTACAATATCTTGAAAATTTTCTTTGTGTCCTGTTGCCGCCAGCTTAATATCTGAAGACAGACTTTCAATGTGCCTTTAATGGACAAGTCATCCAAAGTACTCCCTGGGAGTAATTATTATTATTATTACTCCCTGGCTCAATCTGTGCCTGTCACCCCTCTTGTGCTTTTTCCCATGCATACTTGCCTCTTTCTTCCCAGAATACATGAGCCTCCTTCCATTCTTGCCCCGCAGGCTTTGGGCCATACTTGGAAGTGGGGTGCCAAGCAGCACTGACGTCTTCTCTGAACTTTTGTTCAGATCAGCTGATGCCAAGGCTCCACCTCTGCAGTAAGTGCCTGTCTGAAACAGCCTCTCCAGTGGTCAAGCCATTTTGCACAACCAGATGAATGATTGGTCACATGTAAGCCTGGCAATAGAATGGGACCTTGGAGCAATCCCTTGCAGGTTCGCTGTTAAGGATAAATCCTGGAGGCCTGGAGCAGTGTTTTGAAGGAGGCCATCCTGCCAAAAAAAGAGAAGGGAATCTCTGCTGCTGCTGTTGCTGCTTTTCTCTCATATCTGCTTCCATCCAGCCTTTTCTACTAACTTAGTGACAATTACTGGCCTTGACATTTGTGGCAATTGGGTATGCACGCTACACACTGCAAAGTAAGTTGTGGCTAATCACAAAAGAAGGCAGCAACTTGAAGCTGCTGTTTTCTCAGTACACATGCTTGCAACAAACCCTCACTTGTAAGCATTTTGTTCCGCAGGCAATTCAGAAGCCATTTTTCTTAAGTCTCCTGGGGATTGACTGTTCTGTAATATCAGTTTTCTTCTGGGACCGGTTTATTGTAACCATCCACTCTCTGCAGATATTTAAGGTCTTGGAGCTTTGCTGCTCTCTGTGGAATAGCTGATCACTGTCACAGTAGCAAAGGCCAAGTGTCAGGATAAGGTGCCCTGCAAAAGAGTGCTTTTGAGAAAACAAGTCTTTGTGGAGCTGTTCACAAAGTTGAGTTTTTATGGATTCCTGCAGGCATTGGGACAGCTTGCTCCATACTTTGTCATGTTCACTGTGGTGCACCAAGAAGGCCTGTTGCAATGAGATAAGGAGGGCAGAGGGTACCAGGAAAAGGAAGCACAGCTGTAGTTTTTATAGTCAAACGGTTTAGATTTTTCAGGTGTTTCTGTCACAGCACTGAAAAATAACTGCACTCAGGAATCGCAGCCAGCCAGCAGATGCCAGCACGAAAGGACAAGGCACCGGACCTAAGATTGGGGCAGGGACGATTAAGACTGAGGAACACTTTGCTAGGGGCTACCTTTGGATAAATTATTTATTCCACTAATTTAGATTTTTAACACCCCCTCTACCAGAGACTCAGTTGTTGAGCTGTGGCGTCTAGGTGTATTTTGCCATGTGCCTCAAATCAAAAAGAGTTGCGCAAGTTTTGGGGGGGATTACATTCAAAACTGTAGAAGCAAGAAGCGCTTTGCTAAAAAGATTCCTCAGAAGTCATACATGAAGTTGCCTCAGGTAGCCTATTTATTTGTCCCTGAAGCACTTTTTAGCCTCCCCCTAAAGCTGGGTTAGGAGTTCTGTGGCCATCCAAATGTTGCTGGGCTACAGCATCTGAAGGACCACAGGGTCTCCACCACAGCCATAAAGGCCAGGTCACAATTGATGAAATGCGTGTCTCATTCCTATAACTTGCCATGTTATGACAAAGCAGCTTTCACTGTTGTTGTGATCATGGCAGGAAGCCTTGATTAGCAGGGGTTTCCTACAGCGTGCTTACGTGGTGAAATAGGCACCTGTGTCCTTTTATCACAAAATTTATTCATACAACAAATGGTGAGGAAAATACTCCCCCCCCCCAAGCAGGCAAGCTTTTGACATTTTGAAAAGTATACCATGGAGTTATTGAAGATCTCAACAAAATAAGTTCTGGCCTTAGCACCGCTCCATTAGAAGTCAGCATTGGTAGGAAGACAAGAAGAATAGAATCCTACCTTTGGCATCAGGCCCAGTAATTTCTCTGACCTGGCGCAAGCACAGATCTACTGGTGTGCTTTACATTCAATGTGTGATGCCAATGCAGAATTAGCCAGTATAACCTAAAGAGCCTTTGGCCAACCTGGTACCAGCCAGATGTTTTGGACTACAACTCCCATCAACCCCAGCTAGTGGGCACCAAGTTGGTGAAGGCTGCCCTGCACTACTCTGCACAGCTGGCTGAATGTTGGATGCATGCAGGGGGTAGTTACACTGTGTGGTCCAAGTACAGATGTCTTAGGCTGCACTCCTGGCCACACCTGGCAATGTTCTATTGAAGTTAATGGAACTTAGGCACCCATAAGATAGAGCTGTCAATATTTTCCTGGCACCTAAGCATGCTGTTGGCTCCTGAGTCTTGAGTTTAGTGCCGTTGCTTACCCTGGGGTTCGTTCCAGCTTTGTGGTTCTATGGTTACATTCTGCACTTAGACCCACAATCACACAATGCACTTGCAGCTCTCAATGTTGCAAACACAAAGGAAATTCAGTTGATAAGGAAGTTCTTCTACCAGTTATTCAAAGGTAAGTCCACTAGGCCTCAATGGGGCTTATATACTTGCAAACAACAGCAGCATCATAAACCTATTCTGTGGTAACAAAAGCAAATCTTAACCAAAAGAGTTTTAATTATCTTTCTGAAGGCTGGGAAGGGAGTCTGTGAGCCTGGGCAGCACAACCACGAAGTTATTCATCAAGCAACCTCAAATGATAGTAGGGTGAACAGCAGAGCATCCCAGAGGATCTTAAAAGGAGGGCAGAATCATGAGTGGGGAGCAGATAGCCCTTCAGATTTCCCTGACCTAGACTATATGTGGCTTTAGAGGTTATAGCCAGGGATTAATTGGGTTTGGACACATGCCGCAAGCCAGTGCAAAAAGCAATACAGTCAAATGCTCCAAATAAAAGACCTCTAGTAATTGCCTGATATTCTGAGCCAGCTATAGTTACTGAACAGTTTTCAAAGGCAGCCTCACATTAGAGTGGCCCAAAGTATGTGTGGTAGTGGCCAGATCCCCCCTTTTCTGGAAGGGACTGCACCTGGCACACTAAGTGAAGCTGTGTGGGCCCACTCCTGCCCATGGCTGAACCATGCCCCTCCAAGCACTAGCAAACTGAATAATCACTCTCTGGTTAGCTTTCCAGCTGACCATAAGAACTCTGTCTCACCTGGTTTAAATTTTATGTAAAACTGGGAGCAATATTGCAGTCAAATATTACAAACCAGCTTACAGGTTGCCTTCATGAGCTCAGATTATGTCCACCATAGATTCGTGATAAATAGTTTCGCGCAAGTGTGAAACCGACAGCTGCAGTTTCCACAGGAATGAAACAACTGCATAAATTGGTCCTTGGATGTGACCAAGGACCCTTTCCAACATCCTCTATTCAGGCTTTCAACATTGCAGCTATGTTGGTGACTTGTGTGGTGCTGGAAGTGTGTTGGACAGGAACGACGCTGAGACTCACATTGCATATCTGTGCTACACCTTTGTAGCAGTATTATATCAGTTTAACGGTCATGGCTTCCCCCCAAAGAATCCTGGGAATTGTGGTTGCTGCTGAGAATTAGCTATTAAGAGATCCCTACCCACTGCCCCCCCCAACAAAACCTCAGTTCAGTGGAGAGCTGGGATGACAACTGAAGCCACTTTAGGTGTCCAACTATATATTGCAGAGAATACCTGGATGTTAAGGACATCCCCCTGCCAACATACAACTCCCGGTAATGTTTGTTAAAAGAAAAGTGGTGTCAGTATTTCCCTGCCCTTACTTAGACTTTCACTTGTAGAGAGCAGGGATATGCAGAAGAACACAATGGCATCATCCCATATGTTCTTTACCAAATATTACCAGGAAGATGAGGCAGGAATGAGATGGGTCAGCAACATCTACCTGTCCCCTGTAATATTTGGTTGGACCTTAACATTGTAATGTAGGTCTACAATGTCCTCCATGGAATTATCACTTCTAGGCAGTACCAGGCTGAGCAGATTTGCCATCAACTTGTTTCTAAAGTGACTTTGGGCAGGGTGCTTATCTCTGCATTCCCTGGCGGCTATTGCTCTTCTATGGGATCGCACATGCCTAACAGAGACATTACAATATGCTCTCCTTAGCTGTGCTGTGGACTATTGACCTCGGTTCCTTTTGCTTCCTTTGACCCACTGAATTGGAGGCATTATGAGATGCAAATATAAGCCTCAAGAAGTGCCTAATGTTGCTGGCTTTATATGCCCCTACCGACACAAAGCACTTCTCTGTCCCTCTTGCCCTGTAGCAGCTGATCCATTTAGGCAGCTTGGAATCGTAAGAACATAAGAGGAGCCTGTTGAATCAGGTCAAAGGCCCATCTGGATGCTCTCACAGTGGCCACCCAGATGCCTTTGGGAAGCCCACACGCAGGACCTCCCCACTTGTGATGTCCAGCAAGTGGTATTCAAGAGACACACTGCCTCTGACAGAGAAGGTAGAACATGGCCATCGATAGCCTGAACCCCCTAGGAATATATCCAGTCCTCTTAAGGTTATCCAAGTTGGCCACCACTACATCTTGTGGAACATCTAAAACCAACTCCAGTCACTGTACAGCCTATGGTGGTTCCAAGCCAAGATCATCAGTTGTGTGGACCATTGCAAACCAAAGCATCCTTGTGCATCTGGAATGAGGGTCCTTGCAAGTAAATGCCAATCTACACATTCAGAAAAATCACATGACACAGTCTGTAAGGCACTACAATACTGGTGTGGAAATTCCACAATGGAGTGTTCCCTTGTGGCAAAAACACTGCTTACACAAAGAGTGCTATTGTGTTAGGAAGACAGGATCTAAACCTGTCTGGCATGCTGGTTAGCTAGACATGCGTCAGAGATTTTGTATGTCAGGAAAATACTTAAACATGCAAACTCCACCGGTGCCCTGATGTATGATACCAGGGAGGCTGCACTATATCATTTCCCCAAGCATGTAGCTTGGTACTGAAAAACTGGACAATAGGATCCCAGAGTGGCTGGGGAAACAGCCAGATGGACTGGGTATGTATGTATGAATGAATGAATGAATAAATAAATAAATAAATAAATAAATAAATAGTATTATTATTATTATTATGGGAGAGCTGAGCCCACTGGTTTCTGCAGGATTAATGTTTGAGTTGTGCCCATTCATCCTTTTCATTAGGGATTCCCACTTAGCCCGGGTAAATTACTGAAATGTACTGCTGGTGGATGATGGTTGAAGGACTTGTCTGTGAATTGATAATGTGCCTGGCTGATGTTATTGTTGATGGAAAAGAGAGGGCACTAGGATTTGTCTCAGGCTCAGTCCTTTGGTTTGTGGTTGACTGCTGGTCATGAGTAGGGATTGCATGAGTAGCTAGCTGTCCAGCTACCCAACAATCTATCATCCAAAGGTTGTCTCGTGCTTCAATAGACTCTCCGCCTTGCTGCCCTGTATGCTCAGAACTGCCTCCCATAACATGTACATGGTGACACCTCTCTTACTTGAAATCCCTCATCAGAAGTACAGTGGTGCCTCGCAAGACGAAATTAATCCGTTCCGCGAGAGTCTTCGTCTAGCGGTTTTTTCGTCTTGCGAAGCAAGCCCATTGACAGATTAGCGCTATTAGCGCTATTAGCGGTTTAGCGGCTATTAAAGGCTTAAAGGCTTAGGGATTAGCTGCTAAAAGGCTATTAAAGGCTATTAAAGGCTTAGCAGATTAGATAAAGGGGGAAAGCGAAAAAAATCTCAAGACTCGCAAGGTATTTTCGCCTTGCGAAGCAAGCCCATAGGGGAATTCGTCCTGCGAAGCAACTTCAAAACGGAAAACCCTTTCGTCTAGCGGTTTTTCCGTCTTGCGAGGCATTTGTCTTGCGGGGCACCACTGTAATATTTTCTGCCCACAGTCTTTAGCACAAACATACTATTTCCTATGTATTCCACCTAGTGGTGCAGCAATAAAACTGCTAGCACATTTGCAAAGCTCAGCAGGGTCTAGTATGCTTTCAAGTTGGATGGGTGACCACGTCTTCAGATTCCAGCATTGCAGGGGGGTGGACTTATATGGCCTTTGCGGTCCCTTCCAACTCTATGATTCTATGTCATAATGTAGCCTGTTGGCTAATTAAGCCTAACCATGTGTATTTGAAACAACCATATATTCCTTCTCTGCTAACTTCTGCAGCTTTTCCTTTCATATTCTCTAAAGTATTATGCACACTGATGGGGCTACGTAAATCAATGCATGAAATATATTGCTGTCTGTAGACTATTACAAACTTAACCTTCTTTGAAATAATGGTCATTTCCCAGGAGTAGTTGTAGACCCTCTAAGACGGCTTTACCCAACCTCGTACCTTATTATTATTATTATTATTATTATTATTATTATTATTACCCTGCCCATCTGGCTGGGTGGCTTCCAACAGAATATTAAAATACAATAGTCTATTAATCATTAAAAGATTCCCTAAACAGGGTTGCCTTCAGATATCTTCTAAAAGTCTGGTAGTTGTTTTTCTCTTTGACATCTGGTGGGAGGGCGTTCCACAGGGTGGGTGCCACTACCAAGAAGGCCCTCTGCCTGGTTCCCTGTAACTTGGCTTCTCACAGCGAGGGAACCTCCAGAAGGCCCTTGAAGCTGGACCTCAGTGTCCGGGCAGAACGATGGGGGTGGAGACGCTTCTTCAGGTATGCTGGACCGAGGCCATTAAGGGCTTTAAAGGTCAGCATCAACACTTTGAATTGTGCTCAGAAACGTACTGGGAGACAGTGTATGTCTTTCAAGACCGGTGTTACGTGGTCTCGGCGGCTGCTCCCAGTCACCAGTGTAGCTGCCACATTCTGGAATAGTTGTAGTTTCTGGGTCACCTTCAAAGGTAGCCCCACATAGAGCACAGTGCAGTAGAGATAACTAAAACAAGAGCGCATTGCAATAGTCCAAGCGAGAGATAACTAGAGCATGCACCACTCTGGCGAGACAGTCTGTTTTGGACTAGGGCTCCCATTAGCCCCAGGCAGCACGGTCCAGCTGGCTCAGGCTGATAGGATTTGCGTTCCAAAACATCTGGAGGGCACGAGGTTGGAAAAGGCTGCTTTAGGATGCGCCAGCAGGATTTTAGAGCTCATCCACACTTACCTTTGCTTTGCATTTGTAGGCACAGGTTCAAGCTTTCCAGATCTAGATCTGAACTCTTTGTTTTTTGCCCCATGCTTTCCCTGCGAAACCCACTGAATTGGAGCAAACAGCAATCCGCTGAAACCCAAATTGCCATTTGCATCTATTCAGTGTCAAAGAGTGGATTTTCCTGGGTGAAGTACTCAGACATGGACTGGGAAAGTGGGGGGGGGGGATGGGATGGGATGGGTGAGTTTCAAACTACTGATTCTCTGTGACTTTACTGTTGCTATTTAAAGCCCAGTGTTCAGGTTATCCACTGAGATCACTGCATCTACAATCAGATTTTAGGTGTAGGTTTTAAAAATAAAGCAATAATATAGTATTGGTGGTGTTGGCTGCCACCCCCCTACATACACACACACACACACACACACACACACACACACACACACAGGCTTCTCCATGTACCCAAATAGTACAGGCAGGAACTTGGTTGCAGTGGCATCTCTTTTTTACAAACATAATTTGAGTAAAAGCCTTGAGATGATAAGTGTGGTAGAATTTTGCAAGTGAGGGGTTATATTTTGATTCCTTCCCTTCTGAAAAAGCTCCCTGCATGTAGTAAGGGAGAGGGCTATACAAAGCAATCCCCACTGCTGTGCCAGGGGACCCTGTGGAGTGGTGGGCATTCCAATATATGCTTCCCTTCTGCCCTCTGAAGTGGCAAGGTACAGCATTTGCTCACTACAGTCAACTGCCTCGGTCTACATAATGTGAAGAAGGACTCTCACTTCCTTCCATGGAATGGTGCAAAAGTCAGAAAAACACACACACCATCTTGAATGGTTCTGTTTTTGGTTAAACAAGTTGTCCCTCTCGTGCAGATGCAAGAAAATGAGAAACCACATCACAAATTGGTTTCGGAAGAGCTGCCCGAGGAAAAACTGCCTGAGATGGAGATCAGAGTGGTTGGTGAGGAAACTTCCACAAAGGAATCCCTGTTCAACGTGGTCCAGACCCCTGTGAGCGAGATCGATGAGACAGCCACCCTTCCTGCACAGCTGGATAGATCTCACAGCGTACAACTTGAGGGCTACCTAGGACGGAAGCACGATATAGAGGCACCTAACAAGAGGGCTTCTAACAGGTACAGTTGAATCTTTGCATGGCTTCTGGGCTGGTCTCTTGTATGAAGAATTGGCAACAGCTTCCCTAATTAACATACACAGCAGCCATTGCCTACCCGGTGCCTTCTGGTTGTTTGGAACTACAACTCCCATGATCCATGACCATTGGCTAGGCTGATGGGAAATGTGGTGCAAAATTTCTGGAGGGTACCACACTGACAAAGGCTGCTTTACAGAGTTGCTGTTACTGGGGGCCACAGGCAGGTAGGTCTCTACTGCAGGACAAATGAAATGAAGTCAAATCCTATGAGTTCACAACAGATAGAGGCAAATGATGAAGATTATATAGGTGGCGGCACCAGCATTGTCGCCCCTGCATGCGTGAAAGGTTCTTGGTACGTTGGGCTTTATGGACAGGAGAGGTGAAAAGCTTTCCTGCAGTGTAAGGCCCATGCTGGCAAAGCCTTTGTGCTCGAGAGGAGATTGGGGCCGAAGCGAGTCTGGTTGTTGCGAGACTTTTCTTAGCATGACTGTAGCATTTGTGGCATCCAGATGCAGGAGTACAGCACTTCAGGAGCCCAGTGAGGTCAGCTCAAAAAGGCAATATCCTTAAATTCAAGAACAAGGTGTGGTCCACAGTGCCTGTAAGTCAGGGGTCGGCAAGGTTTACCTCGTCTGGGCCAGTTCGCTCCCGCGGAGATCGTTCTGTGGGCCAGATCACGTCTGCGCAGACACGATTTTTGGCATCTGAGCATGCGCAGACACAATTTCTGGTACCATGGAAGTGAGTCCCCGCTCTGCCCTGCGCTGGTTTAGCGTAGAGCCCGGGGACTCGCCGAGCAGGCGGCTCGGTTTGGGGACGGCTCATGAGCCATTTAAACGACCCCGTGGGCCTCTTGTGGCCCAGGGCCGCAGGCTGCTGACCCCTGCTGTAAGTCCTTACAAGTATCTTGAACTATTTTAGCCCAAACAGGTGGAATCTGACACTTATTGGCTGGTTGTGCCGCTGTCTCATAGTTGCACGGATATGCTGTGGAGGATAGTTGGGATATGCTCTGGAGGTTATCACCTTCCTCAAACGCTGAAACCATTGCATACCAAACACTGGATTTTAGGCTTTCAAGAAAAACTCCTAGTCATTCATTTTAAGCACCATAGAGTTTATTTTGTTAAATTCTCTGACCACTTACAGTGATCAAAAAAGATGGCCAAACTCACAATCTTCTCTCTAGGATATTTTTATTAGACACAGAAACGTCCAGCTGGTCTTGGCATGTTCTGTTTCATTTTGTTCTCTTAATAGACACTCCTGAACAAAGATCCTTTTAGGAATAAGTCTCTTTTGCTTTTCTTTCTCTGAAAGATCTTTTGTTTTGCCTTCTACAAAAAAATCATTTAAAAAATATATATATTCAGGTATAGCTTTTGCCCCTCCTGGGGAATACAATAATAAAAATGTTCTTCCGACGCAAAAAGTTAAATCTGATATTTTAAAAAACTAGTTTTACCAAAGACACTAATAGCAAATTCTATTTAGGAGACCAAAATCAAACCCTGTTTTTCTGATTCTAGAAAATGAGCTAGGAATGAACAAAACAAATCTTTTGAGTCTGATGCCGGGGGGGAGTCATGCAACACAATCCTATGGAAGTTTACCCAGAAGCGAGTCCTGTTGTGTTTAATGGGCTGTGTTTCGGATTGCGGCATGCAGCATCAGAAGAGTTTGTGTCCCCTATTGTAAGCCGTGTTTCTTCTTGGCAGGTCCTGGAATACGTTATACTGTGTGCTCAGAAACAGTGAGCTGACCTTCTTTAAGGATGCCAAAAGTTTGGCTTTGGGTGTGCCTTACCACGGAGAGGAGCCTTTCCGGCTGAAGAATGCCTTCTGTGAAGTAGCTGCTGGTTACAAGAAGAAAAAACACGTCTTCAAGTTGAGGTAAGGCCCCCAACAGCTTTCCAAAACTTTGTTCCAGTGTGAGCCAGTTTGGGTCAAACTCTAAGGCAGACAGTCTCTGGCCATAAGATTGCTGTAGATCCTTTAGCAAGATAAGCTTTCTGGGTATAGGCAATCTTCCGTCTGAACAGCCAAGAGGTTATCTGGGGAAATGGTGCCTTTCAAGGTGTGACTCAAGAGTGGAACGCATATTTTAAGGTCATGATTTCTGGAAAATGTTTACTCAGTCCAAAGTGATGAACACATAAGAGAACTCTTTGTTGCATCAAACCACAGGCCCATCCAACCCAACATCCTGTTTCCCACAATGCAACCAAGATGCCTATGGGGAGCCCACAAACAAGGCATGAGCACAATAGCTAATCCCTGCCTCTGATCCTGGAGGCAGCATACAGCCAGTGTGCCTTATTCCCTGTGCATTTGTCCAATTCACATCCAAAATTAGGTTGATAGCCACCAACAGCTCTTGTAGCTGTGAGTTCCATAGTTTAACTATGCATTGTGTGAAGAAGTGCTTCCTTTTGTCTGTCCTATATCTACCACCATCCAGTTTCCCTGAGTGATCCTGGGTTTCCAGGGAAATGGGGGGGGGGCACATGACACACTTCTCTTTGTCTTTTATACGCCACCCCAAACATGGGCGTAGCTAGGATTTCTGTTGGCGGGGCAGAACTGACGCGATTGGTCAGTTAGTTAAGTATTTCTATTGTTTTACTTGATCTAGGGTGGGGCAGCTGCCCCCCCCCCCGGCTACATCCAAGACCCCAAATGTTGTAACCTTTCCTTCTAGGGGAGTCCCTCCAGCCCCTTGATAATTTTGAATCCCCTTTCCTGCAGCTTTCCCAGGTTGAGTTACTGAGATGCTCTTTAGTTAATCCATCTCAGCCTGTTACACAAGAAATCCCTCCAGACACCAGCATTTCCCCCTTTTATTCATTGTGTGCTTCTCTTGTTGCCTCAGATCTTTTTAGTGCACTTTGGTACATTAATTAAAACACTTATTTGCCAGAGTCACCGCAAACTGTTTGTTTGCTTATGATGACCTTTATAACCTGCCCTTCCTCCCAAACGAGCCCAGGGCAGAATTAGTTCGTTGAGCAGTTTGTATGCACTGTGTTTGCTCTTCACAAGTTGCACATACTGTACAAGATTGTGAGGCAGGGCAAGGGAGTTAAACGAGGTGATGTTTTGGTATCTTCCAACTCCGTAATGATTTGGTTCTTAAAGCATGCAGTAGCACATATTTGCATTTCTCACTGTATTCAGAGAAGGGTGACAAAGATGTTGAGGGGCCATCTCTGTAGAAAGGTTAAAGGAGTTTAGCCTGGAGAAGAGATGATTGAGAGGTGAAAAGGTAGCCATCTTCAGATATTTGAGGAGCTGTCGCATAAAGGATGGAGTAGATCCCCCCTCCCCTGTTAACTCTAGTGGAATAGGATCTGAACCAATGATTCATTAAAGGAATTTTTGACTAAACCTTAGGAAGAAACTTCCAGGCAGTACAAGTTGAAACAATGGCATGGACTATCATAGAAGGTGTGGACTCTCCTTCATTAAATGTCTTTAAGCAGAAGCTAGATAGTCACCTATCAAGGATGCTATAGCAGTGGATTTTCTGCAATGTCAGGTTACACTAGATTTCTTTTTGAAGTCCCTTCGAACTCTCAGTGTGGACCTCCTGACAAGAAGAGCAAACTCTTAGAGTCACCCTTTTAAAGTCACCCTTCGAGCCAGGTAACTTTTTTTAAAGTGTATTATATAATGATTTTTGTACTTTGCAGACTCAGCAATGGGAGTGAATGGCTCTTCCATGGCAAAGATGAGGTAGGTGTTGTCATAAATCCTGGGCTTAAGAAATGAACCGTAAGTGTGTCACTGTTTCCATGTACTGAAGTAAATGGTACCACTTTGCATCATACTGTTTTGCTAATCAAAGCTTTGGCACGGCTGGGCCACTAACCATGACTGCTCATTGAATCAGCAGTCAAGTAGAGCTAGGGTCACACCCACTTGACGGCGTGGGAAGGAGCTGGAATATATTTAGGTTTTCATAAGGTAGGAGAGAAGGAGTTTGTATTTCATCAAATAACTATTTTAAGTTACTAGAGCTGGCTAGCAAAATGCCACCTTGGGGCTTGCTGTTGCTTTTTGAGGACTGAGAGTATTAAGACTAGTAGCACCTGTGTGTCTGCTTGCATCTCAACTGCTCTACCTATGTATATATTTGAATTACCAGATATTAGAGGGAAAACTCAAGTCTCCTATATTCTCATAAGGGAAATTGCCTTTAAATGACTGTTCCTGGAACTTTGGGGAAGTCAGGAAAGCTCAACATTCTATTCAGAGCCAACTGAATGGCTGCAGCCATATGTAGAAATACTGGCATTAGATTGAAATGCCATGTGGAAAGCAGCTAACATTGATTTCTAATAGAAAAGGAAGCAAAATAAAACGGGTTTCTAGGTAGGGTTCCGTGAGTAGAATTAATGTGCAACCTTTTTTTAATAAGAAGATTGAGGCTGCAATCCTATGCCCACTTACCTGGGAGTAAGCACCAGTGAACTTAATTGGGCTCACTTCTAAGTAGACACATATAGGCAGTGCTTTTTTCTGGGGGTACACATACCCTTAAACATTTTGTGACTCACTGAGGGGCAGTACTTCAATATGAGTAGGAAAATGAGAGTACCCCTAAACATTTCTTTTTAGAAAAAAGCACTGTAGCTGAGTATACATATCTACTCAGATGTATAAATCCTTATGTGTGAACTTGGTAATTGAATTTATTGGCTTCTTAATCTATTTTGAATTGTTCTGCTTTAACTTTTTTTCCTTCCTTAGTTCAATGTGTTCCTGCCCCTCAGCTTTTCTCTGGGGCAGCTAGCCACAACCAGCCAATATTTTGGATGTTTTTGAAGAAACATTTAAAAATGTAGAAAGTACATAGTCAAAACTGCTGAAATGTATTTTTGCCTTTTCTTTTGGAAACATTGCTTTGGGTAGCAATTGGCAACTGAAGTGTGTGTAAACCGGATTTTGTTGTTGGCAGGATGAGATGCACACCTGGCTTCAGGGCTTCAGCACAGCAATAATTGAATCCCAAAGCATTAAAACCAAGGCCCAAAGCCTGCCTCTGCCTTCCATCACTACCATGGACGTGAGTCTGACCAAGAAAGACAAAGAGAAGAGATTCAGCTTCTTTCCCAAAAAGAAATAGCTAGACAGGTGGCTTGGTCCAGCCAGATGCCTATGTTCTACTGTGCATAATGGGGGGGAAACCTGCATGTCTGAGTGTCCCTGGGCACTCCTGGCACCACTCAAAACACTGTTCTCATCTCCACAACACAGCCTTGCTTCTCATTTCCCACCACATCCTCATCTCTCTCCCCCACACAACCCAGGGCATCAAGCCAGTGTTTCAGGTAACAAGGCAACATCCCTGCTGCAAGCAGAGCTGCGAGGTGTGTGTCCTTGGTTGGTTCATTGGAAGTGCAGAGTTCAGCAAGGCTGACCTTGTGCGTGATCATGCTTTGCACACCTCTCTGTGAACAAAGAACTGCTTCAGGGGAGAAGACAGTGTGTCGATTTCAGGGGCTTTTTATGGAAGGAGTGAAGCAGGAACCTAGCCCACCCCAAAAGGGAAGTGAATGAAAACCATGATGGCTCTGGAGCAATTCTGCTTATCTCGGAGGTTGGGGAAACTACGTCCTCAGCTCATTGCCAAAAGCCCTGGTTCCCAGAAGCTGCTTTCCCAATTTGTCCGTTGGAATAGAACCGTCATGTGGAATTTCACCGTCATCTATAGCACAGGCACACCATGCATCAAGATCCAACCCTCATGCTGGAAGTCAGTTTTCTCTTTTCAGCAGGTCTGATGCTCTTCTTTGCAGGGGCATCTGCGACGTACGCACACACGCATGCACAATACCGTGTCACAAAGCACAGAACTTTCTCACCAAAAGGTTCCACCCAGAGTCCACTGCGTTGGTGGCGGGATCCTTGCTCGATTATAAATGAATCAGGGTTGCAACCAAAGAGGAGAGCATGACCCACATTCAGACTTCTGCACTAAATTGGTTAGAATGGAGACGTGTTAGAAATGTGTGTGTGTGTTTGTGAAAAAGTGAGGAAGTTTGCTCACCCGCTGCAAGCACTAGGAATACAGCGAAGCTGAAGTTAGTTGCAGCTACGCCCCACTGAGAAGCAGCCTGTTCGGTTTCAGTGGACTTTAGCCACCATTAACTTTTGCTGGATTGTGCCCCACATTACTTAATGAGGTTTTTATCAGCCCCACTATATTTATGCCGGGCTTAACTTTGTGACTAGGCTGAATCCAGGTGCCCTCCCCTCCCCTCCCCTGAGCTTTCTGTAAACATCTGTTCAGTGTTGGCTCAGCTCTCCAGAAGCAAATGGCTCCTCTCTTGTCCCTCCGAGGATGCATTGTGCCCGAGCATGGCCTTTGGTAATCCACTGCACTGCTTACACTTCTGTAGAATGGAGTGTGGCTTTCTCAGTTACTGTAAATGCAGTCTTAATCCCAACTGCTCCCTTCTGCAGAGACCTCTGCCTGTGATGTGTGGGTGTCTGAATGGCTGTTTAAAATATATACAGGCACATCTAGCTCTGACCTTATGATAAAGTTCACAAGCCCCTTATCCAAGGAAGGAATTCATCACCCCCCCTCCCAAAGACAGATGGCTGCTCAGCTGTATTGCTCTTTTGGAACATATTGCTGGAGAGCTAATTGCTTTTGACATTGAGTGGAGCCTGGAGATTGCCTTTCCTGCAATGGCCTCTTTGCAGCGATAGTAATACTAAGGATTCTGAAAACAGCAGGCTCCCATTCTTCAGTTGTCTTTTGAGCACCCCACCCCTAGGGCTCATTGCGATTTCTAAACCATGTTTTCTTTGTGGGTGCATATACCATACAAAAAGTGCCTTAACCTAGGGGCATCCCATTATCATCACTCCAGGAGTGCGCAGGCTCTGTAAACACCATGAACAGATTGGTTTGGATTCTCCTCGCTCGAAAAGGAAGCTATGAAACTGTCTCTTTAAGCAAAAGAGATGGGGATCAGGGGGGGGGGGGCTGTCTTTGCCTCACACCCACAGCTGTGGGAAAAAGCAGGGCTTGACACTTACTGTCATGGATCCAGGTACCAACAGCTGAGGCTTGAGGTTTTTCCACATGTTACCTTTTGTCAAGTCTCAAAAGTGTTAAACTTTTCCAGATCTCCTGGGCTGTAATGGGTAGCTGACAATCGGCTGCCTCACTATTGTGATGAGCAGAGCAGATTCTTCCACAATGCTACATTCGAAAAGCCAATACATCCAAATGGTTTTGAATTATAGTGTTCCGGGTTGTGGAGTCTGGTAGCATTAACCCCACTGAACATTACCAGTGCAGTTATACGACAGCTTAGCTGCCAGCCTTCTCCTTTCTGCCATTATAAAACATCACTGCCATAAAGGATGATCTTCCCCCTTTTATGTTCAGAGTAGGATGCACCCCTAGGTGACTGCTGAACAGCAGGTTGTACCACAACCCACATATTGCAAAATTGGGTTTTTAAATATGAAATTAATCAGCAGGTGCAGGAATGAGTGCAAGGGGAGATGGAGAAGAAAGTTGAAAAGTAGAGCAGGCAGCCTTACTAATTAAGCATCCCTCAATGATGCTGGTAACTGGTGCCAATTGGGGGCTGGTAGGGCAAAAGGCAAGGAGACCTGCAGCAGGCTTAGCTAGAGCCAACTCAATTCGGTTTTGCCACTGTGTTCTACAAGTGCAACACCAAGACTGAGGAGCAGTGCCATGCTCTTGACTGGTTCTAAGTGGGAAGGCAGGTAGCCATGAGCGCCCCATTAGTTCTAATGGAGAAGCTTCCACTGCTTCCATAAGCCTTTCTTGCTTCCAGAGGAAGAGCAAGCAGCGCCCATAAAGACCCTCAGTCAGAGCAGTCAACCCACTAATACTTCTCTGTTGCTGCACAGTTTGGACACAAGTCAGTGATATAGCATGCTATTACAATAAAGACTTAAATATTGTGGATAATTTGCCACAGCACTGATATTCAAGGCATGCAGCCCTAGCCTGTGCAGATAAAGGGGGTGCCTAAGCTCACTGAAAGCAGTTAGCTTAGGCACATGTGAAACAAGGCCTTTTTAAGCAGAATGCCTTTATGCTCCATTTCAAGGCTAAAACATGGAAGGATTCTCTCCACCAGGGTACTGATGGTTATTGCTAGGGAGACCTCAAAGGTGCAAAAGGGAGAGGGAACTCTTCTCTAGCAAAAACAGTGGGCACTCTTAGGAACAAGAGCCCCCAGCCTGCCTGGAATCGGCATTGTTCTGGTGACCTTGCAAAGCCGTGCTGAAAACCTGTGGGCTGCTTATCGTCAGCCTGTTCATTGGTGCCCAGACGACAATGCCAGCATTGGGGAAGAGCAGTGCGTCTCTGAGCACATGCAGAGAGGTGTCCCCCCCCCCCCGCCTGCCTCCCTGCTTGCAGCTGAGCAGTACTGGCACCTTTTTTTCTAGAAAAGAAAGCACTGCCTGCCATACTTACAATCTGAATGCCCCCAAAGTGGTATTTTCTCCACTCTTCCAGTCCATGCTTATAGAGGAGAGATATACTTTATGAGCCTGCTGAAGTGAGCACAGAATGGCTCAACTAAGAAAAGAAAAGAAAAAGGCAGGATGTGTGGACTTCATTGTGGGATTTTTAAAAAAGAAAATCTTATGTGAGGCAGCTCTGTCTAGGAGAGGCACCAGGCAAGGAATAGTAGGGATCCTGCAAGTTTAGGATGACCGTTTTCTTTTAGACAACAAAGCACATGAGAATTAGGAGGAGCCGATTCTCCAGCAAATGCCACCAGGAAGAGAAATATTTACTAAACATGCTACCCAACTGCAATTGTACAACAAATATACCTTTGGGACCTCATAAGCATTCTGGCTTTAGCAAGCTCAGCCATCCCTTCCCTTCCTGGAGGATATTTTCACCTGTCAACTCCTGAGTTTCAGGTATGGTAAAATGCTCCTTTTCAGGAAGCTGAAAACACACAAAGCTAGGCTGAAATGTTATTTGAGACTATTCCTGCTGTATGACCACTGCCCTATACTAGGCTATGTGCTAAATAAGGAAGTTGCTTCAGACCTTATGTGTACTTGTTCTGCTCCCCCGTTTCTTTAACCTTTTGCTTGTGCACAGCACCATAAGCTGTGCTCCCAGACCTCTGTTTGGTTTCAGCTTGGCACGTTTCGAGTGCAGTCGTTGTCGGTGTGCCATTATGTCTCGCTGCATTGTGCTCCTACCCATTACAGACCCAGGGAGTGTTACCATTTCCCTAGCAAGAACCATTTGCTGTCTGGCAACTTGCAGCCTTCCCGTGCCTGGCTGCGCCTAGCTCTTCCTTCTTAGATCTAAAGCGACTTCACCTCCGCCAAGCGGCTCCTCCATCAGGCTTAGCTCTCCAAGACCCCACTACTAACACAGAGGTCAGGACCTGTCAGAAGGGAGCTCCACATGCACCAGGCCCAGAACATGTTTGCTTCAGAAGAGCAAGGGCTGTTTCTTGGAGATACGGAGAACAGCTAAAGTAGCCCAGGACCTCTCCTACAGGTTTATAGGGTTTGGGGGTTCATACTCTTTTAAAACCAGCTAGGCACCAAGTTCCACCTGCTCCAATGTGCTTCCACTGTCCAGAGAAAAGAGCTAAAGCTTCAGAATGTGCTTCAGAAGCAATTTAATAACATTTTTCTAATAAATGAACAAATAAACCCTTCTTGGCTCCTGGATTTTGTGTGCAATTTCTGTTCGTTAAGGGCTCACCCACAGTTACCTGCAGTATGGATAAAGACACGAGTGAGAGCCTAGGGGCCTGTGTGTAACACCTCTGCTCAAAACGCTAGATGTCCATTTTCTAACAGGCCAAGTTCAAAGTGTTACTATTGGTATGTAAAGCCTTTACTGGATTGGGACCAGTTTACTTGCGGGATCACCTTACCCCACATGTGCCCTCTTGATGGCTTGGGTCTGCAGAACTGCCGCTGTTACAGGTGCAACAGAAGACCTTTTCTGCACTTTTAAGAAATCCACCTTTTCATATTGCAGCACCTGCACTTTGAAACTCCCTTCCTATTGACATCAGGCAGGTACCTTTGCTGTATTATTTTTGGCGCTTGCTTAAAACATTTCTGTTTAGGCAAGCCTGCCCAGACATGGAGCAGTTACATGTGTTTTCTCTCTCTTCAGCTACTGTTCTATTTAATAATGCTCTGGATGTTTTAAAATGCCCATACTGAGAATTTAAATGTTTATATTTTTGTAAACCCCACAGTAAACCCCTTACATTCAGGCGATAGATAAATTTTGTCAAAATTAAGGAAAAACAAAACACTATGCAGTCATTTTGCTGCCTGGAACACCCACACCGTTTCAAGCTTACAAAAGAAAAGGGAGCACCCCCAAAAGTTATCTTGAATAGCCTTTAATGCAAAGTATCCTTGAACATGTCCAGAGATGATGCCTAAGGGCCTCTGGGATAGTCTTTGGCAGGCAGAGAGAGGAATGGAGCAGACCCTTGACATTTTCTGTTGTTTGAAACTCACCCCTAAGAAGGTGGGCATTGCTTCTCTGCTGTTTGGTGGAGAAATACCCTCAAATACTTCCCACCCCAGCTGATGAAAACCCACCATTGCACCCTGACTACTGCCCCAGAAATCCAGAATGTGTTTGTGCCCCCCTTCTCTCAACCGTCACTGCCTACCCTTCAACCCAACATTCGATAATAAGACTGGGCAGCTGCAGCACTTTCCTGACTTGTTCCTATTTCTCCATACAGAGCTCTCCTCTAGTGGAGCTGCATTGCTTCCTTTGGCAAAGCGTCCCATCTTAGAGAAACTTGATCTAAAAACATCCAGTAGTGGGGGTGGGGGCAGTGATCTTTCCAGCCTGACCAGTGAATAGAATAAATCTTCTACCAAGGGATGTGCAGGTCTTTTAAGACCTCCTGGCACTATAGTGGATCAGAACCACACTAGCGTTAGCCCGTGCCACTGGTGAACCTAAGAGAGCTCTGTGATGCTCAAGACTCTTCTCAATCTTACTTCTGCAGTAAAAAATCATAGGCTGCAATTTCCCCTCCCATTCCCCCCACCCACCCTCCAAGTGAAGAAACCACAGCCACATTTTCTGGTCAAAAGTGGTTATTGCACAGTGCGTACAGACTGAAATGTGTACACAACCAATATTATTAAGATTATATACTATCAAACTGGGAGTCTTAGATCAACCCTCTGCCAGCCACAGTAAAATCACGCTCTTAAAAATAAAAAAGTAAAGACAAAAGATAATTTGGAACAATAACTTATGGTTATCCTATGAGACTGAGCAACAGAAGGCTCATTCATTTCTGCTGTGGCTTGGCAAAGCAAGCATTTGGTCCTGAAGGGAAAGGAAACACCTTTTCTTAGTGGACCATACGGGTAGCTGCAAAGGAGTCTCTGATTTGTGGTAAGCCTGTCCTGATGGGAAGCTTCTCAGTGCTTCCCGGAAACGTGTGAAGAGTACTTCCCAACAGCGCGGCCAACGAAGGACAGCAACCACCTGGCTCAGAATGCACAGCCATGAGCTCAGCAACTTCCCAGAGGGTAGAGGCAGCTGGACACGAAGGTTGGAGCACAATGAGCCAGGTGGCAATCCAGGTCGGAGGAGGAGGAAGAGACTGTCACCCGTCCTTTCTCCTCTCAAGGAGCTGGGGGAGAAAATGACGTCAACTCCAGAACCATCCTAGTTCATAAAAGAGGGCTTAGCAGCATGGGAGCAACAGACATAGGAGCTCAACTGTTGGAATTGAGGGTCTGGAATTTCTCCCTCAGGTTCTTTACCAGGCTCTGCTGGCCGCTGTCTGTTTTCTCCCGGCAAACCTGCTGAAGTGCTTTGTGGGGAGCTGCTTCCTGGAGGTCCTCCTCACGCCTGCGGTATTCTTCCGAGTCCTGGTAGGCCTTGCACCTCTCCACCACGGCCTTGAGAGAGATCTTCTCCCGGGAAGTAGGGGAGCGAATCTGCACATAGCTCTCGTCCGGATCGACAGTCACATCCAGCAGCTTTTCCATGACAACCACTCGCTGACGGTTCTCCAGAGAAGTCTCAGCCGTAACGCTCAATTCCTTGTGCGCGTCGCGGCCCTGGAGGATGGAGTCCGGTGGAGCTTCCCTTTTGCAGCCTGGCATGCCCCCTTGCTGGGGTTTGACCGCTGCCTTCACAATCCTCTTGGAGCACTGGTGCTCCTCCAGAGCTCTACCAGCTGTATCCACCATTTTTTCAGGGGCTGAGCGGCTCCTGTTGACGGGTTGCGGCCTGCACTTCTGATTCCCTGATGGACAGGAATATTTGGACCTGAGCTCCCGCACGTCGGGCCAGTTGAACTTTTCGGCTACGACGGGGCTGAGGGGGCTGCATGACAGGGTGCTGCTGGTGGGGGATGCAAGCCGCGGGCTGCTGGAGGAGGGGCTGAAAGAGAAGCGCTTGGGGGACTTCTCCAGGGACGAGGTTGACGATGGGGGGAGAGTCAGTGGGCTGGCCTCCTGCAGCAATACTTGCTCGTAAGTATTGGGGAGGGTCAAGGCTGGCTTCCGTTTGCCTAGAAGAAAAACCAACAACGAATGAGTGAGGCAGCAATAAGGCAAGGGGTTTGCTGGGTGGGCGGGCTGCAACGGTGGTCCCCCCACTCCCCAATCTCAGCAGCTCCGTTTTTGTCGGCTGAACAGCAGCTATGCTGTTTCCCTTTAAAACAGCAAGGAGGGAAGGAGGCTCCCAGAGGCTGTTCCGCTTGAGGAGTCGAGAATTGCCAAGTTCTTGGGCACTTTGGTGAGGACCCTTGTTAAAATATCCTAGAGGTGGAGGTTTGTCCTAGTGGAAACCTTTCATATTCAGATATATCCAAGCCAGAAAGATCCCTCCCCGTTCACCTCTGCAATCCCCTCTGGGGCCTCCATCAATTCCATCTCAGAGATATACAGTAGCTGGATGGGGCACCCGGGGATTCTCCAACAGAGGGAGAAGCAATGGAATTAATTGAATTAAGCTAAATCAGGGTGGAAAACCTTTCTCAGCTCAAGGGCAACAGAAACGACTCCTACCTTTGCACTATGAACTACATTTCAGAGGTTGTTGTAATCCCCCCTGCCCTCTTTAGCCAGGCATCACACTTCAAGGGCACATTCTGGTCAGGAAAGAGCACCTGAGGAAGGTGTGGAGCAGGCCTGGATAAGTTCCAGGCAGGGGAAGGAGGAAGGTGTGTGTGGCTAGGACAGAGAGCTCTGAGGAGACTGGATACACTGGGGCAAGAGTTACCCCAGCGCTGAGAAATAGGCAGAGTTCAGCAGTGAGTGCAGCCCAATGCAGGAACAGGCTGGAGAGACAGAGCCCCCTTCCTTCAGTTCAGACCATTTCAACTTTCTCCTAGATGCCAGGAAAGAGTGTTTTCTCCCCAGAACGTCTCTTTCTATCTCCAGAATCTACAGATCTGCAAATCTGCTCCCTTTGCATGATGTTTACAAATTGTGCTTTTTCCCGGTTTGGGGGTTGGACAGTGCTTACCAAACACAATTGCCCCTGGGAAAGAAACAGGAGCATGGAAAGCTGTCTTGAGGATGCTGGGAGGTCTGAAAAACAGGCCACCCACTTGGGCTTTTGCCGATAAAGTAGCACAGGTTCGTGGTTTTGAGCAGCCACAAGAGGCGTGTGCACTGCCTCTTGGGTCCTCCCTGCCCAGGTGATATTCCTCTGGCCCAGCAAGTGGTACTTGGCTCCGGCTGTCATAGAGTTCTAGTCTAGAATATAAACTCCTCTGGAAACAGAATCCACTACTACTATTGTAATAAGCACATTTCAGTATTTTTTTTAAAAATGTGGCTCTTAAAACATTCAATATATTATATTTTACAACTGTTTTATATCTATCTGACACTTGGTTAATCTTTATTTTTGGTGGATGTTGCTGGTGGGGTGTTTTTAATGAAGGTTGCTACCTCCCACGAGCCCAAGAGGAAAGGACAAGTCATTAATCTAAAACTTTAAAATATAAGTCACAATGAATCTCCTATATTTATGCGCACAGCTGTGGCTTCTAGGCACTGCTGAAATTCATATAACATGAACAATGAGGTCCTGCCTGTGATAGCACAGTGCCCTCTGGCCAATACATACCCTTGCTTTTCTTATCTGCCTCCGGCTGGACAGTCAAGGTATTGCCTTTCATCTCCTCCTCCAGCTCAGCAAGCCTCCTATGCGCTGCAGGCTTCTGGCCCTTGATTCGGAGGCTGTACTGGCGGGCCAGCTGGTAGACCTTGTTCTTCACCTTCTCTGCCAGCTCTGCCTCCGTCAGGTGGGCCAGCTGCATTATCCGGGGGTGCAAGCGGGGGAGATACCGATCTTGCTCAGAGCCCCCTAGCTCATGGGCCAGCTTCCAGGGCTTCCTAGAAGGCGCAGCCCGCTCCACGGGAGACTTGCTCTCAGGCGAGGGCACCGCCGACTCCTCTGTGATGGCCCCAAGATCCTCGTCCTCCAGGATGAGAAGCGGCTCGTGGAGGTCAAAGCCGTTCTCCTGACCACGGAGCCTCTCCGCATGCCGCAGAGAGGAGCCCCTGGCCACCTGCCCATTCGCCGTGCCTGGCCGAGTGACACCTTCCGGCCTCCTACTCCAGCCCTCTCCGCTCGGCTTCTCCATCTCCTCCCAGATTTTAATCATCTCAGCCGGCGGCCTGAACTCCGCTTCCGTGACGGGCAGGGGGCTTCCAGCAGAGGCTGCCTCAGAGCGGGGGGCCTGTAGCCCAGCCACGGGCCTATTTGACAACACCCAGGCTGCTGTGGGGCCAGCCCCACCACTGGCAGGGCCCCCCGGCTTCTTGTGCTTCAGCCCCTCCTGCTCAGGCTCTGGCTGGGGAAGGCTGTTGATCCTGAAGACGGAATTCCTCACCATCCCTTTGGGAATGTAGGACAGGCTCTCCCGCCGCCTGACGCTGAAGCCGGCATCCTGGTGCTCCGCGTAATCGTAGTAGTTCTTGATCTTGTCTAGCAGCAGCCGGTCCTGATGGGAGAGCATGGACTCCTTCCGCTTGCAGGAGGCATGGTCCGTCTCCAGCAGCCCAGGAGAGGCCGCCCCACTGCAGGCACTGCTGGGCTCACCCGGGGGCTCTTGCGGCAGGGAGTCTGTGGTGCTGTTCGTGCGACATCCGGCCTTCTCGCTGCCGTCCAGGCTCAAGACGCTGCTGCTGCGGCTAGCCTGCTTTGGAGTCAGGTGGCCCTTGCCCTCCTCCAGTGCCAGGCTGCTGCGGCGAGAGAGGCTGCTGGCAAAGCGCTCTGCAATGACGCTGGCCTGATCCAGCACAGAGAAAGGGAGGATGCTTCTGGTCTGGGGTGCCCGTCCGTCCTCCTCCTCTTCCTCCTCTTCCTCCTCCTCCTCCTCGCTACTAAGCGGCTTCAGTTCAGTATGTTCAGTGGGCTCCAGGCCATCTGAACGCTGTTGATTCAGGGTCCCCCACTGGCCTGCCAGGACTGGCTCCGGGTTGCCCACCGACTCGGGGTCTGAAGGACCCTCTTCCAGGTACTCTTCCTTAAGGGGAGAAGCTTCTAAGACCATGCTGAGTTCGATGGCTGACCGTGCCTAGGAAATGTGCCCCCAAAAAGAGAAGGAAAGTTTTGCAAACTTAACGCACAACCCATTAATGCACAACCCAAACAATGGTGGTCTTGCAGATAAACAGTTTAAGGGCTAAGTTAATAGTCACTACTCAAATGCAACCAACTCTTGAACCCAGCAAATATGTTGGCTTCTAAGGCAGGGAACCCACCAACCACTAAGCTGACTCAACAGCAGACAGAAATATTGCTCATTTTTATGTCGTATCTTCTGGGGACAATGTGGAGCATCCATTGGAAAGGACAATGGCATAGAATACCCAGTATGGGCACTGAGTCTGGGAAGTGGAATGTCCAGGAGCCTTTGGCTTTGAATCCTATTTTTAGTGTTAAGGGCCAACAGTTTCCTTGTCTCAAAATTGGCATGAGCAGAAATTCCATTCTCCCCAAGGAATGTAAGAAGCTGCCTAACAGAGCAGACAGTCCTGACCTGTGATCTCCCTGGTTGAGGTTCTCCAGGGTTTCAGAAGGGACATTCCCAGCCCTCTCTGGAGATGCCAGAGACTGAACCTGGGAGCTCTACCCACTGAGCAATGGCACTTCCCCAAACAGCACCTCCACCAACCACCAACCACTCACCTTTGGGACAGATGAGACATTATCCCCGGCCCTGTTTTTCTCACCACTGCTGCCTGGCGACTGGTATTGCTTGGGCCCTTCCTGTGCCTTGTGGCTCTTGGCCTGAACCAAAACAGAAACATTAGAGAGTTGAGTACATGCTACTGGGAAGAAGCCATTGGACAAGAGCAGCCAAACATCCCTAGCCATTGTTATTTGTCATTCTGAAAAACCATATGACTTTACAGAGGAAGTCAGAGATCATAGCTTGTCCCAGATAGCTAAAATGCATCACGTGCCCACGCAGGTCCAAGTCCAATATTCTAGCCATTGGATGCAGCAACAAAAACCACCTGATGTCGCATCCATCAGCTTTGCAAGCAGCAGGTGAACGCAAGTGCTGGTGGCTCTGGTTCACTTGCTGCCCTGGCACAGAGGAGCCTTGCAGTTGCTTAAGCCAGTCCCAATTTCATCCAGGAACACAGCTTTCCCGAGCAGACTCTACACATCTTGCAGCACTTTGGTGTGGCCGGCGGAGTGCACTAGTTAAAAACTGCAGGCTGATAAACTATCTGGAAGGTGCACAGTTAGTGCTGGATCCAGGAATGGTCCAATAGCACAGGCAACAGGACTTGGAAGAGGATCCTGCTTAACGTTAGCTTTGTCTCATTATCAAGCTGCTAACGTGGAAGAACCTTCCTGGCAAGAGGACAGGGAACGGCAGGAAAAGGACCTCCCACAGATACAGAGATGGTAAGACCTAAAGAGCCTCTTTTGTTATCAAGCCACAAATCTTGTTAGCCCCCGTGAAGGACTGCACAAAAGCACCAAGTCAGTCAGTAGTATCACCGAAGGGTTAAAACAGCTGCAAAAGAAACCACACGGGAACCTCTGGGGCTGTCCCACATCTGATTAACAGGAAGATGGCACAGAAGGAACGGAGGGCAGCCGCGAGCCATGCAGCAAGCCAGCATGCAGGAGGGAGACGCAGCAGGGGTTGAACAGGCACCTCACCGTGCTGCCCCAGGAGAAAAGCAAAGCGTTGGCCCGATAGTGCCAGCAGTGGAGGACGGCCATCAAGGAGCTTGCAAAGTCTGCCACCTGCTCCGTTCCTACCAGCCTCTCCTCCTCTTCCTCTTCCTCCTCCTCTTCGTCTTCTTCCTCCGGCCCCATATCCTTCTCGCTGCCATCGCTTTCAGCCAACTCTTCCAGAGATTCCTGGGGAAGGGCCTGCCGATCCTGCTGCTGCTGCGGCAAGCTGTTGGTGGGGTGCGAGGGCTCCCCAAACTCCAAAAGGGCTCCGTCACTGCCTGCATGCTACGTGAAGTGAGGGCAAGCAGGGGCTTTTAGAAAGGCCCCAGTGCTGGGGCACCAACAGAGACACCGCTTAGGGTGCCCTTTCCTTAACCTGCGCTCTATCGCTGCCTGCTCAACATGAGAGCAGAAGCACACAGCTTAGCGCTGTGAGAAGCTTACTGGCCACCCTATGGGAGATGGCAGTGGTCAGAGGGAAATGTCAATTTGTTATTAAAATGAATAATGGCCCCTGCACCAACATTTACCCCAGAGCACTTTACCTTTAAGGTGGCGTTTTGGTACGGGACCCAAAGCCCATCGCATGTCACCCAAGACTTTAATTTCCTTAGAAAGGGAAGACCCTTCTTCTTTTCCCTCATTTATTTTGTCTTCTAGAATTTCTGTCTCTTACCTTTAGTCCTATTGCCAGATTTGCAGCACAGGAAGAAGGAGGGGGAAAAAAGAAGCCATTAGGGAAAAGGTGGGGTCTTGTTTCCCTGCCCAGGTAGTCTTCCTCCCTATTTCCCAATCTCCATTTCAGGCACACTCTTACTCTATATAAGCAGCAGACACAGCAAACATGCTGGCAGAGAGCCATTTTTACATCACTTATATCTTATTACAGTCCCTTCCAGCGGCTGTGGGTCCCCTGAGAAGGCAGTGGGTCAGCCACAAGGCAACAGGAAGAAGTCACTGCTGAAGGAGTGACTGAGTACAGGAACAATTCAGGCTCACACACTTTGAGCAGGAGTGGGGAAACATCAACCCTTCGCCAGCCTTGCTCTCTGGGGCTGGTGGGAGTCCAGTCCAACAACATCTGGAGGGCTCCAGGATCCCCCATCCCTGCCTTTCAGCATCTAAGGTGCCTTGTTTAGCAATATAAAATTGCCCTGTGCTCAAAACTGCTAGCTGTAATAAATCTGAGATAGGAGTGACCATTGGCATAAGGACAGGCACCTGTCAAATCCCACCCACACTGATCAAGTAAACCTGGGACAGGGAAATCTGGTCAGTACAGAGCTTCTTCCACCTAGGCTGGGGGGATGTGGGAAAGGGGGACATCCACTCACCTCTGTTGCTCAGTTGCTTGAGAATCTGTTTTGTTGGTTCTGCAATGAAAGGAAAGTTTGCGAGATGAGTTCTTGAAATGCTGGTTCAGAGCCCAGAAATACCAGAAAGAGGTGGGGAGAGCCCCGGCACCAGCCTCAGCCCGCCACCTCTGCCCCCTCCAGAAGGAAACACCTTGAAGCATCTGAGTGAAGTGCAGAACAGCACTACCCTCCTCTGTGCAGTGCAGAACAAGCCTCTCAGAGAACAGCATCACCAGTCTTTCATCTGTCAAGGACCACCTAATCCCTCCATCCCTGCCCAATCACAGGCCTTCAGGGGAGCAGTTCTCCATGGCTCAGACGTATGGCTCTTATCCACAAAGAGCAGTGTGTTCAGTATTGTGGACCCAATTTTATGGAATGCGCTTCCAGTTGAGGTCAGACCGGACCCCTCCCTGTTGGACTTCCAGTGCCTACAGATGACTTTTTAAATTATTATTCCAACAGGCACTTTTGGAAGTTTGATTTTCTAGTTTTAACCAGGTTTTAGCTTTTCTGTATTCTGTTCCTTGCACACTGCTTAAAGACGACTGTAGCTAAGCGGTATATAAATTGTTTAAATTTAAATAAATAAATCTGTGCTTGCAAGCCACCAAGATTGAATGAACTAGGAGGCCAAATAAACCAGCAGATTTTTAAAAAGTGAAACCTGTCTCTCACCTACTCTTCTACAGAAGGGGCTGTGTATACTCCAGCAGCAAATAAAAATAAAAATCCAGATTCTGCTGCCCAGAATCAGACACCTCCCCCTGCAAACTCAGCAGTTTCTTATTATGCAGGATTTATTCCACTTTGACAATCCAAGTTGGACTGCAGGGAGCAACAAATAAGATGAAAGGAGGCCAAAAACCCAGGCAGGAAACAGGGTGTCCCACTTTCCAGGTGCCTGAAGCCCTGTTCGCCCTTCTTAGGCTTCTATGATTTCGAGATACATTTCCCACATCTTTTCAGAAGCCACAAGAACTTCATATTTACTGTGTCTGGTGCTATTGCATTTCAATACAGAGATGGGGAACTTCAGGGTCAGGGGCCCAAATGCAGCCCTCTAGGCCTATCTGAACCTCCAGTCTCTCTCCAGGCCTCATCTTTCAACAGTCTTGCTTTGACCCTCCCTTGAGTGTTTTTGCCTGGCTGGAATGTGTCCTTGAACCACGCTAATGCCCCTTACTTGCCTGGAGTGTGTCAAAACTGGCCTACTGTACAAATGTAACCTTCAGCCATTGCTCCGCCCACTTTTGCCTCTGGCCCTGCCCACCAATGACATGCGGCCCCTGGAAGATTGTCTGAAAGTGAATGCAGCCCCTGAGCTAAAAGGGTTTCCCACCCCTGATTTAACATGCACTAATGTAGAATTAATCTAAATAAGCAACTACGAAGAGGGAATGATGTTGGGTAACATATGGGTGTGATCAGATTTTTGAATATTGAGTTGACTGTATACTGTAATTAGTATTCTTTTGACACATGTGCAAATTAATCAAATTATTGTTCTCCTTGTAGAACATGATTTATTTTCTATGCTGACTTCGCTAAATGAAATTAACTACGTAGGTTCTATAATTAGTAGTATAGTTGATAAAAGAAAAAGAGAGGAGGAAAAAATGGGATTCCCGCAATTCTGTGTCAGATACCAATTTGTGAACGCATGGAATAAACACAGCCCTGCCTATAGAGCTTAAAAGCCAGAGCATCATCTATTACGTTTGCTGGAGACTGAGAGGCATGTTCAGCCAGCATTGTGTCCAGGAGGCAAAGCCCATAAGCTACTCCGCAGTAAGGTTTGACCCAAAGAGCTCCACCTGCTTGCTCCCAGCCCCACACCAGATGGCAGAGCCCCTTCGTGCCACATGCTAAATCAGTGGAGCCCGCACCAGATTTCCTGCGGCCTTTACGCTTGAGTCCATCTAGGAGCCTCTCAGCAGTGTTTTGGCCACGGAAAGGCTCTAAGGATAGGATATAAGATACCTGTTAGAGTCAATACCATTCTGCTGGGGGTGTTACTAAAGCCCTGCCTTGCTGGGGCCTGCACCACACTAGGGATGCCGTGACTCAGTGCAGCGATGCACCTGGACCAGCGTCAGCCGTCAGCATCCTCGGGCACCTGCGGAGGATCCATCTGCTGTCCCAGATTCCCTTGTTTGCCACTTTGATGAACACAATGCTGAATTGCCCACAATGCCCCAGAACAATGTACTGGGGGCAAGTACAATGGCAACGGCTTGGTACCCAGAGAGGTGCTGCTACCACTGCCCTTGCCTTCCTCCTTTGGTAAGCGTACTTGCCCGCCTCATGTCCATTGGAAACAGAGGAGGAGGAGGTGGTGATGCTAGGAGAGAAGAACTGCCTGCTGCTGGGGGGTGGGGGGAGCATAAGAGGAACCTGTGCTGTATGGTCCTATACTGCTGCCAGTTGCAGTGTGAACTAGATTATTTGTAGGGTCTCCTTCCAACTCTCTGGGTCATTCTAGATTATTTTCAGGGCACAAAGAGCATGTTGTTTTGACACTCTTGTTGCAGGCATAAATATTACGTTGCGTTTTACTCAGAGCAGACCTGTTGAAATTAATGAACATGACTACATTAGGTCCATAATACCACCCAATAGCTATTTAAGAGGCCCATTTTCTCAACACTCCTGGATAAAACCTTTTAACGATCTGCTTTTAACAAGCAGGTGCCCTTCAGAAGATCCTCTAGTGAGCTCTCTTTTTAGAAGCTGTCTAGGCTTGCAGCACCCAAGACTTGAGCTCAGCAGTTGTCTCTTGGCACAGCAATCAAGAATCAAGCAATGCACACAGGACCTCAGCACACTTTTACACGCCACAAACTCAGCCCAACACACAGAGACCCACAGGCATCTACTAGAGTTGTGAGTCGCAAAAGCAGGCCATGATGTGTGTGGTTCCCCCCCCCCCCAAAAAAAAACCTATGCCGTGTAAGGAGTTGTTGACAGCAAGATACCCTTTGTTAGGATAAGAAGTCAAGTAGGAATAAAAGGAATTTGGAATGGCTTCCATGTTTTGATATGAAAGTACAACACCCAGGAGAGTCAACGAAATGGAACCAGCCTGCCCTGACTTGCACAAGCTTGCCTGACACATTGGTGAAAGGTGGTTGTTCTACACAACAATCTGAAGAGCAGTCAGAGGGAGCAGAGGGAGAGGGGTCACCAGTTCAGTGGAAGACTTCCCAGTTCAGCTCCCAGCCTGGATTTCAGGTAGAAGGAATGGGAAAGGCCTCTCTACCTGACACCCTGGGATACTGACTCAGATCAAGGCTGCGGATGGAGGACTAGCCCGGTTGAAGTCTGTCAGCTATGTGTCTTCAAGTCCACCTATCCTAGCCTCCTGAATTTGGAAGCAGATTGGCCTGAATGTTGTGAAAGAATGGTAAATACTTCTTGAGTGTGGAAATTGCATAGGATAGCATTTGCCAAACATTTGCCTCCAGATGCTTTCGACTACAATTCCCAGCGAAGACTGCCCTAACAGCAGCACTGATGGATCAGACCAAAAGGCTGAACCAATTCATCACCTTGCTGCCAAGAAATAGTCAGGTTGCCATTGCCACAGTTTTTCCACAGTTTAGGCTACTGATGGCAGATGCAAGAGGGACTAGGTGAGGGGAGAGGACAAAGTTGTTTACTGGCATGTTCCAACTCTGAATTACCTGTTTCTGAAGCAGAGGTTCAAAACAGGAAGGAGAACAGGCTCTAGTACTTACTTGAAACAAGACCTCTTTTTAGCTCTATGTGTGTTGTTGAATAGTGTGTTTTTTAAAACAAAAGTCCAATACGGTCTATGACAACCAAAGTTTCATAGTTTTTATTTTGCATTTATGTATGTAAAAATGTATATGGTATAAATGAGTATTATCCTATGTTTAAGAATCAGTATTTCAATGTCCATTAACTCCATTTATAGCAGGTATGGGGAATCTTCAGTACAACAGATGTTGCTAAACTATAACTCTCAACATCCCTTGCCATCGGCCATGCTTTCTGAGGCTGATGGAAGTTGTAATGCAGCAACATCTGGAGGGCCAAAGCTTCCCTATACCTGGTCTACAGCTCCTGAAGGGGGAGTATTTCACTCCAAAACGTGTAGAACGGAAATGAAAAAGTATTCTACCAGTAAGCACTGGACCCGTTCTCCTTTCTGTTTTGATTCTTCATGGTGCTTCCTGTATTGCTGAAGTGAAGGTGACAAGTTCACAGTGACACTGGGAGAAAAATTCCCATAGAACTGTCCAGAACAAACAAAGGTATGTTCTCTGAACATTGCCTGTGTGTGTTTGTGGTGTGCCAGAGGTCATTAGGCCTTGGCAGAGTAAATGCTCCAGCACCTGTCAGCTGCACTAAGCTCCAAGGCCAAATATTAATTTCTATCAACAGACTACTGGACAAGCCACTACAGAAAACAAAAACTTCTGCCTATAGTCAACAGCAACAGCAGCGGTACACACAAGGTAAGCCATCAGGATACAGTAACAACAGCTACACCTACACCTACACACACACACACACACACACACACACACACACCCCAGTGCTTGGACAGGTACATCCCTGCCCTGTTTACCTGATTGCCGGCGCCCCTGCCGGCCATACTGAGGAATGTCTTCTGTAGGTTGGTATGACCAGGACTTCTTCAGCCTCTCTGGACTATATTTGTAGCGAGAAGGATCTAAAGGAAGCGGCAGGAGTGTTTGAGAACCTGTTAACTGCCCCCACTTGGTATGACCAACCCCCTCATGCATGAACCAAGCTAACACCACCTTACCATTCTAATCCCCTGAATATTACATTTAGCAACAGAGGCCCCAGCAAGCAAACTCAGGCTCAGTTCGCAATCCAAGGAGGTGACAATTATATTAATTACAAGAGACAGAGAATTGGATCATCAATACAGCAGCACATCTCGGAATCACATTCCACTTATTGTTGATTTCTGTGTTGTGTAATCTTCCTGCAACCAGATGATAGAACCTAACCCCATGAGGCAGAGTACATTCTTAGACCTGTGTTGGGAAATTCTGACATGTCTGCTGTCTTGCCCTGCTGAGGACACAGTAAGCAGGAGGAGCGTTTCTAAAAACAAACTACTGGGACAATTTTTTTTTTTTTAGAAAATAATGGAAACTTACAGTATGAGTCCATTTCCAAGATAGCTTCCTTGGCCTGAAGAAAAGAAGGTATTGGCTTAGCACTAAACTGGAAACCCAGGATCCTGAAACCTGAGGCAATGGGGAGTTCCCACCTCTCTTCCCTCCCCCAGAGAATAGCAGAGAGATAGGAAAGGAGAAAGGAGGTTCCCCTCAGCCCCATCATCCCTGGACACTAGGAACCAATTCCACCACAACTGTTGCCCCTTTCTCGGTTGGACAAAGGAGAAGACAAAATTCCAAACCCCAAACCTCTCATACCCACGTTATGGAAGCTCCTAGGCCTAGGCCTAGCTTGATATGGCTGGGCTTTGTATGATTCAGTAAAGAGAACCAATCAAGCCTACTCAAGAGTAAAGAAAAAGCAAAGATGTATAGAAGAAAGAACACCTCCAATAGCACCCCTGTGATTCAAAAAAGAAAAAGAGCATTTCTTGAGACATGGCTCAGACTAAGTTTTAAAGAAAGGCAGAGAACTCCATGGGGTCTCCAGCATCCATTCTACAGGCATGCGAAGGAGAAGGAAGGAGAGCCACCACTTACTTTCTGAGGGATGATGGCGTGGTGGTTTTCCAGAATCAGGCGCTTGATGTGATGAGTCCAAACCCGCTTCTCCTCCCCCGATTTGGCCTGGGAACAAAAGTACGCCTTATGCATCTTGGAAGCCAGGATTACTCACCTGACTCAGCTACACCTCAGCCCTTTTTGAGTGTTGCCACTCTTTCCTGTATTTCCCATGCAAACACACACACCAGGCACCAGGGCTCCTTCCCAAACCTTGCCACCAACCCCACCTTCTGCGGACACTTAACAACTCAAAATCTTATGATAATCCCCAATTGGCATTCTTATCACCAGTATCTCCACACCGCTGACAAACATTGGCATTGAAACGCACCACCAAACTGCCCTAACCCCTCATTCACATCCTCTTCCTTCCAAAACACACAACCTGACCCTTGCATTCTCTGCCCCCAAACCAATCAACCCATTTTCTCAGGTCCTGTTACTGGCCCTATTATTTCCACTGGGCGCCTGCCATTATTCAGGCTACCAGTTCTGCATCAGGCACCCCATCAACACACGTTTCCAACTATCTCCGCATCTTGCCCGCAAATCACTTTCAAACCCCCTTATAAAGGACAGTGGCTTATCTCACCTGGATGTTGTACTGCTGTTTGCTGTGCTTGTAATGGGTGACGGTGAAGCACAGAGAGTCTCGTGTACTCTCAATCAGCATCAGGGAGGAGCACTGAAGGAGCAGAGGGAGAGATGTCAAACCAATGTACCCATTACAATGTCAACAACAAAAGTTCGCCAAATCTGCCATCTCTCTGAATCATCCGAGGGCTGCCAGGATAAACAGAGAGGCATCCTCAGAAGGACGACAAAGACCTTTTAACCTGACCAACTTTGGGTGGCCAAGGATTGGGGACGACGACCATAAGGTGTGTTATAATACAGTGGTGCCCCGCAAGACGAATGCCTCGCAAGACGGAAAACTCGCTAGACGAAAGAGTTTTCCGTTTTGGAGGTGCCTCGCAAAACGAATCTGCTATGGGCTTGCTTCGCAAGACGAAAATGTCTTGCGAGTTCCTGGGTTTTTTTTTCCCTTTCCCCCCTCTTTTTCTAAGTCGCTAAGCCGCTTATCTGCTTATCCGATAAGCTGATAAACTGCTAAAAGCCGCTAAAAGCCGCTAATAGCGCTAATAGCGCTAATCCGCTAATCCCATCAATGGGCTTGCTTCGCAAGACGAAAAAACCGCTAGACGAAGAGACTCCCAGAACGGATTCTTTTCGTCTTGCGAGGCACCACTGTATTTATAAGTGTGTGTTTATCAATTCCTGTGTTGTTGTCAGTTCCTTTTTAAAAACAATGTAGCGTACTGAATTTTAGAACAGACATAAATAATATAAAGAAGCAAAACATGCTGTATTCAGAACTACAGTGGTGCCTCGCAAGACGAAATTAATCCGTTCCGCGAGAGTCTTCGTCTAGCGGTTTTTTCGTCTTGCGAAGCAAGCCCATTGACGGATTAGCGCTATTAGCGCTATTAGCGGTTTAGCGGCTATTAAAGGCTTAAAGGCTTAGGGATTAGCTGCTAAAAGGCTATTAAAGGCTATTAAAGGCTTAGCAGATTAGATAAAGGGGGAAGCGGAAAAAATCTCAAGACTCGCAAGGTATTTTCGTCTTGCGAAGCAAGCCCATAGGGGAATTCGTCCTGCGAAGCAACTTCAAAACGGAAAACCCTTTCGTCTAGCGGTTTTTCCGTCTTGCGAGGCATTCGTCTTGCGGGGCACCACTGTAATGAACATCAGTCTCCCTCCCGCCCCATGATCCACTGACCCTCTCTCCCCACCCCTTCCCCAAAGAATTTGATGCCATCAGCACATCCAAAGCATATTCATACTTGGTTATGGTAGGAACACAGATTCAAGTAAAGAAAAAGTACCCAGTGCATACACCTCTCAGGCTTAAAACAGCCAAGCAGAATTGTATTGGGTTGGAACAGATCTATTACCACCTTGCATATGCACATGTTGTTGTCAGTTCCTGTGCCTTTGAGATGGGCTAGAGTGGCACATATAAATATATAAATGTTTGATGTACAGAAAGATTAAGGTTAGCCTTTCTTGGCAAGAGCGAAACAAAGAGAAAGGAGATGGGGGTGAAATCTGGTGCAGTCACTTCACACCATCACACTGTGGGGTCAGCACGTGCCACTGCAATTTATATACAAGCCAGTAGCAAGAAAAATTGATTCCCCCCCACTCCCTTTTGGCTGTGTGGAAATAGCAGCACACCCATTGATACCCTTTTCCTCTTAATTAGTCTGGAAAAGCCGCCACTCCTTTGATTTTGCATTCAAAGTCACTAATGCAAATGTGTCTGTGGAGCAAACCTCCCCGTTTTCTTGCAACGGGGTATTTGAAGGGTAACAAATCCACACTGTTGCTCTCATGTATGTGTCCTTTGAGAAATGCCCTTGCCGTCCCTCTCCCCTCCTGAGTTATGCCTAGGATTGTGCTGGAAGACAGAAGGCAGCAGCAGTGGGAGAGTCAGGTCAGGTAGAGAAAAGTTTGCCTTGGGGCCATCTACACTGGATCATAAATTCACATCTGTTTCAGCTGTCAGGTATGAGTTCCAAAGTGACAAAGAATGATTCATGCTCGCACCCCTCCTACCCTGATACCCAAGATGCCCTCCTAACCCCTCAAAAACAGGGAGGAAGAATTAATCACACTGCCTACTCATAGGGAGGAGGGGGAGATGAACTTCTTTTCAGTTCACGTTTAATAGTGAATCTACTTATTTTGCACTTGCCAAAACAACACATGAAACAAAACTCAGCCAGCCTTTGGAATTCACATTTCTCCAAATTTTGCAGTGCAGTCCTCCAGCCAAGTAATGTGTACAAAAATGCAAATATTAGGGCAAAGTGTGCATAAAGGTACATGGATCAGGGTAAATAAGCATAAAAAATATGTTACGTTAGGGGAAATTGCTTTGCATAAATGTGTATATATCAGGAGAAATTCACACTAAAATGCTGGTGAATTTTCATGGACTGTAAAAAAACAAACCAACTGATGTGGAAATGTGGATGACTGGACTTAAGATTGGAAAATTGACAGAAATCAAAACTGAAAAGATTCACTCATCCTCGCGAATGACAAAATTGCAAGGTTGGGACTACTTACTGGAATGTGGCTTTTGTATATATAATGATCGCCCCGTTTCTTTGTTATCAGCAAGATCTTGTCAAACAAGAAGAAAGTTCTCTCATTCCTGACCCGATGGACACGGAAAGTACCCTCCAGCACAAGCTCTCCATAAGTGGTCAGGTCAGGACCCTTCCAGTTTATAAGCAAAGACTGAATCTCCTGTAAAACAGCAAGAAAAGGGGGGCGGGTCAGAAAAGAGGTGAAATATTTCCATCCCTATTAGGAGCCATTTCAAGGCAACCCCAAACAGAGTCACGAAGATGCCAGCATTGGTTGTAGTCTGTGCTGTGACAGAATTACTGCCACTTGAGAATTTTGAAAAAAATAAATAAATTATGGTATGTAGATAGTACCCAATGCCACACAAATAGTGTTCCACTAATGCAACAGGGCTTCCTCTCCCCACATGTCCCCATAAGTTGTTCCAGGAGGTCTCCCTACCCTCTGGAGCAGATTTTGAGTATGTGCAAGGGGCTTGAGGGGAGATAAAAGCAGAGAGGGGGGAAGTCCCATTGTACAAGAGGAACAAAAGCATTGGATACAATGCTATACATTTAGCCTGCAGAATACATTCATTTCAACACAACTCAGAATATAAGTTCCCCCCCAACACTTCCACTATTTAACCTTCACAAACATTCAAAGTATTTTTGAAATCTGTCAGCAGTCTTGAAAATAAATGCCTAGCATTACCAACAACAAAATGATCTGTATGGTTTCGTACCCAGAGGGTCTCTTTCATCAGCAAAAGTTAAAAAAGGGAATCTTAAGTATTCTAAATATTTGTCCCTTTCTTCTACTTAGTTTGAAAGATTCTAAGGATCTTCCATATGAGACACTGGAAAAGTAGATTAGTCCAGTGTAAAGTCACTCTGTGAGGCTGAACCAAAGCAGCAGGGGGAACACAAGTCCCTATTTTTATATATTTCTGTCATTTATACCCAGTCTTCTAATGAACTATTCAAGGCTGCTTCTCTCTCTGCCTCAATGTTCCCTCTGCTATCCATGAGAACATGTACACCTCCAAACTGGACTCCAATTCCCTTCAGCCCCAAGTCAGCACAGCTAATGTTCAGGGATGATGGGAGTTACAGTCCAGAAACATCTAAGCATGGGCACAGGTTCCCCATTCCTGAGTCAGAGGGTTCTAATGTTACAGGTTGAAGCCAGAAGGGGCATCGTGACAAATCATTCAGCCGGAACTCCGGTATTATTACAGGACATTCCATCAGCAATTCATGCATCTTGCCTGAAGCCCAGTAAAGAAGCATTTGCTACACAGCCCCCACAGATCAGAATATGATCCACAGCTTGTGTAATATAAACCACCAACCCATAAAAAGAGTCATTTAGAAAGAATTTTGCTCCCACCATCTTCCTTTGCTCTGGACAGATAGCTACAGGACAGATCGCAACCCTTCATTTTAAGTAACTTGCTCTTTCTAATCCTTATGTAGTTTCCAATTTGTGGGTGTTTTCATGCCATTACAGTGGTACCTTGGTTTACTTAATCCGTTCCTGAAGTCCGTTCTTAAACCGAATCCGTTCTTAAACAGAGGCACGCTTTCCCTAATGAGGCCTCCTGCCGCCGGTGCCCTTCCACCATTCGGTTTCTGTTTGTAGACCGAGGTAAAGTTTGCAAACTGGAACACTACTTCCGGTTTTGTGGAGTTCGTAAGCCGAATTGTTCGTAAACAGGACTGTTCTTAAACCGAGGTACCACTGTATATTGCAGATGACTAAAGAATTGATTGCCCCAGTTCAAATTACTTTTGTAGTTATCTTAAAGCTTGCCTACTGTTTCCATAGGGTGCCATCATCACCTTGCTCAAATTCCCTGCAGAAATAAATTAATTGGCTGAAAACACAGATGAAAACTAAGGTAAGGCCTGACACCACCTATAGCAGGCATGGCCAAACATGGCCCTCCAGCTGTTTTGGGACTACAGCTCCCATCATCCCTGACGATGGTCCTGTTAGCTAGGGATGATGGGAGTTGTAGTCCCAAAACAGCTGGAGGGCCAAGTTTGGCCATGCCTGACCTACAGCAACCTATGTGCACTTCTAAAACTTCAAGAAGAGAAAAAGTTAAATTCAATGTTTGGGAACTTGTCAGTAAATATCCATGACACTAATGCTGATAAGGGTGGAGTCCTCACAAGGGTGTTTGCAAGACTGAATAATGTAAATGAAATCTGGAACGATGAGAGGATAAGGAAGTGCAAGCAAACTGGGAATGCACTTAAAATCTGCTGGGGTGATATTTTGAGGCTATTTCCAGGACTCTAATTGTGTTAAGGCTCAAACCAAAAATTGATAATTCAGTACTAGGGGTCAGTCCCTGAACAGGAAAGAAATGCAGATAATCACTTCCTCATCTGGGATTTCCAGGCTTGTGTCTTGTCACATCTCCTTGATGTTAAGCTCCATGGGTATTGTTGGAAGGGCCATGAAGTTAAACATTTTATGAAAGGGCTTAAATGACTGGCACAAGATGTTGAAAAGTGTGCTGCTGTGATATGACTGAAATAATGGGAAGTGGGTGGGGGGGAATGCAGCACAGGAAAAACGACACAGTGTATGTATGTACTGAGGTCTGAAAAAAAGGGGACATTAGACATTGCAAACTGGAATGAGGAAAAGGGAATACTGGACCAAAAATGCCTTTTATCTATCAATCTATCTTAAAAATCCCTTTAGCTAACAACACTTCATGGTAAGGAATGTTGCAGTGCTAGGAAGCAGCAGGAAAGAGAGCAAACCTCTAAAGATAGTAATAACACACATGGTTGCCATCGTGTTTTGCAAGTCAGTTTCATTTTGCATATACGTACTTAAGGGAATTTCCCTTTATGGGTTGTGGAAAGGTGGCATTGCCTGATGCATCAGGCAGTGTGAACATACAACACTTACTTGCGAATTGCCACAGCTCTCCAAGGATAATGCCACACCTGGGACAACTTTCCCCTTTCAAATTACCTGCAGGCGCACAGCATGCTCGTGCTTCCGTTTCATGTCATTGATATACCAAGCCACACAGGTCATGGTGTCAATCGCCTCTTCCACCACTTCATAGCCATCCTCTTCTATGTCGAAGTGCTTTGCTATCTCCTACGACAAAACCACACAGCCAAGAAGATAAGCCAAGTGTTGTAAGGCTCTCTAACACAAATTCATTTCACCGGTTTGTTGTCTCTTGACCACTGCCCAGTTTACTAAGCTCTGGGGCCCAGGAGAGTATACAAGGGTCAAGCCAAGTAATAACTTAAAGCCATTTTAAAAACCCCATTATGCTGAGTGAGTCAGATCATTGGTCAACCTAGTTCAGAACTGTCCATAGTGATTGACAGCAGGTCTTTCGAGTTAGGTAGGACATTCCAACCCTACCTGGAAATGCCAGGGATTGGACCTGAGACCTTCTGCTTTTGAAGTTGATACTCTTATCACTGAACTATGGCCCTTCCCCAAAGCCTTAAGAAGCATAAATCATGACATACCGTATTTTTCGCCCAAAAATGAAGGGGAAATGTGTGTGCGTCCTATGGGGCGAATGGAGGCTTTCGCTGAAGCCTGGAGAGCGAGAGGGGTCGGAAGTTCCCGCCGGGCTCCCAAGGCTTGCGGACAGCAGCCTGCAGCCCAAAACCTGGGGAGCGCAGCGGAGCACGCCCCGGGCTTCGGGCAGCTCTCCGCAAGCCGTGGGAGCCCGGTGGGAAGTCACGCCGGTCTCCCAAGGGTTGCGGAGCGCTGCCTGCATCCCGAAGCCTGGGGTGCGCTGTTCAGGATTTTTGAGACTATGTCCGTTGATCCTTCTTCCCTACGTAACACCGTGATTCCGCAAAAATCTGCTCCAGGTTGGGAAACCCTCTGGAGCAGGTTAGGAAGATGGCACAGGAACTGTAGGCAGAAGCAGCTCACTTCACCCTTTCATGGAAACTTCTGCTGGATCAGTGAAATTTCCATAGGTTTTTGGGGAGAATCTTTGGAACCAAAGTCCCATGCTTTCTTTAAAAATAACAATGCAAAAAAACTTTTTCAACATGGTGGCAAGATGCCATATGATTGCAGCAGCAGCAACAACAAAAGTCATTCACCTATGGAAGTACGAAAAGGTGACTATTATCATCCATGGTGGGACTGCTTGATAGAGTCTAGGCTAGCAAATTCAATTAGACCTGGTCTTTTTCCTTTGAACCATATTGAAGGATCAGTCCATTGGATAAATACGAGCAAGAAATCATAACTTACTGCAAGAAGTTTAATTTACACAAAAGATTGTGTGGGATTTGGCCATTATGGCCATATTAATTGGAGAAAAGATCATGGGTGGAATCATTTCAGTAGTTATATTAAAAAAGCACACCCATTAAGTTACTCAAATGCTATGTCTATTGTTGTTAAACTTAAAATATGACAGTATCAAGAACATTTTATGAAAATCAGCGTAGGAAGATGTAGGCTTTAGTGGTATGATGAATTGCCTGCAGGCTTCCGACAGGCTAATCACCAATTACAGGGTGCTGGGACAGATGGGCCTTTGGCCTGATCCACCAGGGCTCTTCTTACATTACTTTTTTTGTTATTTACCGTATTTTTCGCTCTATAGGACGCACTTTTTCCCCTTCAAAAATGAAGGGGAAATGTGTGTGCGTCCTATGGAGCGAAGATGCCATAGCCCTGTGACCCTCTCCCGGCTGGAGAGGTGAAGCGCGGCTATGGCAGGAGCCTCTTTAGCCGCGCGCCACCTCTCCAGCTGGGAGAGCGCGTGTGGAGCTAAAGAAGCCATAGAAGCTTTCCGCTGCTCCCCGACCTGCTCTTTGGGGCTGGTGGTGGGCTTCCCCCCCGCCAGCCCCAAAGAGCAGGTCGAAAAGAACCTGAAGCCTGTACAGCGAGAGGGGTTGGTGTGCAACGACCCCTCTCTCCAGGCTTCCAAGGTAGCCGCCTGAAGGTAACTGAACGCACCTTGAACAGCACCTTGTTTTAGAGGGGGGAAATTCTCCCCCTCTCTGCGCAGCGACTCCTGCCGCTTCGCTGAACGGGTGCTGGGCAGAGAGGGGGAGATTTTTTTTTCTTGTTCTCCCCCCTCTAAAACAAGGTGCGTCCTATTGTCCGGTGCATCCTATGGTGCGAAAAGTACGGTACTTGAATTATGAAAAACATAATGTAGAGCAATTGGGGAAAGTATCCTATCTCTGCATAAATGGATAAACACTGGTAACATACAAATCTGATTCCTTCACAGAAATAGGGCTGGTTTTGAAATACGTACAGAGATTCTGAGAAACCATTTTCTTGTATAGCTAATTCCTATAATCTATATTTCCTCATGTGTGACCCACAGAGACTATTTGTATAATTGCAAATACTCAAACTCTGTATTAGTTCTCAACTGTTCCCACTTGACTAGCGACCAATACATTTTCTAAGAGGGAGGTGATATTTGCTTGAACACAGATCTGCACATTTTATGGTTGAATTTTAGACAAAACAGGTAGAGAGTGAAACACACAGGTCCCCAAGCTGCAAAGTTAGACAACACAACTAGGCTACTGCTATATTACCTGAAGGAGCAGGTGATATTTGAGAATGCGCTGGACAGGCTTGAGAAGGTAGGAGCCAAGGGGCAATGAGTGACGGATTTGCTCTTGCCGCTCGCGAAAGAACTTGGCCAGCTGTTTGTTCCTCATGCATTCGGTCAGAGCTGCCACAGAGCTAGAGGGTCAAACCCATTATGGTATAATGAATAGCACTGAAGATCAAAGCAGAGAACCTCCCACCTTCCCCTGAAGATGAGTTGACAGACAGGCATGATCAAACACCCCGACAAGGGACTGCAATGCAAGGGTTTAGAAACAAGATCCGGAAGCCAGTGACAGCCAGACTAGCTAATAGAGAGAAGCAATCAGACTTTGGCAATATAGCACATCCTGTACCTCCTACAGGGAATTTCCTTTGATGAGTGTGGGGAAACCTGGAAAGTCAGCCTGTTAGAGGGAAAGAAGAGGAAGACCCCTGGAGCAGGACTTTTGAGAACAGCTGTGGGGCTTCATTACCTTGCCTTGTTCTTTGCCTCTTGCTACGATTTGCAGAAACTTTTATGAAAGATAAACAGATTTATATAAATCATGCAAATCTGCTTAGCTTTCATAAACATGTTCTGTTTCTGCTAGACTATATAAATCAAGGGCAGCCAACATTAGGTGCTTTGTGGTTTTATTCTGTATTTTTATGCTGTGAAATGCCCTGAGATCTTAGGATGAAGGGAGTATACAAATTTTATTAATAAAAACAACAACATGTTGCCCTTCAGATGTTGCTGGACTACAGCTCCCATCAGCCCGGACCATAGGCTAGCCTGGGTGAGGCTGAAGGGACTTGTAATCCCACAACATGTGGAGGGTACCACAGTGGCTATTCCCAATATTAGATGTACAGTCTGAAGAATTCAGCTGGTTTTAGTGCAAGATTTGGGTTATCTTGTCACTGAACGCTGACTTTAAAAAAAAAGCACCTACAAACTATTCTGCATTCCGCATAGACAGAGGCTGACCAAAGGTTTCTTCTGTGTTAAAAAGATTAAGTTATTAGAGGGGAAAGGGTCACCCATGAAACCAGTTCTCTCTTCACTGCAAAGGATACTCACTTAGGGTAGTTGTTACAGTATTGAGTGTAGATATCAAAATCCTGACTCTGTTGCAGGGAGAGAGAGAGAGACAGAGAGAGAGCGCAATCAGTAAAAGATGGCTGGATATTCACTTAGCAATAATCTCAGCTTGCCTCTCAAAACATGCCCAGTACAGTTGTATAAAAGGAATGCCAACCTCACCCTATGTACTGTTTGTTTAAGCCCTCATACCTAATGGAAGCACCCAATAAGGGTGTCGAAAGGGCTTGTGTAGCAGAATTCTGTGACACTCCATTATACAGTCAGAGATTACCACAACACAGTATCTGCTCATCTCCTTACCCTGTCCACAAAACATCTTGCCACGGCAACAGGATCATTGTGGCAGCTGTCCAGATCCTGCAGAAGCTCACTGAGCAGAAATGGAGAAAAGGAGGAATCAATGAGTCAGACACACACACACACATGGCGAAGCCTCTTGTGTCACATATTCTAAGCACAGAATTTCAGTAGCATAGGCACTCAAGGGACAGGATGGGTACATGCGGGAGGCAAAATGCAAACAACATTTCCCTCCCCTCCAAGTCCCAAACATAGAAGCAAAATTGAAGGCATGCAAAGATTTGGGAACAGTACTCACAGCACCCACCTGCACAGGGGAAGCCCTTCCACTGTTGCCAGGGAGCCAAAAACACAAGGCAGCAGTTACACAGAAAGAGGGGCACTCGTTGGTTAAAATGGCCAACTAGCTGCTCCAGCAACTATTTGTGTAGCCTATTTGTTACAAACAGCATTTCCCCACTGCCCAAAGTGTCTTGCAGTGACAAACTATGAGCTCATGTCTGCCCCAAGGAACTTTTTAATTTCGGGAGGGGAAGCTAGTTCACAGAACAGGCAAGCAACAAAACCAAGAACGCCCAGTAAGCCGGGAGCAATTTGAACTCAGTCTACCCCTTTGACCTCTCCTCTCCTCAGTGCTCCATCATACAGGGAAGGATGTTGCTTCCCTGCTCTGAGACCAACACTGTCTCTCCACTTTCCTTTCTGCAGCCATGTCTGCCCAAGACAGTTCAAATAAACCCCAAGGGTCAAACATCCATGTTGTTATTTTGCAGACTTTCAGAATGAGACAAACCTTCTGGCTAAATGTGAAAGAATGTTGGCTCCCGCTTTCCAGCAATAGGGGAGCTGGATCAAGCGAGGAGCAGAACTTATCAGAAGCTTGCCGCCCACACAATCCAACCCTCCAGTCAGCTTCAGCTTGATAACACAATCAGTAGGCATTAATCTGCATCTATCAGCTTCCATAAGATGCGTAAAGTGTTTCAAGTTCATGGCAAAGAGGTGACAGGAAAATGCCTGTCCCAAGGCAGACTTCAGTAATGTGCAAAACACAGGGCTGGCTTCTCATTAATAACAACGCAATCTTAAATGACGTCTACTTAGAAGTTCTACTGATTATCCCAGGTAAGTGGGATAAGGGGATAAGGGGTCCAGTATAGTTTCAAATTGGATGGGGGAATGTTGAGATTCCTTCATTGCAGGGGGTTGGACTGTATGACCCTCAAGTCCCTTCCAACTCCACAATTCTACAATTCTATGACTGCAGCCTAAGACGTGTCAGCGGAGCTTATGCAGACAGGGAGAGAGCAGGAAGGCAAGGGAGAGCAAAGCAAGTGAGTCTCCTGCCATCCACCAACCTGTCCCAATGATAGGACTGTGACCATTTAGGGAGGAGGTACCTTCTGCTGTGCTTACAGATTTTCAGTCCTCTCTGGCAAATACAGAGAGAAGGGGTGGGGCAGGGGCAGTTGCCAGTGAGGCCACGTTGATCAAACATCGCACTCACCTGTTCAGTTCATAGATATCCTCAATGTTCCCAAAGAGTGCACTAACTTGTTCTGGCCGTAGAAGCAGCTCTTGAGTGTCTATGATCTTCGCCAAGTAATTCTGCCAAGTCACATTGTGTCATATAAGTATTGCCATGTAGCAAAATGAGCAAGCAAATACGACAGACTGCCCCAAACTCCAGCCACCTAAACATGTGGTGGTGGTGGGGATCTAATCAACCTAATCAATGTTCTAGGGAATTCCCATATTATCCAGGGGTGAGGAACCTGAGGCCCTCCAGAGCTTGTTGGACTGCAACTCCCATCAATCCTGACAGTTGACTCTGTTGGTTGGGGCTAATTGGAGGCCTCCAACATCAGGAGGGCCTCAGACCTGCCCCCATCCCCAATATAATTCATAATTATTATTATTAATTTATTATTTATACCCCGCCCATCTGGCTGGGCTTTCCCAGCCACTCTGGGCTGCTTCCAACAGAATATTAAAATACAATAATCTATTAAACATTAAAAGCTTCCCTAAACAGGGCTGCCTTCAGATGTCTTCTAAAAGTCTGGTAGTTGTTTTTCTCTTTGACATCTGGTGGGAGGGTGTTCCACAGGGCGGGTGCCACTACCAAGAAGGCCCTCTGCCTGATTCCCTGTAACTTGGCTTCTCGCAGCGAGGGAACCGCCAGAAGGCCCTCAGTACTGGACCTCAGTGTCCGGGCAGAACGATGTGGGTGGAGACGCTCCTTCAGGTATACTGGACCGAGGCCATTTAGGGCTTTAAAGGTCAGCACCAACACTTTGAATTGTGCTCAGAAACGTACTGGGAGCCAATGTAGGTCTTTCAAGCCCACAGCTCCCACCATACACTCTCTGTTTCCTACACTCAGCCTAAACAGTGTCCCAACAGGGCAGAAAGCCCCTTTCTATACTCTAAACCAGGAAATAATTAGCACCAGAACTACCTGGCCCTTCAGCCATAGCATGCAAATAAACAAGGTCCATAGCAGTGCACACAATGCGCTGCATTCGCACACTGCAACATGGCAAGCAGGAAGTGTTTTGTGCCTCTGAAAATAATGATCAGTACATCCCTGTTTGGGAAACAGTGTGTGAAGTTCGCTGCTGAGGGCAAAGCAGAAGGACTCTGCACAGTAGAATACTGAGGGGTTTTCTTGGCCTGAAGGCTGATGGAAGGCGTGCAGGCACCAGCTCCTAACCTTTAGTCCAGGCCAGGTTTTCCTACATCTTTAATGCCCAGATCAAAAGATGGGAGGCCCTTATATGACAGAACAAACTGCAGCAGTGAACTGAAGAACTCCATCCTCACAGGCAGGCAAGCATTATGGGCGCGCTTACCTCTATGATACTTCGCAAATCCCGCACATACATGCGTTCCGACTCCACAATCTCCAAGACCACACGCTCCAGGTAGCTTAGTTTGGAATGGGAGACAGCAGAAGAAAGGGATGGGCTCTTCAGGCCTCGCCAGGGCCCTGAGGAGGCATTGTTGTTGGCATTGTGCAACAGTCCAGCCCTCAGTGAGGTAGCATCAGAAGGTGTTTGGGCCACATCGCTCCAGTCCTCCATAATGTGGCTAGCATTGGTCAGGGCTGCAGGCGGGTGGTTCAGAGGGTGCTCTGAAGAGCTTATGCCTGAGGCAGCAGAGGTTGGAACGTCATCTCTGCCAGGAGACGGGGTAAGCAGGAACCGAGGGAAGTCTGCACGGAGAGAAAGTTTTGTCAGGGAATCCTGAAATGTTAAGGTTCATCTTACACAAATTATACCTGACACATAAATTAGAGGGAGTTGCTGGGAACAGCAATTTTAATCAAAGTGAAAACCACCAAGATGAAAGGGCTGCTGTACATAATTGATTTAAACATTTTCCAGCTTTCTAATTCAGCTATTTCCTAAATAAAGCATATCTATTAACTAGTGCAACAACATATTCTTTTGCAACTCAGCAGAGTTTTTGTACTAACTAGGAGTATGTTCCAAGGAGACATATAGTTCATGTATCTTTTGCTCTATAAATTTTATGTACATTTATGGAAGCAATTGTGAAATTAAGGATTTCTACTAGGTTTTCACCATACATATACTAGGATGATAAACAAGTTCTTGAAGACTAAGTGCCCAGAACACTCCACAAGTGAGGTGTTCTCAAGGCGGAAGCTGAGAGCAGGTCAGCAATAACTCACAAAGTGCCTGGGAGGTTAACTCTTTATTCAAAGAAACAAAACATCTCAGGCCTAGTGGTCACAGCAACTGTTCCCAGCACATCTTGCCCCAATGAGGCAGCTGCAAGGACTGAAGGGTCTCTGCTTCTCCACCGCTCTCTAATGTTCCTCCTATCCTGAGGGTCCTTTGTCTTGTCTCTCTTTGATCTGCCCTCTTCATTCCTCTGCATGTTCTGGAAGACCAGGAGGGAGGAGAGCTGATCACAGCAGGAAGGGGAAACCCCCTGGCATCTTCAGCAGCCTGCCTCCACTCTGCCTCTGGGCCTCCCTCCTTTCCAGACTCCACTTCTGACTCTGACCTGCTCTCTGCCACAGCCTCTTCCTACACATTATACCTTTAAAGCTTATTTGAAACATATTCATTCCCTCAAAGAATTCTGGACACTGTCATTTACCCTTCACAGAGTTATCATTCCCAGCAACTCTGAACAAACTACATTGCCCAGAATTCATTGGAGGGGGGCAGGAATGCACTTTTGAGTGTCCTTCAAGGGTATAGCGTAACTCTGCCTGGCTTTCTCCACTAGCTCCAAGCAGGTAGACAAGTGAGTGGCAACAAGTCCATGTTCTGTCAGCTACTGTAACTTCCATCTCTATCCAGATTCCTTCTGGCTGCCAGGAGGAAACTTTCCCTGCTCCTAGACCCATTTCACAAAGTCCTAGTACCTGAACGAGGGGGCGGGGATCACATTTTCATCAAGAAAAACCCAACTCCTCACCAAACAGCTTAACAATCTGCGACGGAAGCCATTCCAGGGTGCTCTTCTCCTCCCAGATCAACATCCCTCACTCGTTTGTCTGCCAGGCTGTCTGCGCTGCTGCGCAGGTGACAAATCTGCCAAATAAAGCTGGGAATGGCCTCTGAACCCTGAAGGTGTGGAGGCTGCTGACGTCTTTCTCCCCCCGCCCCCCCAAACACTCCTACATGTGAGCACCACGCCCTCTGGCTCCTCATTTCCCACTGAGGACTTCGGCTGAGACACACACACTTCCTCCCACACAAACAAGAGAGGGAGGAAAGAGGACACAGCTGGTCTGGCTTGGAAGTGTCCGGAAACACTTTCGTGTGCTGGCAAGCTGCTAAAATAGCACCGACTCTAATCATGGATTTCCCCATCCCTCAAAGTGTCCTAGGAGGCATGGGTTATTATGGCGTTATAAAGCCATTCATCCCAAGGGATTTCACCAAATTTGACACTGAGTGACTCTGAAATCAGGAACCTCGCAGGGACTTTCTGAAGACTGACAACAATAAAAATTGCCTCTAAAAGGTAACTGCATACTTCTGTATTGTGTACTATTCAAACTTATTTACTCAAATATATGGCACACATAGTATGCTTGTTATGTTTGCCACTAAATGTCACACACGCACAAGAATGGGGCGCTTTTAAATCTCACTTTCTAATTCTTTTGAAAAGGCTTCTCTTTTGGATTTTTAAAAAATAAAACCAAAATTAAAAATAGTTTTAAAAAACATACTGGGGGTCCAACTGCAAAAAAGTGGGTTCATTGCAAAACCCATGAGAGCTGGATGTCCACACTGCTGTCAGACACCACGACAACACTGCCATGAACAGTTTCAACATTTCCTTAACTCTTAACACACCCTTGAGTTCCCATGATTTCACAGTGGACCTAATTGCCTCTGACATTGGGCACCCCATTGTATGCACCAACATATTAGCCATCATCTCCCAAGCTCATCACTGACAAGCAACACATCTTCTACCTTCAATTAAGGATTCCTTGTGTAGAGGGACCCACTGGAATGTGGTGACATAATATCACCGTGCTCATTTGATTCTGCACTAGAAGCAACAAGCTTTCCGCAACAAAAAAAATCCAAGGCCTCTCCTTTTATGACTTGGAAGACATGAGCCTGTGCTCATATCATAGGGTAAGGCTGGGCCCTGTGGTTAACAGCTGCAGAGATTCTATCCAAGAAGGGTAGGCTGAAGCCATGAGACTGGATGCAAAAGGGATGGATGCTGCCATGAAAGGCAGACCAGGGAAAACCAAAGAAAAGGAAGTGTTTCTGGCCAAGTGTCTGGGAACCTGCTTAGCCTGAGTCTCGCTGCTAAAGTTCTGTTTATTTAAGAACCACTTATCCTGACAGCAGTTTGCAAACTAGCTGGAGGAGCTCATATGACTGACTAAACAGAAAATGTGCACAACTTTATAGGAAAGCCCACGTTCTGAAGGACCAATGCCTATAGTGTCTATTACTTTTCAGAGCAGGGCAATCCAAAAGTGGGAGTCTCAAGAGAAGTGTTAGTCATGTGCTCCTGTCCCCATATGTGTCCTGGAGAAAGGCTGTTTGCACAATGTGCCCTTTCCCCATAATTCCGCTCCCTAAGGTTCCCCTTTATGAGCTCTAAGTGTACACAACCAGGCAAATATAGCCCCACCTTACATGGCCTATCACCAGAGTTATGGTCTCCCTGTGTGGAATTTATACATCTGCGGTGGTGTGCTGAGACTGAGAGCTGAGATACCATGAATAAGCGTAGCACATGGTGTTTTGTGGTGGGAGGAGTAGATGTGGGGAAAGCCATTTCCCCTCCTCCCACTGAACTTAATGAGAAGGAATTTTTTTGAGCCAGGTCTGGAGCCAGTGTAAAGTTACACCATTAATGGGAGTGTGGGTGTGGCCTGGAGGACTGCATAATATGGCATAATTGTGCTCCTTCGCTGCTCCTCTGTCCTGCCCATGGCTTCACCCAATTTTGGCCATTCTGAGAGCATGTTCATGGGCAGAATACTTCAGATAGGCCAGTGAAATGCTCTGCCAGTATATACAGAGGTAACTAGGGTTACATACGCTTCAGGTTACATACGCTTCAGGTTACAGACTCCGCTAACCCAGAAATAATACCTCAGGTTAAGAACTTTGCTTCAGGATGAGAACAGAAATCGTGCTCTGGCGGTGCGGTGGCAGCAGGAGGCCCCATTAGCTAAAGTGGTGCTTCAGGTTAAGAAGAGTTTCAGGTTAAGAACGGACCTCTGGAACGAATTAAGTACTTAACCTGAGGTACCACTGTATTGAGTTCCACTAGCATAGTGGGGTTTCTGCCATATGCTAAAGCCCCTCAGCCAGCATTACTCAATGATAGGATTGCTCAGTTAGTCCCAATTTCTGCTAGGGTATTTACTTCTAATGAAGTGTGCACTGGATTGTGGGCTAAAATCAAAGGCATCAAACACCTTCCTACAAGGAATGTGTGGTTTTCTAAACTAACAAACTCAAGGGGGAGGGGGAAAGGGTGGGATAATAAGAGTTCCATAAAATATGAATGGGAACGCAACACAAAGACAAATGTTTCTCACACTCTCGTAATGCCAGAACTTGGAACACCCCTGAAGTGTTCAAGACTGACTGTATGTACTGTCTGAAGAAGTAACTTATGGAACCCTGAGGTATGAACTTTTACCTCAGGTGACTTTTTTGAAGGCCTAGAGAAATTCAGAAAGAATAAATCAGAAGCCATTAGCTAAGGCAGCTAAATGAAACCTCCATGGTCACAGGCAGTAACTCTCCTAAAGCCAGATGCTGCAGACAAACTTCCCCCTTATTAATTTTCAGAGGCATTTGATGAAGAGAGCTGAATGAAACAGAAAGCTGAACTTGCAAGACCTTGACTTTATCTAGCAAAAACATTTGCATCTTTATTTTCACTTTTGCTGAGATAAAGCTTACAGATTTTTTTAAAAAAGAAAGTCCAGGTAAGGAAAGAAGTTTGTAAACATTGCTTTGACCAAAGGTCTTGTTTCCAGGAATTCTCTAGATACTTTGCAGAGTAACTCAATAACATTTACTGAATAGGTTGGAGAGTGCTGACTGGAAAAGTAAAATCATATCTCATTCCTCATTTGAAATATGTCTAAATAAATCTCAGGTTAGTCTTAATTAACTACACTTAAGTAGAGCAAAATTCTCATCTTTAAAGTTAAATTGTATCTGATTGTTCAAAGAACAATCTTAGAACATATAATACATCCAACTGATTTATACTCCTAGCTAAAATTGTATGATAGTAGCAGTTTTATCTTGAAACCCTTTCCTCACAGTCCTCAACAGTGAATCCACCTTTTTCACTCCTGCCACATACTGGGAGCATTTTTGTTGAGCTGTGCTCCACAACTCCAAAATCTCTTTTCTGGTCAGGAACCACCAGCTCATAGCCCATATGTGAAGTTAGGATTTTTTGTCCCAATTCAAATCACTTTACACTTGCTTAGACTGAATTGCAGTTGCAATTTTAATGCCCATTCAGCTAGTTTGGATATACCCTTTTGGATCTCACAATCCCTTGTTATACCACACTGAACAATTTGGTTTCCTCAGCAAATTTGGCCACCACACTGCTCACTCCAAACTCCAAGTCACTTATGAGCAAGTTGCAAAGCACAGGAGCCATTATCAATCCCACTGTTTTATCATTGTTATTGATATGTATATACACACACACACACAATACAATACAACCTAACCAGGGATGACAGGGACTCTAAACAAATTTTCTCAGTTGATACAAAATCACAATAGAGAGACACAATAATATATAAAACATTCACATATTCTTACATACAGTATGCCATGTATGTAAGGGACGCGGGTGGCGCTGTGGGTAAAAGCCTCAGCGCCTAGGACTTGCCGATCGAAAGGTTGGTGGTTCGAATCCCCGTGGCGGGGTGCGCTCCTGTCGCTCGGTCCCAGTGCCTGCCAACCTAGCAGTTCGAAAGCACCCTCGAGTGCAAGTAGATAAATAGGGACCGCTTACTAGCGGGAAGGTAAACGGCGTTCCGTGTGTTGCGCTGGCTCACCAGATGCAGCTTGTCACGCTGGCCACGTGACCCGGAAGTGTCTGCAGACAGCGCTGGCCCCCGGCCTCTTAAGCGAGATGGGCGTGCAACCCTAAAGTCTGTCAAGACTGGCCCGTACGGGCAGGGGTACCTTTACCTTACCTTACCTTTATAGCTACAATATCCTGAAGGCTATTTGTAGCAGTGTAGGAAATGAACTCTCCTCACATGGGATGGAAATGTTCCAGTGTTTTCAATCCCTTGGAAACATTCCAATTATGCACTATTTTCCTCACTATCCCAATGTTCCATACATTTTTATGCCACAGGAAAATATGTAATCCTTGCAATGCCTTCCACTTTTGAGCAAGTAGATATCCTGGCTGCTGCCAACAACCACAGTTTTGTTCCTGTTGTGTCTGATCATCCCATACATTGAAAAGTGAAAGTTGCGGAGTTATTTGAACAGGAGTCCTACAAACAGTAGAAATTCCCAGATACACCTCAGACCAAATGTTCTGTACAAGAGGACACTCCCACTGTAAACAGAAAAACAACAACCCTTGTGCCTCCACAGCCACACCAACATGATGTAATTTGTGAAGTTATATATGAAAGATGAAACAACATGCAACAACATCTTTAGATGTTCAACAAACATTCCTGCATATAAGCCAATATAGTTCATAGGTCCATAATTTCTTCCACTTAGTTTCTAATACAGTGGTACCTCAGGTTACATACGCTTCACATTACAGACCCCGCTAACCCAGAAATAGTGCTTCAGGTGAAGAACTTTGCTTCAGGATGAGAACAGAAATTGTGCTCTAGCGGCGCGGCAGCAGCAGGAGGCCTCATTAGCTAAAGTAGTGTTTCAGGTTAAGTACAGTTTCATTTTAAGAACGGACCTACGGAACGAATTAAGTACTTAACCTGAGGTACCACTGTATAACCATCCCCATATCCATGTCCCATAGTGTCTTAGTACTATAAGGGATCTAGTAGACAGATCTAACAATTTCCTGTATATTGCAGATACAAGCCCTTTCTCTAAAACACCCTGAGTTTTCAACCCAAGGTTTCAAATTTAGTAAGCTTACTATTAGGTGTTGCTAGTAGGTGCATAAGTTGAAGTGTTTAAAACCATTGTGAGAACTTCTTTTTTTCCTACTCTCTGCTTCCTTTTCCTTAGCCAATTACTGATCCATAAGAGGACCTTATCCTTTTATCCCATGACAGCCAATCTTACTCAGGAATCCTTGGTGAGGGAATTTATCAAAACTTGTTGAAAGTCTAAGCACAGTGGTACCTCGGGTTACATATGCTTCAGGTTACATGTACTTCAGGTTACAGACTCTGCTAACCCAGAAATAGTACCTCAGGTTAAGAACTTTGCTTCAGGATGAGAACAGAAATCGTGCTCCAGCGGTACAGCAGTAGCAGGAGGCCCCATTAGCTAAAGTGGTGCTTCAGGTTAAGAGCAGTTTCAGGTTAAGCATGGACCTCCAGAACGAATTAAGTACTTAACCCGAGGTACCACTGTACATAATTCACTCCTCACGATAAGCTACTGAACACCATTCAAATCTAACTTACAAGTTCTCACGAACTGGAGATGCACTAGTCTAAATCATCTATCCTTTATCCACATACATTTTAAGCAAGAACGTGCCCATGACCTTAAATTTACCAGTCTCATTTTCAGCTAATTCTGTTGCCTTTTGCTTAGGAGGTTCAGAGCCAGACCAAAGCCACAGCGCCACCCAGTGGATAGGACACTATGTGAGATTAGCAGTCACCCTCACCAAGCCACACTCAAAACTTCCGATTAGTGAATCGAGAAGTCCAACCCACTATATTGTTTTCAAGTGGCTAAGAATTATGCAGGAAGCAATTCTTTCTGTTGCTTTACTATATAGTTTTTGGTAGTCACTGATCATACAACCAACCTGTTGAGCCCAAAGATCATGACGTCTGATACAGTATTGCTTAGGAGCAGAGTGTGCAGACAATCTCACAGTGAGTACATGTTCTCATATCAGTTGGGGCCACAGTGAAGGCTGTAGCATTGTCATCTATTTAGAAGCAGCAGGATATGCTCCTTTACTCACTGTGGTATCAAAGTCCAATATATCAATAACAAATCTAACAGCACTTTTTATGCCTCTCAGTTCAAAGGTCTACCTCATTATAACAGCCAGCATTATAGCCGATAGCAAGCCAGGTCACACCTCAGATTGGGTACACAGGGTGTGAAACTTCCCTTTCTTACACTTCCAACAATCCTCATTTGGAGTAAAGAGGGATTTTCAGAAACAACCAGGAATATATATTTTTCTTCAGTATCTAGATAAATACTTAATCCAGGAAGTTGCATAGGGTTGTAAAACTGTATTATCTAGCTTTCATTGCTACTGATGTCACCTACATTACCAGAATGTGAAACTTAAATTAAGTCGGATCTAGGACTTCAGTAAGAACGTGCAAGACTCCACTGTAATACTACACCTATCCACGGATGTTGAGCAGAAAAGTTTCCATTGTGGCAAATGTCCCACTCCTGTATTTTTTTCAGTGAAACATTTTCCATTTCTAAAACTGCATTGTTTCATAACATTACAAATATAGTTAATGGGTATAGTACCAGTCAAATGAGGCACATTCAAAGGGGTAATTAACTTTCTTTTCCAAGTGACGACCCCTAGGAAAAATGTATGTGTGTTTTGTTTCCAGACTTCCTGCCAGCAGACTTCAGCTCACAAGATGTTTCTGCTGAAGGGTGGGGGGGGGGAAGAGAATTTTGTTAATTCCCCCTTCCCCAAGCTAGGACCCTCCAGACCAGTTTGGGAGATGGCACTGGGGGTTGTGCAGGGAAGGGAGTGAATTGGGAAAAACCCTTCCCCAACCCTGCCACCCCACAAGAGCCTCTGTAGGATCCCAGAAGGGCAACCCAGCAAATAAAGATGCATAGCTCTTTGAATGTGCTAAGATTAGTATGTTAGCAGCTCTCAGTGCTTTAACTTTTTCCTTAAAACTTAAACAATGTAAGTATATACACTATTGAGTTGCTGTATCTTAAACATATTTGTTTAGTAAAAAATATTTAAATATTCTAATAAAAATAATTTCCAAGTACATCCTTGCATTAGTTTTAATTCATTTGAACCTCATTTCTGGCAGCAATCCTATGCACACTTAGCCTGGCAATGTGCCCCCTTGAATACTAGGGGACCTATTTCTGAGCAAACATACACAAGATTGCACTGCTAAGTGTCCTTCAGTTATATTTTTCCTAATCAAAACATTACAGTTCAAATACTTTTAGCTACTGGTAAAATCTGCTGAGATGTTTGTAGGCATGTAAATCAACATAGCACACATTTAGTAAACAAAACTTTAAAAAGAAGTCAAATACACATTCTAAATCAATCAATGTAGCGCATCTGAAAATTATCCAAAAAACTGTCTACATTTTTTTAAACCCACATCACAGTGCATGACTTTCATTTTGTCAATCAGGCAGGAATCTGAATTTATGGAGTCAGATGGGATTTCTAATCTACCCTTATTTCATATACTGAAGCTAGAACTTCTGTGCCCAAAGATTCCTAATAAACCAGCCAATACAATAGGATGAATGTAAGGTTTAGGATCATCCAAGCTCTATCGCAAGGATAACAGTAATGTAAAATCCAAATAATATCAAGTACCTATTGTAAAGCACTGCAATGGCTAACTGTGCATTTTAACTTAAGCAGGAAATGGGAAGGTAGGTTTCAGGAAAACAGTATGAAAGAAAGGGACTAACCACAATATTGTGGATGGGGGGCAGGATGTGTACAGAGCTCAGTTGTCCAGGGTTCAGTATTGACTCACAGGAAGAACAGCTAATAATGACTGAAACAACATGGAATGTACCTGGAGGCCTCTCTTCTTAGAACTGCACCTGCCGCACCTTATTTTACATGTGGACATGGAACTCTTCCCCTGAATTCCAGTCAGCAGTGAAGCCATAATTTTCGTTAGCATGAAAGCGGCCATAGACTTGGAAGATAAAGGGCAGCAGACACTGGGGGGGGGGGGAGTGTTTCATAAGAAACTTTTGAAACCGGTTCTGCCAGCATGTCAGATTCTCCACACTTCTCCAGCGCTAAGAAGATGGGATCAGGATCAAAGACCAAAATTTGCCAGTGAGCCAAAGGATTCTATGTTGCTTAGTTATTTGCTTCAGTGGGATATGTATTGTGATGAAGAGTGGAATCCTTTGGCTTCAATGTTCCCCAGAATATTTGCAAATAGAGGCAAAGATTTTCAAAAAGAAAACTTTGGGACTCTCATTCAAAGACAGCCCTGTCTGTAATGGGACCAGAAGTGTTCAGTCACTGCCTGCCAGCCACCTGAGGACTGTTTCATGCATGTAACAGGGGCAAAATCAGGCAGACACTCAACAGGTAGCTGCAGCCCTTCCCCAGCAGATGTACCTTTTCTTAAAATATATTTATAAATTGTTTATAAGCTTTGCATTGTAGACAATTTTTTTTAAAAAGAATGAATTACTATACATAAAAAGGTAAAGGTACGCCTGACTGTTATGTCCAGTTGCGGACGACTCTGGGGTTGCGGCGCCATAATAATAAAAAAAGTTAGGTTAATGTTACATGAATAAAATAGTACAGTCATGTAATATTAACCTAACATTTTTTAATTTATTCTTGTATTAATTTCATTATATTAGCATGTGATCTATTCCATTCTATCTCAGGTTCTCTTTTCATATACCTCTTTGAAACACTTGTTACATTCACAGTTTACATTCCTAGATGCATATCCAAGGGCCAAACTAGATGAGATCGCAAGAGATCCATGATTAGATCTCCAAGGTGGGGTTTTTTTCTAATTCTTTTTTAAAACGTTATAAACAGCCATGGGAGGGATTAAGTGTAACTACATCCCCACTGCTCCATATCTCCATATCTCCATTTGGTTGCAGGGATGCAACACTTGCCTTGCTACTTTCCTGCCTTCCACCCTATGCAGTTACCCTATGCTAATTTTATAATAACCACTCTGCAAGTCCCTGCCTGAATTGTGAATACCATAAGGCAGTTAAGACATATTAAGAAACAATTCATCTACTGATCCTTCCAATTATATACTCTTAATACCTTCCTGTTCAAATGCAGCTTCAAAAGTCTACGCAATCGTGGCCACAACTAATACTTCCCCCCTCCTATCCCTTAAAACTCACACCATTTCAGAAGCCTTCAGAAAGGACAAATAAACAACATATACGTATTTGCTTTTCCAACCTAGATTACACTAGCCTCTTTGGGCTACAGGGTTTCAGTTCCCAGCTTGACCTTTATTGCAATGAGGCGGACAAATTGAAAAGCCATCAAGGACTTTACTTGTTGTTTTTTGCTAAAAACTAAGTGTTTCCAGAGCCAGTCTAGCAGCTTTCACCAGTTCTGAAATTCACCACAAACATCAAGCTAATGTTTATCAAATCCCTGCCAGAACTGGATGGAACCAACGCCACAGATGAAGGGCATGAGAAGCTGGTTTGCTGTGGACGTTCAGTCCGGCCTTTGCTCCTGCTTCTTAGAGGCACAGCAGGGCTCACACATCTCTTACTTTACATTTTCTATGGGGCACAATCTGAACTCAGTTTATCAACCAGCCACCACAGTCCTCTTAATGGAAATGGTGTAGTCTCCAGGCAGGAAGAACCAAGGGTCCCCAAGCCCCTCACTGAACAACAAAAAAGTCAACTGTCTTTTCTGCCTGCAGCTCCCAGTTCCAGACTCCATTCTGGCTGGCAGGAAATGTTCCCAACTCTTTTGGCTGGCCTACTAGCCCAAACGGGGCACTGCCCCACCAGCCTTCCAACTTCTGGACATGCAGAAGCAACATGTGTTTTATTTAGTTTTAGCTACTGGTCTTAAATACCTGTTTTTACCTGTTTATCAATATTTTTCATGTTTTGTTTTATACTTTTGTAATTTGCTTAGAGGTTCTCTTACATTCATGGGATACATAAATTTTGTGAAATAAAGAAACTGCTCTTGGCCAGATCCCACCAGCCTGCCCTCATACTTACAACCAGCCCAGGGGGTGGCACAATGCTTGCCAGCTCCCTCCTGATTAATCTCAGCATTACCTTTGAGGAACTCAACTAGAAAGAGTCGGGGGGAGGGCAAAAAAAGAACTAGCTGTTTCTGCCTGTCCACTGACTCTGCCTTCACCTTTTGTTGGCCCCTCTGCCTCCTCACTGCCAGTCCCAAGAGGCACCAGCCAACACTGCTTTTGAAGACATGTTTGGAATGACTGGGGAGGAGAACCTCACTATAACCATTTAGCTAAACCTCCCCTTTAGCAGGCAGGGGTCAGGGCCCTGCTACAATCACCCCCTCCATCAGCCAGACATCCACCTCCTGCACTCTAAATCCATCCTGAATTCATACTTCACTAACTTGTGTTACGATGTAAATTACTACAGTGTGCATGTAACCAGGAAGGAAGATGGTTGTATACCACACTGCCAAAGGAAGCTGAGAATTGCATCACTCCCTGGCTTCCCCAGCTCTCTGACACAGAGTGAGAATGTGCAGTAACTTTCTCATCCACCTCCCATGTGGCAGCCAGGCAGATATTGGCATGTTGCCGCTTTGTAAAATGGTCGCCATGTTCGTCTGCAGGGCCCTTTCATCTTAAGCATTTAAAGAAATTCCTTTTTCTTTGATGATTATGGCCAGTTTTACTTTTCCATGCTTGCACAGTAGCAGCAGACAGACCTTTCCAGAGGCTTGTTTAGAGTCTCAAACAAATATTTGCACTGGAATTCAAACCAAATATTTCCACTGATCCTTTACTGGGCCAGTGTGAGGGAACAGGAGGGGAGGGGAGAGGAGAAAGGCTGATAAGTGGTGTGGGTTCATGGACTTATTGTAAGCGCAGGGAGACCCTTTGCTGGTACAAGGTTTTTTTGAAGCAGATGCTTTTATCAGTGGGTTGTGATCTGTGACCATGGGGGCTTAAACCTTGATTATGTTCCTAAGACACTGCTGCCCAACCAAGAATAAATGCCTTTGTGGAATTTTTAGAATCCTTTTCATGTCACCTTTAAGCGCCACCCATGACACTACATCCACTGAGCTCTTCCTGACCTTTTGAGATACACTGAGCAGATTAGCAACCCACCCAGGATTACACCCCCGCAGAGACCGCTTGATTGCTGGAAAGTTACGCAGCATACCGGTTCTGCTTATCCATCTGTATACTTATCCATCTGTATACGACACCTCATGCACATTCCTTCCTTTTAGTTAGCTCTGATCCCTTGCATCTAAATCCATCCCGTGAGAAGAGAATGCCATTGCTCCTTTCCCGGCAGGCTGTCAAAATCTGCAGATTTCAATCTCTCTGCTACTTCGGAAGCAGCCAGCCAGATTAGATCTAACTTTACCCTTAAGAGCAGTGTGCAAGCTTTCCAGGACACAACCAGCTTGATCAGAGTTATTGGCAAGGAGCAGCGGAAACTCCAGTCCAGCTCCCCCCCTTACTATTCCCACCTCAGCCAAGGATGACAGATGGCATCACTGTTCTCCTTTGCTATGGTACACCAAGTCAAACCAGCACCACAATGAAAATCTTTTTTGTTTTTGTCAAATGCTATGGGCACCACTGAAGAGATCTTTGTGCAGAAATGATAACTGCATTTCCAAAGATCCCTGAACAAGAACCTTTAAAAAAAAAGAAAGAAGTCTGATGGGGTTGTTGCTTCTGTTGCTGATTTCACTGGAAGATTTGAATGGTCATTGCCTTCAATTTTATACTCCCTACTTCTCGGGGGATGCCAAATAGTCCGGCTTTGGAGCTAGATTTCTCCATTTCCCTGTGGAATGAGCTTCACATGGGACAATTTCAGCTTTTGATATGCATCCCTAAACAATATCAGCAGAATGGAGAAGCCCCAGATTACATTTTTCTTTTTAGCAACCAAAATACTGAGGAAACTTACAGAAATGTACAACCTATTGAAACACTAAAGAGCATCTTATCCTTTTATTTGGAAGGAATTTTAGTCCACATCACATTTAACTAGAAGGCCTTGCAATATGTGCTTTGGCTCACTAAGTTGAAGCATCTGGATAATTTTACACCATCTACATAAGACGCCTCAGTCACCCTGGCACTAAGCTTGTGGCACACTATGGTCTGGATTATGCAAGAAGTGGGTGGGTGAGCATTCCTGCCTTAAGGCAGGAAGGTGAACTGCAAGATGCTCTGGTACCTGTTAACCATAAGATCCTGTCTCAAACAAGTGATCCATAATAATTATTTTGCAGAGGCTGAGAGCTGCAACTACCCTTAAATTAGAAAGCAGAAAAATTCTTAGTTGAGGTGAAAGTTGCATCTGTCAGACCAGTCTATGAACATTACCCCATAACAACATGACTTCAAAGGCACAACAGACATGGAATGTGACATTTTCCAGGGGACTTCTCTAGATCCAGTATATTCAAAGGGATCTCTCTTTTTAAAAACCAACTCTGCAAAATCTCACTTTGGTACTTTGCCCTTTTAGCTCTGTTAGCAAACTGCAGCTTTTACAGCTGTGTGAAGTGTGATCTACTATGACCTACAAGAAACAAGTTCCATGTATATGTGACACATGTACAAAATCAAGGATGGCGTTGTTTGAATGCATCATCTCTAATCTACCTCTTCAGTTACATAACAATGGAGAAAATTATGAATGGCACAAAGGTGTTCTCAAGAAGCAGGTCACCAGAACTCCGATGCTACCCCTTTGGGCCCTTGGACAAGTCTAGCTTATTTTTAATAATCACTGAACTTCATTGCCACAACTTCTAAAAGGCTTTGTTAGAATGTTCTCAACTATTTGTATATTGTTCAACACTATACTTGCAGTCAGCAGTTTTATACAATCTGTGCCCAGTACAAGTCTGCAGATCCTCATTTTTTACATAGCGGGGGCACTTCTGGGCCTAGGATCTCCAGTTTGGGTTGAGGAGTGCAATGGCCCTGAACAATTCTATCAATAAACAAGTATATTCAAAATACTGTATTAGGATTAAGCAGTGCTAAATCCAAGTTCACTAGCTTAACTTGTTTGCGATCTGGTTGTTAGTCCGTTTAACACATCTATCATCCCATACCTGCCAGGGAAAGATAATAACACTAGATCTCACTATCAAGATCACCCATTTTATCATGAAATAATTTGGCTCTTAAATTCTCATGCACAGCAAATGCCTCCCTAATTAAAAGCAAACACAACACACCTTCCGCTTTACCTATTACTGTTGGAGACAAGCTGTGCAATTGTCAGGTCTCCACAGTGCGTTGTGAACAACCTACGTCTGTGTGTGTATGAGTGTGTGTGTGTTGGAGATTGTGGATGTTTCTGTGCAAAGCAGCGTAGTAATGGGAGCATGCTCACGCTTGCAGACTGGTAATGCACTGGGTGTGACTGTTGATTCAATGAGGCTTGTCTGCTAGGCTCTTTTAATGGCACAGCTGGTATTTTTGTGAGGCAGCTGCTTGCAAAAGCCAAATGAGCTCATCAGGAGTCACCCAAAGACTCTGTGTGAAGAACGGATCCCCAGAGCGGTCTCACAGTGGAGGCCCATTCCCATCTGCAGAGGACGAACACTAGGAATAAAGGAAGGGAAGCATCCAATTCATAACTGCGCAGCTGGGCAAGAAAGGCAAATTGTATGATCAATACAATACTAAGAGACTAGGGATCTGCCCCACCTCCCACACTTGAGGGCAGGATTACAACAGTCACACCAGGGATTACCTCCAACCTCAGAGATTGTCTTTATTATCCATCATATTATTATTGCCCATTAATCATCTCTTCCTCCTTGCACTGTTCTGGCTCATCTCTGGGCTAAACATATACTATATGCTTGTGTGTTGCAACGGGGGGGGGGGGGAGAGAATATCACAGGTTTCAGGATCTCTCTTTTCAGATGTATGTCCATTTCTAGTGCTTACGACGGCAGCTGATTTCCACTGTACAGGGCATGGATGAAAGTCCAGATAGCTCAGTGCCCTTTACTGTAACTTCCAGCACTGCCCACAATCACTCTTCAGCAGACACCTTTCACTTCTTGCCTGTTACTTCTTTGTGACTTTGCAAAGAACCAAGGAATTAAAAGAAAACGAAGGCTTGTGTTTTGCATTCCCCCCCCCACCAGTGACCTGTTCTTGTTAGTCTTGTCATGTTTTATTATTTATGTTTGTACGTAGAAATTATAATAATTGCTTTGTGAAGGTTTTCCACTGCTTCTGTAACAGATAATTAATAAAAATCCAAAATAAAATAATGGTCAATAATAGGATGGCCCACTATTTCTCAGTTTAAGACGGCATAAGCAACAGCACACAGCTCAGGCCGTGCAGTACCAAACGAGAGTTGTGGGGGAAGGGGCCCCCCAAGTATCAAATCACATTATTGCATAAGAAGTTCTGAAACACAGCACTGCCTAAGGTGGTTTCATAGAGCTCATTATTCCATTCTGAGTCCTCGGTACCCACGAGTGAGGGAGGGAAGGGAATGGGGTGAGGAGCGGATAAGGAGCTGAATAGAAAAGTATGATGGAGCAGAGAGTTTGAAATTAAAGGGCAGCAGAGGCCAAAATGTCATTCCTGCAGCTGTAGCAGCCGCCGCCACCAGCCTGTCTGGAATTCCAGTGCCAGCTCCCCTACACACACACTTACATATGCACAAGCACACACACACATACTCCTACTAGCTAGTTGCATCGGGAGTTACTGTTTTTGCCAAGTTAACATTTCTGAATCCAGTTCATTCTTGGAGATTTGGTGCTCGTACTGTGTTTGCCTATGCAAATCACACTGTGGAAGAGGAAAAGGGTTTATAAACCATATAATGGAAGGGGTTCCGTACTGCATTTGTACATGAAAGCCAATTGCATCGCATTGAGAGCTGAATCTACAACCTGGGAAGGAGAAAGAAGATCTGTGTCTCTTGAGAAGTCCAGGGACTTTCATGGGCTGCTCACTGAGAGAGAGAAAAGACATTTAACTAGGAGATTCTACATTGTCAAGCGCACCTTTGTTAACCTCGGTGTTCTCCTTTGTATGCAAGAAGGACCTTGGAGGAAATGCAACACAGCTATTAATGTAAGAGCACAAGGGCCTGCTAGATCAGGGCAAAGGCCAATCTGGTTCAGCATCACAGTGGCCAACCAGATGCCTAGGGGAAGCCTGAAAGCAGAACCTGAGCACAACCACATCCTCATGACTTCAAGCAACTGGAATTCAGAGGCATGCTGCCTCCAACAGTGGACAATGTGGCTAAGTAGCCACTGGTAGCCTTATCCTTCATGAATTTCTCTCTCTCCTAAAGCCATCCAAGTTGGTAGCCATCATTGCTTCCTGTGAGAACGAATTCCATAGTTATCTATGAGTGTGGGAAGAAGTACTTTTGGGGGTATGTCCCGAATCTTCCAACATACGGCTTCACTGGAGGTCCATGAGTTGTGGTATTATGAGAGAACAAGAAAAGCTTCCTCTGGCCACATTCTCCACAAGATGCGTAATTTACTTGCCTTTTATCAAAACTGAAAAGCTCCTTATGTTGTAGCCTTTCCTCATGGGGGAGTTACTCTGTTTCCTTTACCATTCTGGTTGCCCCTTTTGGAATGCTTTTCCAGCTCTACAATATCCTTTCCGAGGTGAGGCAAAGAGGCAAGTACACAGTATTCCAAAGGCAGACGCACCATAGATTTGTATAATGGCATTAGGATGTTGGCAGTTTTATTTTCAGTTCCTTTCCTAATGATCCCCATCATGGGATTTATATTTTCCACAACTGCCACACATGGGATCGACATCTTCACTGAGCAGTCCACTACCTGCCTAAGTTCTCATTCCTGATCAGTCAACTCCAGTTCAGACCCCATGAGCATATATGTAAAATTATTATTATTATTATTGCCCCCTTGTGCATCATTTTGCACTTGTTTACAGTGAGTTCCATTGGCCATTTTACTGCCCATTCCAGCAAGGGTTCATCCACACTTCTGCTTGCCCCATGCTTTCTAGGCATGGGTCCAAATGGCCTTTCATTTATCCCATTGCTTTCCCCAGAAAAACCCACTACTATCACAAACATCAATCTGCTGACGTCAATCAATGGGCATTTGCTCCGATTCAGTGGTAAACAGCAGCTTTTCCCAGGGGAAAGCAGTGGGACAAGCGGAAAAGTGTGGACAACCCCTAATTTAGGAGACATCCCTTTGGAGCTCTTCACAGTAACTTTTTACTTTAACCATCCTCAACTATTTGGAATCAGTAACATCTCTTATTGTTTATTGGCTGCTATATGTATTAATAGCATATCACTTGCTCTTCAACTGGTGGGTCGGGACCCACTAGTGCGTTGCTACCTGAACCAAGGTGGGTTGCAACAGGAACATGACCACTATGCAAATACCATATTTTTTGCTCTATAAGACTCACTTTTTCCCTCCTAAAAAGTAAGGGGAAATGTGTGTGCGTCTTATGGAGCGAATGCAAGCTGCGCAGCTATCCCAGAAGCCAGAACAGCAAGAGGGTTCTGTTCTGGCTTCTGAGATTTAGAATATTTTTTTTCTTGTTTTCCTCCTCCAAAAACTAGGTGCGTCTTGTGGTCTGGTGCGCCTTGTAGAGCGAAAAATACGGTATATGGTAAAAGATCAAGAAATAGGTCCCCAAATGAAAATTTGGGTTAAAAGTGGGTCCTGGGTCTGAAAAGGTTGACTATACATATATTATATTCTAGTCATTTGGGAAGGAATCCCATAGCAAGATGAGCAGGTGAGGATCCAGTGGATATCCGGCTGGGTAAGGAAGTTCTGAACATAGCCAGGCTACACCAGTTAACTTCCTCATCCTCAGCTATATCTCCCCCATCTCATCTCAGCCAGGGCCCAGTGGAGTTTAATCTGGCATATGCTCTGAAAAAGGGGTGCTCTGGGGGCAGGACATGGGCAGAACCATAAAGGGGAAAGGTAGGCTGGATCCTAAGCCTGTTCAGATTGGTCACATGACCTGGTAATGTGATGTACCTGGTAAAGCTGTAAAGGGTGCTGTAATTCAAGCACTATTTTAAAGGCTCGTTTTGCCTCTGCCAGCCTTAGGCCACCTCATTCAGCTGTAGCCCCACTTCTGAACCATTTCAATCTGATGTCACTGTACTCTGTCTTCCTTTACACCAGCATGCTTTATAGCAGCTTCACATGTATTGGATTGCTCTCTTATGGGTATGTGACTTGGTTAGTTCACTCGGGATCTGAATATTATGTTTTTTATTCACATCCGAACCCAATACCCTTGCCGTTGCACCATGTTACATCAAAATAGCCTACTGCCATTTACCACCATTGCAAATGTAGCCGTTACGAAACAAAGGCAAATTATGGTTTATCAGTCAACATGGCCAAGCACATAATGACATCCTCTGTCATTACCCTTCTCAGGCTGGGTTATCAGGGACAAGTTCTGCCCTGTTTCAACAAGAAAACCCAATGATGTGGGCAGAAGTTTTTTAACATTATTGTGAACAACCAAGGCAACCACATCTCTCCAGGAATGTGCGAAAGGAGCCTGGGGTACTTTGAATTTTCAGTGCTTGACATAAACCTGATTGAAGCTGTACCATGTGGCAGAATGCCTCTGTGGCTGTGTGACAGTTTGCACAGTGCATGTCAACACCACAAGCTGGGAAAGGCCTTCCCTGCTGGAGACACATCCACTAAACATGAATTTACTGGCTCCTTATCTGTTACAACAGCATATCTGTGAAAAGGCAAGTGTAAAGTAGGCCTGGGCCACAGGTTGCAATAATACCGGTGAAACAAGAATTTTGGGTTGCCTCTTTCTCTTTGGATAATAATAACCAATTCCTATGACTAAACATACTGGATGGAAGCTTGAAGTTAAGAGCCAAGCTATAAATGTCCAAGAATGCCCTGCCAGTTGAGAATTCACATTATGTTAGCTTTAGGCACACAGGAAGGTGCTTTAAATGGGAGAGCATTTAAACAAATTATCCCCTTATCTGCAGCCTGAAATGACATGGCCCAAATAATGATGTACCATGTGATATTTCAGCATGCATACTTTTCCTTTGAGCCTTTGAAGCAGGACTTAATTCCACATGCATGTGTTTACATTCATTGCATTACTTCCCTCCAAGTTTTAGCATTCTCAGTGCATTTATGCAGCTCAAAAACCTCCAAGGTTGAAATTCACACACTGAGGTTGTACATGATGTTAGTGGGTTGGTTGACAATCAACACATTTTAAAACAACTGCACCTAAAAGCAGGACCTCTCAGTCCCGTAGACCACAAGTGGTTAAAAAAAACCATGGCGGGTTTTCTGGCTACTTTCTCACATTTTAAAATAAAGTTTTGTTGCAACCCTGAGATAACCGGTTGAGATAATATTTTAAACTATTTTTAGAAATTTTTTTATCATTGCTGCCTCAGCCAAACATGGTTGCTTTAGGAGGAAGGGCAGAGTATAAAAGGTGCAGTAATGATAACAATGGCAGTGCAGGAAGAGAAGCCCACAAGAACAGAACCTAAAGGAAAAATCTGCATACTACTAACCACAAGGGCACAATCAGGCACCATATTGAGGGCTGTTCCAAATTATTTCAATGAAACGCTATAAAAAAACCCCCACAGTATTTGAGATGTCAGTCTCAGAGAATAAAGGCAAAAAAGGACTTCTCTTATTAGACTAATGATATGTGTAAGGAAGAACTCAAAACCACACAGACCTCTATTGGTTCAATGATAGCTATTGCTTTCCCTATGTATAGGTCCTCAAAAATCTCCCAATACTGAGAGGTCGTCCCCCCACTTTTACTATGCAACAGGGGTTGGGAACCTGCAGCCCTCCATATCCTGTTGGACTCCAGCTCCCATCATCTCTCACCATCAAGCCACGCTGGTGACAACTGGTGGGAGTTGTGGCCCTATATATGCTGCTGGGCTACAGGTTCCCCACCTGCTACTACACAATCATGTTTCAAAATTTCTGAAAAGCCAGATTTAAATAATTTACAATGGGAGTTGCCCAACCTAAGCAAGCAGACACACACCCCACAGAGGGAGGAGGGGCAGGAGGGAAGCAAGGCAGGAGTCAGGTGAGGGGTGAGACTACAGGCCAGTGTGTTTTAGGGAAACCATTATATGCACATGTCTGCACTGATCTCCTGACATAACAACATTCCTGAACAGCAGGAGATGGAGAGCTACAGTTTTCGCTCTAATAGCCCCCTGGGGTCACTGGCCAGCCTCGAATTCCCTCCAATTCCAAAGCCATTCACATTATCTTCAGGTTCACACACGGCCATCAGGTTTCCCCTGGAGTGGGGGCACAAACAGTTTAAGCCTCAAACCCTCAAACCGAATTATTTCCCATTTGCGGTTAAAAACTCACCACTCCCGGTGGCTGAGGGCACATACACACCATTAGGCCACATTATTTCTGGCGAATTGCTCCAAAATTCCTCAGATTCTCCAGTCCCGCCTTTCCAGTCCACTATTCCACCCATGAGAATTCGCTTGGAGGGGTCGGAAAATTCACCTCAGTTGTGCAACCGAAGAGTAACTAAAAGCGATTTAAACGGCAATCTTTCCCTATCTGCTTTCCTGGAAGTAAACCGTCGGAGCTCAACGGGTCTTACTTCTGAGCCAGGCACGTATGGGATGGAAAACTATAGTGCCTCAAGGGACCTTAAGGAAAGGGAAAAAGCAAACACCCGCGATTTCCTTCTGTGGTACTTTAGGGAGGAGGATGCATACGGACTCGCCTAACTCAAAAGGCGCATCAAGAAAGGCGCAACTGCGCCCGCGCGCGCGTTTCCCGGGCTCAGCAGGATCCCAAGAGCCGTCTACGGAATTCCCGGGTGTGGGTGAGAGAGAAATAACTCTTATTTACAAGACGGCCGTGCGAGAGCAGCAAAAGTAGGTCCACGCCTCCCTTAACAACTCGGGAAGCGCGCGATTATATGTAGCAGCACAAACCAATTTCCGCGTGGGCGGGCAAAGCTTTTTAGAGGATAAGCGATTCCGAATAATCCCTGGGGAGGTGGGAACCCCGACGGCAGGGAGGCACCTGCGCCCGGATGAGCACACCCGTCCGGGGACGGGGCCGTGTCCAGGGAGAGGGCGAGCGAGAGACAAGGGGCTGAAGGAGAGTCGCCAAATCCCAGTCCGGAGCATGCACACGATCCTTAATCCTGTCTCCGGTGCAAAAGAGAGACTCGAGAACCCCCGTCCCATAGGGGTTTAGAGCCAGAGCCACTTAATGCAGGCAGCGATTCCCCCCCCCAAAAAAACCTCCAAGAGTTTAGCCGCCCGATATTTTAAAAAAAACAAACCAAAAAAACTGACCCGGGTTCCGTAAAGCCGTGCAAGCCGCTCCGGCGCTCAGCAGTTCGAGATCCACGCGACGAAAGACTCCGCTGAGATTAGAGCTGGCTAGGCAGGAAGCTCCCCGCCGAAGGAGGCTTTTAGGGAAAGAAGGGGGAAAGAAAGAGCGGGCGGGTCACCAACGCTCCGGGTAGGTGGAGACTCCGGAGCCGCAAGGAGGGGCCGCGGTCGGAGGAAGCGAAGCGGCTCTTCCCTCTTCCTAGTAATTATTAACCCAGAGCTACCTGGGCCGCCGCCGCCACGCGCAGTTTCTCCTCTCCCGGGGAGGGCGCGCCACTAGGCCGGGCGGAGCAAGTCGGAGTTGCTGAGCTATAGCTCGGGGCAATGGCACCGCCCCGAAACTCCCGCCTGCCTTGCCCTTGCCCTCCCCGTGCCAGATTTAGGACAAGGTGGTGGAGGGGGGAGACGCTCCCCTGGCCTGACCCTGCCGGTATCGGACTTGGAGGCACCTGCTAACGATCGCCTCCATATGGAACGCCACACCAAAAAAGGGAGACAAAGGTGATGTTTTTATATTGGGCCAAGCTTCCGCTAGTATAACAGTAGTGCAGAAACTGCCGGGATGTAGTAAACTAGCCGTAACGAACCATATATCAAACGTTATAATTTGTGGATTGAATCCAGACTACGAATTTTTAACCATTATATGGGTTAATTGGCTTACCAATTACAAGACGCCTGTGTTGTCAACAACTGTTTTGTGAGTTACCACAGCTAATTGCATGATTGCACTCTTCTGCATTTGCTTTCACTCTAAACTCACGGTGTATAATTACCCGCCTTCAAACCATGTTGTACATATGTAACATTTCATGTATCTGGTTCAATGGATGGGAGTCTTTGAAAACATATGCTGTAATAAATTTCTTAGCCTTTTAGGTGGCTAGAAAAAAACCTTGTTTTTGCTGCAAGAGACTTCGTCCGATGAACAATTGTCCATAAAAGCTGGTTCTAGAAGAAATTTGTCAGACTTCACCTATGCTACAAGATACGTTGCTGTCAATAATGGCAACACAGTAGATGGCAGGGCTTTGAGTGAGGATAATAATGTGCTTGACCTTATGTCTGATCTGTATGTTATGGTTCTAGGTCTGTGGCTGGATATAGACTCTGTACATTCACTTGAATAAAGTATGTTTTTAAATAATTCTTCATTTAAAAATAAAAAGGAAACAGGATTTTAAAGTAAATCCCATTAGAATCAGTGGGACTTTTTCCAGCCAAGCATTCTTAGGATTGGGCTGGAAAATGTTATGTTTCAACAAGCATTTCCAAACTACAGTAATGTCACATAGACAAAGGAAACTGCTTTGGAAAACCTGTCACTTTTTATTTGACCATTTATACAATTTCAGCTGAGAGTGATGAGTTAACCACTTCAATAGAAGACCAGACTATTGATCTTGTAGTATTTATTTTAATTACAGCTGCCAGTTGCTACTTCACTCATTCACATCCATCTTTTGTTGTGTTTGGCACAAAACTCAGAGATGCCATGCCTGTCAAACAACGGATTCCACAGCTATGGAAGAAACAGAAAACTAAACCTATAACCAATGCTTATAAATGCTTAATGGATTTTGGTAAGGCAGAAATTCAGGAACTTAGAGAAGTGTGGAACACTGAATTAGAAGATATTACACAGCCTAAACAATAGAAAATTGCTTTAGAGTCTAAACAGAGTATTTCCTTGGACCCGAGATTGATTCAGGAAAAATTAATATTTTGAATGTATTGGACTCCACAACTTCTGTATCAGATTGTACTGTCTAATACAGAAGGATGTTGGTAATGCTGAAAATGCCTCTTTGAGGCATATGATGTGAGCTTATCCAGTGGTCTGAAGTTGTTAAAAGGTAAAGGACCCCTGACAGTTAAGTCCAGTCGCGAACGACTCTGGGGTTGCGACGCTCATCACACTTTACTGGCCGAGGGAGCCGACGTTTGTCCGCAGACAGTTTTTCCAGGTCATGTGGCCAGCATGACTAAGCCGCTTCTGGTGAAACCAGAGCAGTGCACAGAAACACTGTTTACCTTCCCGCTGGAGCGGTACCTATTTATCTACTTGCACTTTGACGTGCTTTCAAACTGCTAGGTTGGCAGGAGCTGGGACCGAGCAATGGGAGCTCACCCCGTCGCGGGGATTCGAACCACCAACCTTTCAATCGGCAAGTTGTTACTCACCTCCATTTTGTATTGGCAAAATCCTTTATATTTGCTGACATTTATATACTTTTTAATTATGTCCCTATAATATGAGGTTTAATGGATGGACAAAAGTAGGTTTTGCAAGCCTTTATGGTGGTTAAGAGACTTATATTTCAAGCCTGGAAGGATAAATACCTACTGCCAAATGCACAATGGTCTGAGGACCTCACTCCCCAACCTGAACATATTTCATATAGGCATCAGTTTAATTTTGGACATCTGGAGGGCTTATATTGATGTATACGTTTAATTTAAGATTTATTTATTGATGGTCACTGTATCCATAATGTGAACTGATGGTGGTTTCTCTTACTGTTACTACTACTAATAACAATAATAGTAATAATTTGTTGTCATGTTGGTGTTTTGTGTTTTCTTTCCTCTTTAATTTTATTTCCTCTTTTTCCATTTCCTTTTCCTTGTAAAATCTGCAAATTAAAATAAATAAATAAATGCCATGGGAGAAACAGGTAAACATTTTATGACTGAATACTTAGCTTTCCCTGTGAGTGGTAGCAATTTACAGTCATCTTAAATAAAGCACATAACATGTATAGGTAGGCAGGCCTGATTCTAAGTTGGTGTTACTCAAACATTTCAGCAGCCCTCAGAGTTCAAATATGGGTTGCAGATTTTTTTTTAAATGAACATCGGTCACTGTTTACACAACAGAAAGGGAGGAGCTAGAGGGGGGGTCATTCCTGAGGACATCTGTGATTGGCATGGGATTTGTCTGAATTTATCAAGTAAGGCTTATTGTGAGTAGCAAAGCAATTTCATCCAATGCAACTATCTAAGAAATCTTTAGGCACAATAAGACCTCTCCTTTGTGATTATGGTTATACACTGAAAATTAATAAAACTTCTTATTAACAAATAAATTAAAAAGACCTCTCCAATGAAGTGCTTCTGTGGTAACATACATTGAAATAAATTATTCCCAGAGACTCATGTGCTACCCTGCATTGAACCTAAGGGAGGCTGATGCTGGCCCTATCTGGTGTTTTACCCTGGATGCACAGCTATTAGTCATTATAGCTAAACAGAACCTCCATGCATAGAGACAGTATATCTCTTCATACTGCATGGGGATGACCATCAATTTTATGCCCTGCTGGTAGACTTCCAGAGGCATTTGCCTGGCTGCTGTTGGACGAATAATGCTTATTTAGATGTGCAGTGATCTGATCAGGCATGCTAGGATGTCTAGACAAAAGTATGAGAATAAAAATGTGAAAATAATTCATGCAGTACAATATATACGTGCAATAATTTAGGAAATAAGAAGAGGCCAGGATATGCACCATGACACTATATGATTGCATGTGGAATTATTTGAGCCAAAATCGGATGCTTGATGCCTTTTTTAAAGCTTGACTGAGTTTTCATGCGCATGTAACAAGCTGTAATCTACAGAGCTGCAAACTACCTAAATGTAATGGCAAATATGCCAGGAAGGCAAATATATCTTCCAGATACCCAAAACATGACCCAAAATACAACCAACCAGACGCAAGTTGCAGCATTGTGGGTGTCAGGCACCCATAATTTCTGGATTTAGTAAGTGTTAGAATACAATCAGTGTTTGGAGAGTTAAACTGGTAGATACACTCTTAATAGCTGGACTCATCTTCCCTTGTTCAGGCCAGCCTAATAATGGCTGAGTCATTAAACAAACAAAGACAGGGTGATGACCCATCAAGAAAGCCATAAGCAAAGCTCTGGGTTAACTAGAAGAACAAAGGCCAGTAGCATAGTTCAGGTTAGCAGTTTTTGCTTGATGTGAGTTGGAGGAAAATTGTTCCAACCTGTAAGCAGCAATGCAACAGAGAAGCAATATTAGAGGGGTGGAAGAGCTGAGAATAATGTCAATATATTTTTATGGTCAATGTTGCAGGGGGTGGCCTAGATGACCTTTGGGGTCCCTTCTAGCTCTACCATTCTATGATATGGAGGGGGGCTCTCCCACCTCACTATATAGATGGCTGCCTAGTACAGGGTTAGGAGTCATACAATGTAGGAGTAAAGCAACAGATTAGAGACAGAGAACCCGATGGCTGGCATCCTTTAGAATCCAGGGCTGCACCTAGGATAGAAACAATAACCTCTGGGGGTGTAACGTGCACCCTTCCATCATAGGCTCAGGTTGTATATGTGTGTAAATAAACCATATATCATAAAGACACCACAGTCTCTTCTGTGCCTCATTGTCCAAAAAGGAAACACAAACACAGGGTAAAACGTGCTTGGAACTCCCTAGAATCTCACACTGCTGTGAAGTTTGGGGGTGGTGTTTAACAATGCATTAACAGGCATATAAGATTCTAATTACACAGCAAGAAATGGAATATGCCATACACCCAAGGGCCGCAAGACGAAGTTGAGATTAAACAATTTTTGGCAAAAAATGGACTATCTAAATTGTCTCAAGAAAACAGGACAATCCTGAACTCTAAAATAACACGACAGGAGATTGAACAAGCTATTCAGAACATGCAACTTGGCAAATCTCCAGGGCCAGATGGGCTGACCTCCAAGTATTACAAGACATTAAAAGACTATTTGATACAACCTTTGATGGAGGTCAGCAATGAAATTATTGAGGGGGGAGGGCACCGGATTCGTGGAAGGAAGCGTTCATCACATTAATACCAAAGTCAGAAGCTGAAAAGACACAATTGAAGAACTACCGTCCCATCTCTCTTTTAAATGTGGATTACAAAATATTTGCAGACATTTTGGCAAGTAGATTTAAAAAGTATTAAATGAAGTAATTCATAAGGACCAGGCCGGTTTTCTCCCAGGCAGACATCTGTTTGCTAACACAAGGAACATTATTGACATCTTGGAACTTCTGCAAACAGATATAAATACAAAAGCAGTTTTAATTTTCATAGATGCGGAGAAGGCCTTTGACAATATTTCTTGGAAATTTATGATGGGAAATTTAAAAGAGATGGGAGTGGGACGGGGTTTTGAGAATGGGATTGAGGCGATATATTCAGAACAGAAAGCTAAACTGATAGTTAATAATGTGGTTACAGAAGAGTTCAAAATTGAAAAAGGGACACGACAAGGTTGCCCTATTTCCCCTTTGCTATTTATTTCGGTTCTGGAAGTGCTACTGAACATGATTAGAGGGGATCGGTTGGTTGAAGGAATTCAGGTTGGTCAGAGACAATATAAACTAAAAGCTTTTGCAGATGACCTGGTTTTGACCTTGCAGAAGCCAGAGCCCAGTACGAAAAGAGTATTACAATT